TGCATAAGTATTTAATAGAAATTAAAAAGATGAGACACAATTAAGTGGGAATCTGAGATGAAGGATTTAGATTGAGCAAAGAGAAATCTTGATATGGAGTTCACATGGGATTGAAAAGCTAGAAGATCATGTTTATCTCAAAAGAATTATATTGAAAAAATTATAGAGATTTGGAATGAAAAATGCAAAAGTAGTTAATACACCTTTTACAGCTTATTTCAAGTTATATGCAAAAATCTCATTACAAATAAAAGAGAAAGAAGAGTTCATGTTTTGATGTGTTAGTGGATAAGATTGCTACCTTTGATATTCCCTTAGATGTAATGACAAAATTTCTTCTATCAATAAAGTTAAACTCTGTTTAAACGGAGTTGACATTGTAAATACTACTTGACAAAAAAAATTAGTGGAGCAAAATATATAGATAGTAGAGGAAAAATGACTTAAGAAATTTAAACTAAAGTAAAGCTTTGTTATGTATGTGATGCAAATAAGAATCCCTGTTATTAGTAAAAGAATATAAATCATAAATTTTTTAATGTAGTGTGAACATCTTATATAAATGATTAATAATAAGAATTGTTCTTTATTTATAATTGTTTAGCTTGTGTTTAGTATATAGATAAGAATTTTATAAAGAATTATTCTTTACACAAAATTCTTCTATGATATTGTATAGTATAAATTTTTTTTGACAAAGACAAATTTCTCAAACAATTTTTTTTAATCAAATTATAAGTTTTCGGTAATCTATTTATATATGTATATAGTCGCTATTATATTTTTTTTGGTGTCACCTAAATTTAAACAAGAATTCTTATGTACTAGTAGTCTCTTTAGTATCTAAACTCGTAAGTTGGTTACATTATACTTAACTTTAGAAACATTGGGTGTAACTGATAGCTTAAAGTTAACATCCGAGGAGAAGATTGTCCAAGCCTTATAAAATAAAATATATTTTTGCTATGTCATTAGTTGATTTGAGACATCTTAGTACACCCTTCATGATTGAATATAAGGTGTGTGAAATTTGCAAGTTAAACATTTAATGAGAGATCCAACATTTAAAGTGAATAGACTTTTATACCACTTAAAAAATTAAAAATATTGTACCTAATTCACTCCCAAAAGTTACCATTGGGAAGGAGGATTGCCAAAAAAAATTTCAAATAACAGAACTGAGTATGAAAGGGTGAGTTAGTTGCTTACTTCATACCAGCGCAACTCATCTTGGAGTTGGAATGCGACACCAGGTAGGTGCTGCTCTACGTAAAACTCCATTCTTGAAATTTGGTGCAAGAGAGTTCGACCTTCTGCAGTTATTCGAAATATCAACGATTTAAATGCTGAATGTTTCTTTATCATGTTAAAGATTTTCAGCTGACGGTGCTTCACAGCCACATGCAGAACATTGTGCTCATCCTGGCTAACGTGACAAATAGCCTCAGGGTACTTGTCAATGATTTTCTCAACGATTTCCACAATCCCTGAGCCAGCTGCCATCAGAAGTGGCGTGTAATTTTTTGAATAGTGAGTGGCTGTCGTGGGTCTGTAACTTTTAGAATAGGGTATTGCAAAGCTAGTCTTTTGCATCTCTTTCGTCTGATGAATTTGTTTTATCCTGTCTGATTTGGAGGAAAGAAGTGGCAATACAATTAAGGGTTGAAAGTTTTCATGAAAAGAAATTTGCCATGAAAAGTCCTTTTGAACTAACAACTCAGCTACATGCTCTGCTAACTTATGCTGCTTCTTTCTTTGCCATATGTGTTCAATCCCATTGAACTCTGAACGTGATCATGCATAAATTTGATCCAATCACGATTCACAATCTAGTTAGTTCTGTTAGTAATTAAGTGATTTTTGAGGATGAGATAGTGCGTTAAATCAGAAAGCAGAACAAACAAAAAAAAAATCTGTTAAAAATTAAAGTTGTAAGTGGTAACCTGTAGCTAGTGTTCTCCAAATAGCATAGTTGATCCTTGAAAAAACTGCAAATTTATGAATTTTTGTCATGTGAGCGGCATACATTTGTGATTTGAATTTGCCATTACGAGTTTCATGTACTCGGTGTGTGAAGATATAGCAGCAAATTAACAAAACAACTATTTTTCAGACCAGAAGTACCTGAAGTTGGTAGCTTCCCCTTGTCTTGTTGGCCACTCTCTAAGTCGATCCTCTGTCTGAAGTCAACGTTGCCATCTTCATCCTCATCATCAATTTCATATCCTTCCTCAGGAAGCACTGTGTGGTCCAAATTTCAATCCATGAGCACCAACCTTAGACTTATGCTTATTGTATACAGCTTCGTTATTTCAACAACTAAAAATTGACAGCGTGTGATATTGTATATAATTATTTTTATCCCTTCCTTACTTTTTAACTTTTTTTTTTTCTGTAAACATGCATCTTAAAAATACATCTAATATATATATATATATATAAAAGGCACCTTTAGATATCCTCTAAGTGGTACAAAATGTTATCCCATTGTATACTCCATTACTAAGATAGGTAGCTAGATGACTTACTTCTGAGAACGATGTTGTAACATACATAATACGGGAATGTGGGAAAATGCAACATGGAGACAGATATGTACAGTAATATATAAAATTCTTCACTGATCCCATGGAAGGGGCTTGGCTCCCAAAAACAAGCGGCATATTGGATAGAAGTTGAAGACATGTCATTCCATTCATATCCTTGAGTTGGGCTAGTTTTTCATCCATGTCCAATAACCAAATAGCAACATCTGTACAGAAAGTGACACCTAAATATTCAATACTCATTGATTCTTAAGATTTAGAATTATAAAGAGAAGTGTTTCATTCACATCATTTTTTTCACTCTATATACATGTCAAGTCACTAAACAATATAATAAATGGGAAATGCACATAACTGCTACGAAAATATCATGATCTTGTTATAACACACTATCCAACCATCATATATTCTTGTCATAGTTAACAATATGGATATACAATGAAATAATTAAGGACAGAGTGAAACATGCACCTACCAAAAAATTGCCCAAGAATGCTAGCATGAAGAATGGAATATTTGTCAAATCTAACAAAAAGCCTTCGTATGTCACCCTGGGCATGTTTGGCCATATACTTGAGCATCTTAAGCTTGCCGAGCTTGGCCGCTCTGAACAAAGGGGTTTCACCTGAGTCATTTATGAGCTCTATTAGTGGCAACCATTGCTTTTGTTCTGGTTCATTTGGAGGTGCCTTTAGCTGCTTCTCAAACTTGAACACAACACCAACCATCTCCACCCTTGTACAGAAGATGATCTCATGGAGAAGAGTGTTATGCACACAATTTCCCTTCCTTAGTGCATGCCACCTATCCACTTCAGGAAGCATTTCCAACAATTCCCGGAAGAGGTGGGGATTATTAGAGCGAGTTGCAATGTGAATGGCAGTGTTTCCAAATAAGTCAAAAGGCTCAAGCAAACGTTTATTGTCTTCCTCCAAGATTTTCTTGAACAATATCCAATTTTCACTCCTTGCAGCTCTTTGAGCTCTTATCGTTTTCTCATCAAACATAGAGACATCTCCCTCTGTCCCTTCTGCCGTTGCCATTGCCATTTCCCTTTCCGTCTCTCTCTCTGTCTCTTTTATTTAACAATACACGCACTTGGAATGTACCCTCTCTCATGCACAGATCAGCTAGCTAGTGTTGAATGTGTGCATTTTGCTTTTTGCATTCGTGCAAATAAAAGGGTTTATGTGCTCTGATTCTTGATTAGTTCCACAAGAAAAGTTTCTTGCACTATTTTCTCCTTCGATATATATATATATATATATATATATACTAAAGGACTATCATTCATTATTCTTTGCTTACATATAATAAAGATATACACATATAGTCAATTATTCTTCGTGTTCCTTAATTTTTATATTGCCACCTTGTACACAGAGAAGATATATTGCCACCCTACATACATTCAACATCTCTGTTTTATCGTCCACAGAAATTACATATGCACGGAAACTTGAAGAAGAAATTTCTTTACAGGTATATAAGAGACGTTGATTTGATGAAAAAAAGGGACATGTGAGATTCGTACATGACATGGATAATAATTTTGTGGAAGAGACTCTCTTCAACGCACTTTTTATTATTAAGTAAATTTCACAAGTTTATATAAATAGACAATAAGTTTCCCAAAAAAAAAAAAACAGACAATAAGATTCGCATAATTTGACATCTTATATTAGTTTTATTTCATAATGAAGAATGTATTTAAAAAATGTGTTACATTTAAATAAATTTATAACAGGATTTTTGTTTAGTCTTATATTGACCCCTGAATAAATTTAACCAAATTCTTAATACCCTTTAGTAAGAATTGAGCCCAAATAGTGGTCTATTATCACTTTAGCTCTCACAGTTACCTCCCTAAACTACAATTTCGATACCAAAAAAAAGCCCAAAAGTCTCAAATAATAATTATTAGGATTATGCATGGAAAAATAAATAAACAACTGCAACATGAAGTCTTAAACAAATGATCAAGGACTAGTGAAAGCACTCAATAATCACAATATAAAAGAAAACAGTTGGAATTTTAGATGAACTTCCTTCCAGCACTTTGATACAATAATAAGTTTTCAGATTATCGTCTACACGATAGAAGGTGAAATGCACAGTGCTTGCATCAGAGGAGATGTCACGTGAAACAAGACTGCATATGAAATTTTCAGCTAATAAATGGTAATGCTATAACTCACGCAGGGTGGGTAGGTGGGACACTGATTTTAGAAAATGTCAAGCAAAGCCGATATTTTCTTTGACCAAAAAAAAGCTGATATTTGCAATCTTGACAAAGTTTTGAAAAATGCTCACAGAAATTTCATGCTAATACATATATTGGAAAGATAGTAGCACTTATCTCAATCACGATTTTTATGGACCAAAATTCAGATTCACATAGAACAATCAGCTAACAAATCTCTTACTTTAGATAATGTAGAAGACAGTCTCTACTCATCCCTTTTTACCATCTTTTAAGAATGTCTCCAATCTTTTTGTTTCAGGAATCTTCTCGTATTGTTCCATTGCACATTCCCATGCCCGTAAACTTCTGTTAATCAACTTGGAGCCTATTCCTTTCAAAACCAATGGAATGCCCCGCGCATAGCTTACTACATGATTAGACACATTTTCGTACCCAGTTGCAGGTTGGCTAGCATTGAAAGCATACCAACAAAAAAGCTCAAGAGAATCACGATCATTGAGTCCCTTCATTTGATATGTCCTTTCAACAAGATGGGCAAGTAGCAAATGTTGATCCCTTGTTGTTACAATAATCCTGCTACCAAAACCAAACCAATCACACCCTCCTGCTAACTTTTCCAACTGTTCTATCCCATCAACATCATCAAGAACCAAAAGAACTCTTTTATGGGCAAGCCTGTGTTTTATCATAGAGATTCCTTCATCAGCACTGGCCAGCTTAGTTTTTTTCTCCTCAAGAATCTCTGACAGAAGAGTTTGTTGCAGACGCAGCATGCCCTTGTGCTGCTTGGAAGCTTCTCTGACATTGAAGATGAAACATGCACCTTCAAACATGTGGAGGATGGAATTATACAAAGCTTTGGCAAGGGTGGTTTTGCCAACACCACTTTCTCCATAAATTCCTAACATGCAAACATCATTGTTGGAAGCAAGATCTAAAAGCAACTTGGCTTGTTCAATACAGGGGTGAAGCCCAATAATGCGCTCACCAATATCTATATGTTTGGGAGGTAATTGGGCAGAAGTCTCTTCAGCAACCCTTTCAATGAACTCAAGTTCACATCTGTCAAAATCATACCATGCTCTCTAAGTGAGCTTAAGGGCTTATATTTAGATGAACTTTTATAAAATAAAATTTATTTAAAAGTGAGGATAAAATTATTTGATTTTTATATTTTAAAATATAAACTTATAATGAAATTCAGTATAAATATTTGTAATGATTAAAGGCAAAATCAATTTTAGTAAAAAGTAATCAACATTCAATATGTTTACAAAACTATGTTAAAATGAAGTAAATATGATTATCAGTGATATTTTAAAGTGTATGCAAATATACACTAAAAATATTTCGTCACGTCAAAATAATAAAAAATTAAAAATATTTTTAATTCTTATATTTTTATAAAGTTTTTGTTTTATTTTTTTAATTTATTTATCTTTACAATTTTACAAAATTTTAATTTCTATGTAACTAATATAATAAGAAGAATCCAAACAAAAAAATCACGAAAAGATAGAAATAAAAACTAAAAAAGAGACTAAAATAAAATCCTCACAAATACAAAGAGTTAAATAAATATTTAAGTCAATAATAATAAAAAAATATTTATCTGAATTATTTAAATAATAATAATAATAAATGATGTTGAAACACTAATGATTGTGCATTGCGTACCCAGCTTGAAAATGCCACCCTGACAAGCCAGCGGCTTGGTTGAGAGAGGACCTCCATTTTCGGAGCTTGTTGGAGTCTGTTCCGACCCTCTCTTCGTGTTTAGCGATGGCTTCTCCGTAACTCTTTCTCTGGTGCCGTACAACAGAGGGTTCTACTTTGTAAAAAATTGGGAACACCACTTGCTTCTTTTGCTTCATACACTTAAGGATCTTCGTTAGTTCGGTGAGGCAACGCTTCGAAGAAGCGTAATTTTCAGAGAAGACTACGATGGCGATCCTTGAGCTGCGAATCGCTGAGGAGTTGCCGCCGAGGACGGCTTTCAGTCCCTTCCGCCGGAGAGCGTCGTATAGAGTGGCTGCGAATGTGTTTCCGGTGTCTTTCTGCCGGAAACTCACGAATACGCCACGGGTGCCGGAGAATCGAGGGGATGATGGGGAAGCTGAAGCTTCTTCCGCGGTGTCCATGCTTATTTACATTCAATTGCCATTACGGATGTTTAATTTTATATGAAAGTTGATTGTGAGATGCATGAAGAAAATATATGAAAAACATGATATAATTTAAAAAAATATATATATATGAAATGGATGAAACAAGCATGCATCGACTTACATGGAATGTTACAGTCTATAGTTTAGAATTTGACTCTCGACAAAAATAAAAAATAAAAATTCTCAAATATGATTGTTTTGAATGGAAGATATTTATAGTTTTTTTATGTGATTGAATAAAATTGAGTTGAGCATGTTTTTTAGTTTTTGTTTTAATAAAGATCACATTAATAAGTATTCTTAAGGGTATTGGTTAACCTTTTTTTTATTAGATATTACATTAAAATATATTTAAAATTATAGTGAAAATGTTTTCTTTTTGTTGACAAACATATAATTGTTTAGTTTTGTGTTTTGTTAGAAACCAAATCTTGATAATTTAATTAGGATTTTCTCATAAGGCTTAATTAATATATATATATATATATATATATATATATATATTAATATTACTATTCTTTGTAAATTTAAATTTTAAAGATTTATGAATTAATTTAATTTAGAGTAAAATATTTTTCTTTGTGCTTAATATTTAATTTCTTTTGTCTATGTTTTTTCTACACTATAATTAGTAGTTTATAATATTATAGTTTATTGAGTCCATATTCTTGTGTATTGAATTTGTTATTTTTTTATTTCTTTGTAACGTGTGAATATAAATATCACAATATTTTTCTTTTATAATATATCGATTCATTCAATTTTAATAATAAATATGTATTTTTTTAAAATATTAAGATATTAGAGCTAAATAAAAAAATTTATAAGAAGAAGAACAATAGTTATAAAATAAAACAGAATAAATTGAACGAAGAGAATTACAATTACCTAAAAAAAGAATTAAGGAATCATAAACTAATAAATTGTAATAATAAAAACGATAAAGATCTTCTTGAAGTTTTGCAATTCAAAAAATATCCCTATGAGAAAATTTATCTTAAAGGTTCTTTTAAACAACTGAAGTCTTATCAATTTATAAGATTAATTTTACAATGAAATTCAGAAAGTGATTAATGGCTAAATTAAACTTCCATTGATGAACTTAGTCTTATTCTTTGATTATAATGTCAATTTCATTACATGTGCTCAACTATGATAATTTTTGTCATTTAAAAGTGGTGAAACTAAAATAAGAGAAGGCTTTTTGTTTGGATGCAAAAAATATAGGGATTAGAAGGATTGGTAGCATAATTGTTGTAACTTTGATTTGCCATTGAAGATGAGAAGAGTGAAAGCAAGAATAATGACTAAAAAAAAAAAAAAAGGCATAAATCAAAGCTATGATATCATCTTGATATTTAGGAAAAAAGAAAAATATATATTTATTATCAAAATTGAATGAATCAATACATTAAAAAAAAAAGATTTTGTGGCTTTTATATCTACACATTACCAAAAGATGAAAAAATAACAGACTCAATAAACCAGAATATTAGATAATATCTCCCTTCTAATTGTGTATATCTTTTGTCTACTAATCTAGCCTTATACCTCTCTATAGTACCATTTGCATGATATTTAACCATGTGGGCCCATTTGCATACAATTGGATTTTTACTTTTAGAAAGATCAAGAATAGACCAAGTCTAATTATGCTCAAGTGCCAATAACTAAGCATCCATGACCTTTTTCCAATAATCAAATTTAGAAGTTTGAAGGTAGGTTTTGGGTTCTAAAATTGAGGTAACAACTAAACAATTTTATTTTTTTTATACATTTTCTCCTTTTGCCAAATTAACCAAAATGAGAATACTTCTTACCTTGGTTGCTACAAAAGGATGGTTTTTAAAGCAATTGGATGTTAATAATGCTTTTTGTATGGTGATTTACATGAAGAGGTTTACATGATTCCTCCACCTGATTTGCTAACTTCACATTCTTCCAAAGTTTGCAAATTACACATGTCTATCTATAGTTTAATGTAGGCTAGCTACCAATGATATTTAAACTTTATTCTGCACTGATTTCTTTAAACTAACACCAATCATCAGATCACTCACTCTTTGTAAAAGTCACTTCATCTTCATTCACAACTCTTCTAGTGTATGTTGATGATCTTGTCCTTCTAAAAATAGAATGGAGGAAATTAATCATGTCAAACGGTTTTTGCGTAACAGCTTTAAGATCAAAGATCTAAGTCCTCTTAGATATATCTTAGACCTTGAAATTGTTTGGTCTAAAGATGATATGGTCCTTATTATAACTTTTGGAAGTTAGTGCTCTCCTTGCTTCTAAACTTGTCAATACACCTTTTAACCATTCCACTAAATTGAAAGTTGATCAAAGTACCCTTTTTTCTGATACAACAACTTATAGAAGATTAATTGGCATATTGCTCTATTTGCCAACTATTAGACCTCATGATATCTTTTATTCAGTTCAATAGCTTAGTCAATTTCTTTCTAAGCCCTTAGATACTCATTTTAAGGGAGAAACTAGAGTATTAAAATATCTGAAAGCAGCTCTAGCTAAAAGCATTTTCTTCCCAGCTTATTTGAATTTGAAACTCCATAGTTTTGTTGACTCTAACCTGGCTTGTTGCCTTGATAGCCACAAGTCTATTACAGGTTATTGTGTTTTTTTTTTTTTTTGCTCTTCCCTCGTTTCATGAAAATCTAAAAAACAAAATACTATCTACAGGTCTTCTTTAAAAGCTGAGTATAAGGCCTTGACAAGTCTTACATGTAAAATTTAATGGCTTAAATATTTATTAAAGGATAAGCTAAAGTATAAGGCTTTGACAAGTCTTATATGTGAAATTTAATGATTTAAATATTTATTAGAGGATCTGCATATACATTTGTCTAATTTAACTTCTGTTTATTGTGACAATAAATTTATCATATATTTTGACCATAATCTCAACTTCCATGAGAGAGCAAAACATATTAAAATTAATTGTCATGTAATATGAGAAAAAATATAATATACTCTTATTCATTTATTTCATGTTAATTCTTCTTAACAACTAGCCGATGTTTCTACAAAGCCTTTTCATTCTACTTTATTTATTCAATTTCTTACCAAGTTGGGTCGTTGTGATCTTCATAACCCAAATTGATGGAGATATTATCTAATATTTTAATTTATTGAGTTGATATTTTAGTTTATTAAATCTTTTATTTTTTTCATTTCTTTGTAATACGTGGATATAAAAGCCATAATAGCTTTTCTTTTTGTAAGATACATTCATTCAATTCTGAAAATAAATATATATTTTTCTTTTTTTCTAAACATTAGAGAGAAAAAAGTGTAAGAAATGACAAATTTTCTATATATATATATAACTTGTCCTGCGTGATCGCTATCCTTTGTATGCTTCCTCAGCAATGGAGAATACTCCTCAAATATTAATGCGCGCAAGATGACACTCAACATTGAAAGACATATTTGGGCAACACAATATATTTAGTTGCACCGGTGAGTTGTGCAACACCTATGAAAAGACATATTTGCCATTATTCTTGCTATATTTAACTTGCAAGATGACCCTCAGCATGAAAATTAAGGTAGTGCAATAACAAGAAGTTTGTAGACATAAATCTAAATTTTAATGATCGAAAGCATCATCCACCCTCGCTGCTTCTTAAATCTCCCAAAGGGGCTCCAGACAACCCCACTTCCTCATGCCCATGTCGTAGGAAATGGAACCCCATCATTGTGCTTTGTTTTCCATTCTCCTAGAATAAGTGGAAATGGGAAAATCTATATAAACATAAAGAATACTAATTGAATTAGGTGAAAAGGGAAATTCGAAACAATAGGCTCACCTTTTCCTCATTTTTGAGGCATATTTTCCCTTATCCTTAGACTTGTACTTCCTCATGACTTTCTTTGGTGGTTCATGCTGAGGATAAAATTTAACTCTTACGTTTTAACACATTTCTTGCAATACTAGTGGATGTTAAGCAAAACCCAGTGGAGTTAATGGATTTGGGACTCTTGAATTGAATGTCTTCCATGTTTATTTGTTGCTTGTACACATAAACACCAGAGCTACGTATGGTGAAATCTGTTGAGTCACATACAGCTTGTATTTCCACATCATTCCAATCATGCATTGGTAATGCACCAAGGCTTTCCCACTCTGCTTCTCGAAAAATTTGTCGTAGATCCCACAATAACAAATTACCTTCTATAATTGGACAGTGTAAATGGCTTGGACTATTTTTCCTGTGCACTTCACGACCGTTAATGCGCACATAGACCTCAACATGGCACTCTCTGTCATCCTCTGTTTTCACATTGCCATGTCCTAAAACAAATGCCAAAGCCATGGAAGGAAACTTGCCACGTGTGCAAAAAGACACAGCCCCGTCTTCACAACGATGATCAAACCAATCTGGAATTGATGTTTCTGGCATTTTGATTAGTAAGTCACGAACCTCGTTCATTGCCTGAGACATTAAAATAACAATGACCATGATGTTTCTTTCTCGTATCAGACAGGAACAAACTCAAATTATCCGTTTTGTTTTCTCTAAGGAAAGAAGTCTATAAAAGGTATTTGAAGTTTGAACATGGAGCTCTGGAAATATCAATTATTTTTTAAACTAAGCTCACAAAATAAATGGAAAAAAATTCAATTAATTGTAAAAAAGAATAACAGAAATGGTTGTTTCAGGAAAATAGCTGTATCGTCAACAAATGTTAAATATGACTATATCACAAAGGTTATATTTCCCCAACATATTCTATTTTACTTCTCACTTCTAGATATTAATTTGAAGTAGCATAACTTTAAAAAGAAAAGTATAAAATTAAAAAAACTCAGTGACTGAAATTCAACTAAATAAATACTTTTTCACGGATGAAATTTTAATTAAGTACACTAAATAAAATATTAAGGAAATTTGATATATGACCTTATAACCAGCTCGGAAACAAAGTGGTTTAAAACCGTTGTCTTAAAGAATGAATTGTATTTACTCTTTTATCTATTTTATTAGAACAAAGAGTAACATTAAATAAATTGAATACCCATGAATCTTTCTAATTTTGTAGAAAATTCAGTATATACAAGTAAACGTCACCTAATTGTGAAATTGTCTTTGTATAGAGAAAAAAAAAATGTGCACCCTAACTTGTATCCTAATGCCAGAAATAAAAGGACAATGAGAAAAGAAACAAAAAAACCTGAGACCATAACCAGCCTGATGACTCTGTTGTCAATGACGTACAATTCTCAGCCTTTATTATCTTCAAATTTGAGGGAAGCTGTGGAATGTCTTGAAGCTTCTTGCAACCAGTGACATCCAGTTCTAACAAATTAGCACACTCTTTAATGCATTCTGGAAGGGAAACAAAATCATTCCCTGATAGAAATAAACCTTGCAGTTTTGAAAAAATATCAAGAACAAGGTGAAGATCTTCATCCAATATGCCACAGTTCTCAAGATTCAAGAATTGTAAATTTGGGCGTCCAGCTACTACCATATGGTTCTCTTGCATTGATTTTCTAAATGATTTTCTACTGCGTGGTCGACTATCTCCCAGTAGAAGCCAGCCAAGATTTTGCAACATGAATAAGCTACTTGGTAAATGTCTAAGATTCTTGCAACAATTCATATCTAGAAGTTCGAGTCCTGATAGATTGCCAATAGAATGTGGTAGCTCTTTAATACCGGTATCTTCAGCAAGAATTGTCTTTAAAGCATCCATCTTTCCTATTATGTTTGGGAAGTAGTTAAGACTTTTGCAACCAGTGAGATCAAGCATTTCTAGAGATGCCATTTTGATTTTATGGGGAAAGGTTATAAGCTTGGTGCAACCACTGACATCTAACTGAATCAGCCTAGAGAGAGATCCAACAGAATTGTGAATCTTTGTAACATTGCAGCAATCCTTAAAAACCAGTTCTCTTAAATTTGGTGCTCCAGATACATCAGGTATTTGAGTTATGAATTCACAATGTGAGAAATACATATCTGTCAAATACTCGAATCTCTGCACATAAAAAACAAAGAGAAAAAGAAAAGCACAATAGCACTAAGTGATATTGAATTATGATACAAGTTGCAAATAAAATGATTGTTGTTGGGCATCAAGGAACAGTTGTACCTTCAATGGCTCTTGCAATCTGAAAAGGCTGTGGCGTAACTTTAAGACAACAATGTTTCTGGGATAAAAGCCCTGTGGTAATGATGTTGAAGGATATCCCTCCCAATCAAGCAACCTCAAGTTATTTGGCAGATGCTTGGGGGCAGTTGAAAAGCATGTGTTTCGAACAATGAGAATTCTAAGATTATTAATCTTTTCAAAGGAAGTTCCATTCCACTCCACTTCTTCATTTTCTGGAGGATCAAGCATCATTCCTTCAATATTTCTACTTCCCTTTAAAACAAGTGGTTAGAAGTAAAGTTAATTAGGTATTGCCTATTGTGGTCACCATTTTAATGAGTAAAAAACAAAGAAGATACATAAAATGGATTCTTACAGAATTTTCATGTAGTATTCTACAAATATCATCATGACACCATAATCTGCTGCGTTGACCAGGTTCTGATGGTGCCTCCATTCTAACAATATCTTTACCCATTTCTTGGATAAGATCATGCATCCACAAGCAGCCAAATCCATTGACAGATAAGAGATATTTATCAACAAGTACCTCAATGTAAAATTTTGCACCAAAACCACTTGCATCTAGTATCTCTTCAACAAATTCCAAAGGCCTCCTTTTGAAGAAACAAGCAATGTCTAAGAAAATACACTTTGCATTATCCTCTAAGTTGTCATAGCTTATTTTCAGTATGTCCAGAACGTTTCTATCTGGAATACTCTCATATTGCTTCAAAATACATTTCCATGCCTCTAAGCTTTTATGAGTCAAATTGGAACCAATTACTTCTAAAACCAATGGAAGGCCCTGTGCATAACTTACTACATAATTAGACATTTCTTCATAGCCTGATGCAGGTTGAGTCATATTAAAGGCATGCCAAGAAAAGAGTTCAAGAGCGTCATGATCATTCAGTCCCTTCATTTGATATGTCCTGTTGACATGAGGGGAAGTCAGCAGATGTTTATCCCTTGCTGTTATAATGATCCTGCTACCCGAGCCAAACCAGTCACATTTTCCAGCAAGTTTTTCTAACTGTTCTACATCATCAACATCATCAAGAACCAGAAGAATTCTTTTATGGCAAAGCCTGTGCTTTATTTTAGAGATTCCTTCATCAACACTACCCACCTTAATTTTTGTCTCCTCAAGAATCTCAGATAGAAGTGATTGTTGGAGACGTACTAGGCCCTTGTACTGCTTTGAAATTTCTCTGACATCAAAAAGAAAACATGAACCTTCAAATTGGTGGAAGGTTGAATGATACAAAGCCTTGGCAAGGGTTGTCTTGCCAATCCCACCAGCTCCATGAATTCCCAACATGCATACATTATTATCAGATTCAGACACACTATCCAGCAGTGACTTCACTTCTTCCATAGGAAACTTGAGTCCGACTATGTGCTCACTGATATGTGTTCGTTTAGGCGGTAATGTTTTGAATATCTGTTCAGCAATCCTTTCAATGAACATAAATTCATCCCTGCATAAATGAAAGGACCATAAATTCATCCCTGCATAAATGTGGTGCTTTCTAAATCGTCAAGTTGATACATCAAAACTCCTTTCTGTTTGGTATAATCACCCAATCATGTAGCAGTTTAGGCAGAATTATGTTGCACAATTACCGATTCAAATATCGAGTATGATATTAAAACGTGAGTACGATAATATATATTAACAACAATATACTTATATTTACTTATGTACATTGCATATTTTAAGATAATTTTCATCAAATTTTAGTTAACTAACAACTTTACAAAAAAAAATTATCCCTAAACAATAAGAAATATTCCAACAAATTATATAAAATATAAAAATTATTAATTATCAAACATGTAATATGAATGCAAGGGTATTTTACGTGAATATGTATTCAACGTGAATAACACACACATATGTTTTTTCAATATCCGTGAATAGAAAAACAGAAAAACATATGACAAGAGATATAAGCGCAAAATGCTGGGTTATATGAAATTGAAGATAAAACTTTTGTGGCTTCGTTTTATAAAAATCAACCAAAATAAGAGACACAAATATATACACTCAGCCATATTTTAAATGTATTTATTTTGAAGATAATATGTATTATGTATATAAAAGATAAAAAGTAAGAAAGAAATAAAAACAATTATATGTATAATATCATATGGGGTATTACTTTTGAGTAGATAAAACAACTTATCGAAGCATAATTGTTTGAATGGGAAAACAAGGAAATAGTAGAGTGTTGGTATGATATATACCCATGTTGAAAATGCCATCCTGAGAAGGTGGCAGCTTGAGACAAAGCGAACCTCCATTTGTTGACCTTTTGCAAATCATGTCTGAACCTATGTTCAAGAGTAGCCATGGCTACCCCATAACTATTCCTCTGGAGCCGTACATCGGAGGGATCGACCTTGTAGAAGATTGGGCAAAGGGGCTGATTCTTTTGCTCCTTACACTCAACAATCTTGACAAGTTCATCGAGACACCACGTGGAAGTTGCATAATTTTCGGAAAAAACGACGAGGGAGAGGCGTGATCTTTCGATGGCTTTAAGAAGGGTGGCTGAAATCTTTTTCCCTTTGCCCAATTTCCTGTCGTCGATGAAGGTGTTGATTCCCTTTCTTCTCAAAGCATCATAGAGATTTTTGGTGAAAAGGTGACGCGTATCTTCTCCCCTGAAACTTAGGAAAACATCGTAATAGTGTGTCTGCACTGTTCTCCCAGTTGCCATCGGTGTCAGCTCGTGCCACTCACGCTTCCATTTTCAGACTTCGAACTTCCAAGTCGTCTTCTATCTACTTCCCCTTTTTATTATTCTTTGTAACCACTGTTGGCCCACGTGAAATTGGTGTTTTTATACATTTAAAAGGAATACGCTATTAATTAGATCCGGATTGAGTGCAGTCCAAGCAGAAAATGTACAGTATATGCAAAAATTTACATTTTTAGTTAAACAAAAATGTATTATTTTAAATAAAAATATAAAATAACATAACTGCACGACTCAGTTCCTATTAGTTAAAGTTGTACTACGAATTTGTCTGATCTTTATCTGAATATAAGAAAACACTACTCATGGATTATTGATATTTTAAAAAGATTAATTTGTTATTTCATAATAACTACTTCAATAAAGGTGTTAATTAAATCTTTATAAAATTAATTATGAAAATTTGTTATTAATACAAATGTGTTGAGGCATTTTCGTAGGTGTTCACATCGCTCGTGTTAAGGAGCGACAATAACTCATGTAGGAATCGTCTCAAACGTCAAAGAAAGAAGACCAGTACGTCAACATGCCTATCTTAGACTTGGTCTAAGAAGAACAAACACTTCCAACCATAGACCTGTAATCATCCCCCTAATGTTAGGCATAGTTCTACAGTCAATTAATTAATTATCTGCTTATCTCAATTAATCTTCAAACAAATAAAATATATTTTATATATTATTAAGTAAATAATATACTGGATTTCATCGATTGTGATATAAGATGGATCCTTGTTACTGTACAAAGTAAATATCTTTTGAGTGACCTTACATTTATTATGTATTTTGAGAATATAATACAATAACAACAATTAATCCCTTTTTGATATGCTGGAATAGTTGTTGACTGGTAGCAGATCATCAGGTCCGAAACAACAATCAAATTCATTTCCATTCAAATAATATATCATCAAGAAATTAAGAAAGGCATGGAAGGCCTAGCAACAATTCGACTATATATATTTTCCATCAAAGAAACGTCTGATTAATGACATTAAACAAAACCAGTCAAAGAAAATTGAGGAATTCAAATAATGGCCGACAACAGTGATTACCAATTTCAAATATCCTAAATCATAAACTTATAAGTCATTCTAACATGTATAAAGAAGAGAAACTTGAAAAAAAAAATACAAAATAATTAGCTAGCATTGCTTGCACGCCTACTCATCATCATCAGAGAACTGCTGTGGGCATGATTTATACACCCAATAACTGAGTCAATAAGATTGTAATGATCACAAAACTCGCATTGCCAGAATTCATTATCCTTGATCAGTTCATAAACGTTGGTAGATCTCATTCTTCCCTTTCACTCAGCATGGCTTTTAACATGCACATCAACCAACCCATTCTCCAACGCCCTCACAAGATTCTCAAAATAAGTCTTGGTCACATTCGTTAGAGTAGTTAGCTTGAAACGAAAACCATTACTTTCTTCTGTCTCATCAGTATTCAGATACTTCCACAGTTCATTTTCTGCACAGTGATGAAGCCTTTCCAATGCTGCCTCAGCCTCACCTTGTGTGTACTCAAAAAACTCCTTCTTAGCCTCTTCACCCTCGGGTAGATAGTATCCATATGCATAGCTCCATTTCAATGCCCTTCTACACTCAATCACCTGTTGCCACGCCCTTTTTATGAACTCAAAATTAGCTTCTGACTTTTGATATAACCTACTCAGTCTATGTATGTGCACATTACGTAGGTCAATCAGATGCTTAAGCGCAGTTGTTCTTGAAAAATCATTGCTAGCCCAACGCTCATAGTAGTGAGTGTACCTCTCCAAATAACCACTCGCCCTTTTTCTCCTCGCATCCTCTTCCTTTTTCGCGTCAAATTTCTCAGCTGGAGCATCAGTAAAACGGTTGCAACCTGTGGCATTACACGTAGACCAACCACGAAGACAATACCAGCAGAAGTCAAACCCACACCTGCATCTCATGTGCATGCACCCTTCGTTTTTTTCAATGGCTCTCTTGCATCGAGGGCAGGGTTTGGTATAGGCAAGAATCCAAGAAGTGTTCTCAGATTCAGAATTATTCTTAGCGATCCATTTATTCACAGTGTCACAATCCACAGGGCCATGAGCTTCTTCCCCACAACTCCAACAAAAGCTATGATAACAAACACAAGTAACAAACGAATTAGTTCTAGCACCGTCAGATTCAAAACTCACAGCATAATCACAACCCGGACCAGGACACCACTTCATCTTCTTGTTGTTTTCCACGTAGGATCGAAGCAGAAACCGATCGTACTTTTTCTTATTTGACTCACTCGCAAGTTCACGAACCATGTCTCCATCCACAGCTACTTTGCAAGAGGGTTGAGGGCATGGAAGTTTCAAGCACTTATCAGGGCCACCATTGATGCTTGTATCCACATACTGCTTATAGCAATCGATGCAATATGAATGACCACACCCGGCTGACTTAACCCTATCGCACGAAACGACGTCGAAGCAGATATCACACATTAGGGTTTCAGAGTGTGGAAACCCAACCTGTTTTAGCAACCCTACGGCTTTGCGAACTCTTTCTTCGTCATTGAACCACGCTTCGTGCACGTTCATCACACTCCACTCGTAGTGGATGAGCAGAAGGCACGCGGAAACTCTTGGTATCGATAGAACACACGATACCTCGTTGATGTCGAGATCTTGAAGCCGCTTGACGTCGGATTCGCTCAAAACGGCGTAGTTTTTTTGCTCAACTTCGGATGGATTTTCAACTTCCTCCAAATAGTTGTCGTCCTCGTCGATGCTTGGAAGATCCGAAGCATCATCTTCAAAACTAGCAACCTCGTCGTCGCTGAAAGGGTCAAGGTCGGAGTCCATGAAAGGAAACACAGTGTAGAAGGAATGCTAACAACAAAACTAAGAACTAAAAGAGAAATTTGGGAAATTAGGTTGAAACTATTTGTTATTGAGAAACAATATATATAGGGGTTAGTATCACTAGATTTGAGTTGGGTTAAAATTTAAATTGTTTTTATAGTAAATATAAGTTTTGTATAATATTATTTGAATCCAATTTAAATAATTGATAATAGAATTTTTTATATTATTATTATTTATAATTATTTTTTAATTTAGATCATAAATATCTTTCATTGGAGATAATATTTTCGAGGTAAATAACATTATTATTGACAACAAATTTTTTTTGATAATTTAATTATTTATATATTATTTTTAAGCTTATATAATAAATATAACAGTAGATTTTTTTAGTATTTAATTATTTATATATTGTTATATTATTGAATTTTATGATAATTAATATAAAATTATAATTAATAAAGAAATTTAAATTAATATACTATAATTAATTAATAATGTAAAATGAATATGAGGTCAGCGGCGATAAATTTGAGTTGCTTCAAATTTAAGCTATGTTTATCAGGTTTAAGATAAGTTTACATGGAGTGAGGTAATTTGAATATAATTTAAACAGATTAGTGGTATACAAAACTTACATGTTATCTGTTAGAAGATTGTCATATAAATAAGAATTATTGACTTTTAAAATGGTAAGTATAAAAATTACTTATAAAATTAATTTAATTTAAATTTATTATAATTGATTGATAATATAAAGTGTTTTTTCAATTTTAATATTTTCTTTCAAATACTTTACAATAATTTTGTTTTAATTAATTTTTTGATATATTTTTTCTTATATATCTTCACTAAATGCAAATTTATTTAAGTTAGATGCCAACAAAATCATTAATAAGCAATAAAGTTTTTAAAGTATCAATATAACTACATTTAATATGAATTTGAATTTAAATTCATACGTTGAGGTAAAACAATATTTACTAATTAAAAAAATAATTAATATGTTATTTTAAGTTAATTTGATGTTACTTGAATTTTATTTTTTTTATTTTTTTTATTTTTTTATATACATATAAAAAAATATACCAAAACTTAATTAATCTTAATAAATCAAACTAAATTAATTTATTACTTTATTTTTTGATAAATTCTATTGTGCTTTGAAAATTAAGAAAGTATTATGCTCTCTTATACAATCATAATGATTAAGTTTAATAATGAAATTACTAGTTTATTTGAAAAAAATTAATTTTTTTTAATATTTTAATATAATTTAGGGAGAGTATTCAATACTCTTTTAAGTTTAAAAGTAGTACAGTAAGTATTTTTTTTGTTGTCTCATAAAATTACTTATAAAATTAATTTAATTTAAATTTTTATAATTAATTAATAATATAAACCTTTTTTTCGATGTTAGTATTTTCTTTTAAATATCTTACAACAATTTTGTTTCAGTTGATTTTTCTTATATATATTTTTTTCTTATATATCTTTCACTAAATGCAAATTTATATGAGTTGGATGCCGACAAAATTATTAATAAGCCATAAATTTTTTTAAAGTATTAATGTAACTCGTTTAATGTGAATTTGAATTTAAATTCACACATTGAGATAGAACAATATTTAATAAATAAAAAACACCGTTAATTTATCATTTTAAGTTAATTTGATGTCATTTGAATTGTACATTTTTATTTTTTTTTCATGAATATACACAAAAAAAATATGCCAAGACGTAATTAATCTTGATAAATCAAATTAAGTTAATTGATCACTTTGTTTTTTGGTAAATTTTACTATGCTCTAAAAATTGAGAAGATATTTTATGTTCTCTTGTACAATTGTAATTATTAAGTTTAATAGTAGAGTTAGTAATTTATTTAAAAAAGACTAAAATATCTTTTTAATATTTTAGTATAATTTAAAAAAAAATTCAATATCCCTTTGAATTTAGAAGTACTACAGTAAGTACTTTTTTTTTTGCCTCGTAAAAATTATTTATAAAATTAATTTAATTTAAATTCTTTTATAATTGATTGATGATATAAACCATTTTTTTTCAATGTTAGTATCTTTTTTCAAATATCTTACAACAATTTTGTTTCAATTGATATATATATATATATATATATATATATATATATATATATATATATATATTCTTATATATCTTTCACTAAATGCAAATTTATTTAAGTTAGATGCCGACAAAATGATTAATAAGCAATAAAATTTTTTAAAAGTATTAATATAACTACATTTAATATGAATTTGAATTTAAATTCATAAGTTGAGATAGAACGATATTTATTAATTAAAAAACACAATTAATTTGTCATTTTAAATTAATTTGATGTCATTTGAATTACATTTTTTTTATCTTTTTTATCTTTCTCATGTACATATACAAAAAAATATGCTAAGACTTAATTAATTTTAATAAATTAAACCAAGTTAATTGATCACTTTATTTTTTGATAAATTCTACTATACTATGAAAATTGATAAAGTATTTTATGCTCTTTTATATCATCGTAATAATTAAGTTTAATAGTAAAGTTAGTAATTTATTTAGAAAAAAACTAAAATATCTTTTAATATTTTAATATTCCAGTGCTCCTTTAAATTTAAAATACAATAGTATAGTAAGTACTTTCTTTTTGTTGCCTCATAAAAATTACTTATAAAATTAATTTAATTTAAATTTTTTATAATTGATTGATAATATAAACCTTTTTTCATTTAATGTTTGTATTTTCTTTCAAAATTTTACAACAATTTTGTTTCAGTTGATTATATATATATATATATTATTTTATTTTTTTACTTCTTACATATCTTTCACTAACGCATATTTATTTAAGTCAAATGACTGATAAAATCATTAATAGGTAATAATTTTTTTAAAGTATTAATATAATTTGAATTCAAATTCATACGTTAAGATTAGAGATAAAAATAAGCTAGACTTTACGTAAATAGATCTGATCTGTTGAATAATTTTAAAATTTACCTTTTTAAAATCTTGATTTGACTTATTAGCTTTTTTAATTATCTATTTCATATTAAGATATTTAATAGGTCATTAAGTTTTTTTTATAAAACTATTAATCATTTAAATAGGTATATCTTTTTAAAAGTCATAAAACTTATATCTAAATAAACTATTAAAAAAAGTATTACATACCTTGAATATGTATGTATAATAAAATTACATATTTTTATTTATTACTTTCAAACCATATATTTAATTTAAATAAGTAAATCACTAAACATACAAAAATACAATAAAATAAACATTAATTTATAAATTTTTAAGCAAATATAGTAACATAAAGTTATACATATTAAATCAACAAATATAATATAACTAAATAATTTTAGACTTAAAATTAACAAATACAACAAACAAAAATTTAAAATACACAAATAATAATATTTTTTTCTTAGTAAATGAGAAGTAACAAATATGTCATGAGATCTTCAAAGAGATATTTTCATGTTGTTCATTAACTTTCAAAATAAAGAAAAAATATTATTAGAATAAAAATACTTTAAAAATAATGCTTCTAAATTTTTTAAAAATAGTTTCAGAAGTTATTAACTTTGATTTTCTCGTCAAATTATACTTAAATAAAGCTAATTTCTACTACAAATTAATGCTTCAATACACTCATTATTAAACAAAAACAATATTCATTAATAACTTTATCTCACTAAATATAGACTCTGATGCCACGATTGAAATTTAATATATTATTATATTATAATTTTTATATAAATATATTATTATAAATTTTAAATAGGTTATTTTAATAAACTTTTTTGATTTTTTCTTAACCTCAAGCCTAACCTCTTTAATTAATTAAATTTTTAAAAAAATTAAATTAAGCCTATTAATCAAATAGACTTAGTTAAAATAAGCTTTAAAAATATTAAGTCATAAGCCTCTCTTATACAGCATGTCTTATTTTAATTCTCAATTGAGATAGAATGATTCTTATTAATTAAAAAACATAATTAATCTGTCATTTTAAATTAATTTGATGTAATTTGAATTTTACCTTTTATTTTTTATTTTTTTCATGTACATACAAAAACAAAAATGCAAAGACTTAATTAATCCTAATAAATCAAACCATATTAACTGCTCACCTTTTTTTTTTTTTTTTGCCCCATTGAAATTGGACGATTGTATCCTCTTGGTATCCTTGGAAGATGTTAGACATTACAAATCCTCACAACGTTAAGAAGTGCAGGACATTTATTTGAAAAGCCTATATTTAATTTATTATTATAATTATAAATGACGGACATGTACAGATAAATAACACATTAATCATATTTAAATAGACTTTTAGTAATTTAACTCCTAAGAGCTTAATTATAAAATTTTAATAAAGACTTATTTGCTAATTTATCTTATGTTATTCATAAAATTTCTTTATTTACATACATAGATATCATAATCTATACTTAAATTAGTCAAACTCCAAAGCTGTCTTACACATTTTGGATAATAAAAAAAGCTACACATTTAATTTTCTAATAATTAAAAACTATTTTTTAACATTCTAGATATATACTATAAATTTAAGAAAATATTATACGTTTTTTTAATTAATAATTATAATTTTTTTAATATTTTATATGATTTAATTATATTTTTTATTCTTATAAATATAAGTTATTTTGTGATTAATTATTACAAATATTTTTATTAGAAAATGATTTTTTTAAAGTAAGTAATTTAGAAATTATCATTATCGTTAATTTCTTCTATAATAAATATTGAGCTGATTGATAAAGAGGTAGCTCAACATTTTACCAGGATCACGTAACTATCTTGAGACTTAGTTATCAACTTGATATAACATTTTATTTATTATTTATTATTTTTATTTAAAATTAAAATTTATAAATAAATCCCTACACATATTTTATCTAATTGTGTAAAAATCTTTTTTCTTCAACACTGCAGCACCTCTCCACCACCCCAATCCCTACTCCTTTCCTCCATGGCCACTCCCTCCTTACCGTGTCACTCTCTCCTCTTCTTCCTCCTTGCATCACATTCCGCACACTCTCACCCACACCACATGTCACCCACACCTCATGGTGATGGGAATAAAACCGATACTGGTGTAAAAAATGAGGAGTTTTATTTGACTGCATTGTTGCGGAAGCTTGTTTCTAGACGAGGTTATGCACAAATGTAAGAATTTTTGCATGGAATTGGCATTTTGTGGTTTTTGTTTTATATTATGTAAGATTGTGGCCTCAGTAAAGTAGTAAAGAGGAGGTGATAGCTAGCAAACTCTACGAGTACTGAAACCCATCCGTAAATTCTTTCTGAGTGGCAGGCATCAGGGTGGCGCTTGAGTTTCTCATATTCCAAAAAACTATCTGAGGCACAACAGAGCCAAACAATTCTTCATCTTTTACGCATATCCTCCACCATCCTCTTCCACTGCAACTCAGTTAACAGTCACGAAATAGCAAAGAGGCAAGAAAACCTTCACCAAAAATACAAATAAATTTACATAAAAAATATGCTGAGAAATAACATTGAACAATAATAACAAGAGCAATGAAGATTATTTACACGACGACTAAGCTTCACTGACACATACATAACAACAATCAAGCAAATGATAAACCCAAATAAACAAAATAATCAGCAAGAAGAACAAACATAACAGAAAAATAAACCACGGAAGATGCAAACACGCAAATACAGAATCTGATACACACAACCATGTCTTACTGTGGTAGCGGACGTGCAAGAGTTGGCACGAGACTAGCTTCCATTGGCTGCACGGGTTTGCAATCGGTTTTGGAAGGTAGTAGGGGTGCTGGTGGAGATAGAGAAGGGTGAGAATAAGAAATAAATGTCAGAAAGTAAGAATGTGGGATGAAGAAGGGGCGAAAGGGGGTGGGAGAGTGGGAGAGTTGGGTTGGAGGAAGGGGGGGAGTGGAAGTTGGGGTTGGGATGAAGAAGGTAGAGTGTGGGGAAGAGGAAGAAGAAAGAGTATTGATGTGTGTGGGAGTGTGCGGGTGAAGGGGAGGAGTGATGGTGCATGTTGGAGGGCCATGGAGAAAAGGAGTAAGACAGGGGTGGTGGAGAGTTATTTACAAATTTTAATTTTAAATAAAAATAAAAATAAAAATAATAAATAATATGACATATTAAGTTGATTGTGATTATCTCAAGACTAACACGTCACTCTATGAAGTACTGAGATAGTTCTCAATCAGTATAATATTCAACAAAAAAAAATTAACAGCAAGAATCAATTTCTAAATAAAAACTTATATTTATAAGAATAAAAAAATATAATTAAGTCATTTGAAAAAATATTGTACACTTTTTTTTTAATTAACAATTATAATTTTCTTAATATTTTATAAATTTATATTTTATTAAAATAATTCACTAACTTCATTATTTATTAGTGTAAAATTATCAAAATGTGAGAATGTCATTTATAAAAAGCAGAGGATAAATTCCTTAAAAGTGTATTTATTTTTTAAAAATGGGGCATGAGTGAACATTCATAAAAAAAAAAGTAAAAATAATAAGAATAATAACTTAAGCTTATTATGATCCAGTGAGTGGTTGTGAAGAGCTTGAAAACAATCATTTCATTCACCGGCGAAGCCGTTGGGATAAGGCAGAGAGAGAAAAGTGCTTCCAACTTGCAATGGCTACTCTGCAATTCACATTCACTGATTCAACCTCCTTCTTCAGACCTTCTCTTCCCTACAAGTCTCTCTCTCTCACTCGAAATCGAACCTTCCTTGTAAAAGCTTCTTCTCTTCCCCACTTATCCAGAAGCAGAAGAAGTTTCATCGCCGAAACCACCGCTATTTCGCTCTCTCTCCCTCAGTTAGCAAGGTCCGAGGAATCGCTTTCAGAGTGGGAACGAGTTTACCTCCCTATCGACCCTGGCGTCGTGCTTCTCGACATCGCTTTTGTCCCCGACGACCCCAACCACGGTATGGTTCGTATTCTTCGTTCACAACTTACATTGCTATGCAGTTTTTGTTTGAATGAATGAATGGCGTTGGTGTGTTAGGCTTTCTTCTTGGAACGAGGCAAACCATTCTGGAGACAAAAGATGGAGGAAACACTTGGGCTCCGCGTTCAATTCCCTCTGCTGAAGACGAAGATTTCAACTATAGGTTCAATTCTATCAGCTTCAAAGGCAAGGAAGGATGGATTGTTGGAAAGCCTGCGATTCTTTTGTACACTGCTGATGCTGGAGAAAGTTGGGAAAGGATGCCTCTCAGTGCTCAACTTCCAGGGGATATGGTTATGCATTGCTTATAATATATATTATAATGTTTTACGGTTGAGAAACACATTTGGTTCCAACAGTTGAAATTTATTTACAAATAAGTCTTGAGTATCTATAAAACTTACACTTCTTGTACGAGCATTATGTTTTTGTCCTTAGTGTTATAATAGTTTGAAAAACGCAACTCAATAATCAGTAGTTTTTTATGACAATGTTATAACTATAAGGGATCAAAACGTAAAAAGGTCCTAAAGTAAGTTTTTAAATACAGAGACTAATTTTCTTAATCGTGAACAAGTGTCGACCATAAGGATTAAATGTGTATTTGAGCCATGTTTTATTTATTTTACATGGTTTATGGTTTCTTCTTTAGGTTTACGTGTCTAATTGTAAAATTTCTACTGAAATGTATTGCTTTGCAGGTATACATAAAGGCAACCGGTGAGAAGAGTGCAGAGATGGTGACTGATGAAGGTGCAATTTATGTTACTGCAAACAGAGGCTACAATTGGAGGGCTGCTGTCCAGGAAACTGTGTCAGCTACTCTTAATAGGTGACTTTCCATGAATGCATCGTCTAACTATTTATGTATACTCGGGTATTGCTATTTAAGGAATTTTAAATTGAGAAGTGAGGATAAATTCATTCATTGTGTCATCTTTAGCCAGTATTGGAAATATTTTATTTTTTCTGTCATATACATCAAGACATTTAACTATCTGTGTTGCTTCTTCAGAACAGTTTCTAGTGGTATTAGTGGTGCTAGCTACTACACTGGAACTTTCAATACTGTCAATCGTTCTCCAGACGGAAGGTATGTTGCTGTCTCGAGTCGTGGCAATTTCTACTTAACCTGGGAGCCTGGTCAGGTGAGGCTTTTACTTCATGATGACGTTTACTTTTGCTTCTACTTGCCTGGTACTTGTACTTTTGGTACGCCTTCCCTGGCATTTGAATTATGCCAAAGCATTCAATTAAAATGAATTCATGGATGTGTAAATCTAATGAAGCAGCGATAAAGTGGTCTGGCAGAACGAATTGTATGTAGCTGAATTGCCAAACTAATAAATTGTTACTGTCGTCTCTTTCAACGTGCAGAGATATGATGACATAATCTTTTTACATAATAGTTTTTTCCTAAATGAAAATCTTCTTAGGAACATTAACGCTGGGTCTGCTTTGATGTAAGACCCAATAACTAAGCTAAGTAATGTACTAAACTTTCGTACTGCGCATGCCCTAGACTTTTCTTGCACTCTCGTCAGAAGGTTTTTTTCATCCAGCTGATGCCATAGATAGGAGTATAGACCCCCTGAGGAAAAAATTCTAACGGACAAAACCTGCTGGCATCATGTTTCTAAAGTCTACAACAATGCATTAGCTCGTCCTTGGAACCTATATCTCAACGGTGGCTTGTATAGATTATGTGTTTTTCCATTTAGTCATCAATAATCATCTTGATTGAGGGTTTGTCTGCATTCATAGTGTTTCTTGATTATTATTTTATTTTATTTTCAGCCATTCTGGCAGCCACATAATAGAGCAGTTGCCAGAAGAATCCAGAACATGGGATGGAGAGCTGATGGTGGTCTGTGGCTTCTTGTTCGTGGAGGTGGCCTTTATCTCAGCAAGGGCACAGGGGTAAGCAATTCTGGGGATGTCATTCTAGTGCATGAATGTGAGACTAATAATCTCCCTTTTCACTCCTTACAGTGTCATTCAGGGTCTTTTAACTCTTTCTTAAGTTTTAAATTGGCTTTGAATATTATCTCCCTTCTTTACTGGGGCATTTCCGTCTCTCTGTTTTACATTCGCAGACTACTTACTTACTCTCCCTTATCTTATTTGTTAATGGGGACACTTACTTATTGTTTTAGATAACTGAAGAATTTGAGGAGGTTCCTGTTCAAAGCCGGGGTTTTGGCATTCTTGATGTGGGGTATCGTTCAACTGTAAGATTTTCCTGCATCCAGAGAGTTGCTTAATTAATGAACCAATTCTTGCATGTAACAATTGTCACTGTGTTTCCAAAAGAAATAAATCATTTGTTATGGTTTTTGTTTCTTTAGTTCTTGCGATACTGAATCATTTAAAAAGTAGACAAAAATGCTGAAACCATTTTTCTATATATAAAATTTGCTAAATTATGCATACAGGACGAGGCTTGGGCAGCAGGCGGAAGTGGTATTCTCTTGAGAACTACTAATGGTGGAAAGTCATGGATCCGGGACAAAGCTGCTGACAGCATTGCTGCAAATTTATACTCAGTGAAGTCAGTCTAACGATTACTAAACCTTTTATATAATTATACTCATTTATTTGTGTACACTTTAAAACTACAAATTTACTTGGAAGAGCTCTCCTCCAAACCACACCAGGCTCCTCATGCTGCTAATATATTCTGCATTGATATTTTCCATCTATCTTAATGAATGATACACCTTTGTAAGTTTATTATAGATGCAATTGACTGGCGTAAACCGTTATCTGTTATGCTGTTGAAAAAGAACAGGACGAAGAAAGTTTCTGGACATAAAGTATACAGGAGTTATAAGAATTAGTTAATAGTGTTTTGAAGGTTATAGAACTTTTATCAGTAAATTCCAGTTGTAAATGGTCTACTTGCTGCAGGTTTATTGATGATAAAAAGGGATTTGTGTTGGGGAATGATGGAGTCTTGCTTCGCTACCTTGGATAGAGTTGATTTTCAACATGGTAAATGGCGATCCCCTCCTGATTCTGGTTGACATAAGCCATATATCTTTGAATATCACTTGTAGGTTTATCTGCATCATCTAACTTCCTGTACAATTTTGTATTTGTTATGTGATTGAATGTTAGAAGCTGAAGATGCCCGCAGAGCACCTCCCCATCTCCCTGGTTTACTTTATTGGGGGGGGTGCAGAAAAATAAAAGAAACATTAAGATAGAAGTTGTAAGAGAAGAAAAATTGAGGGAAGAAATATATTGGTTTACCAGACAAGACAAATTATGAAGTAAATCTGAAATAGTAGCTTCAACTGTCAGGAATATGTTATCTGAAGGTTGGTCATCATTAGTTTTGGGGGTCAATTAATGCATGCAAGGTTTACCAAGGACTGCAATCATAGGATCGTGATCCCTTCATAACGAACATTGGTTTAAGGTCATCCTCAATGTTTTGGTCTTCTGATTTTTGAATATGTAATTTTGTAGGTTTGTCGACTCGATTGCAATTTTGTAGCAGATTACATATCCATGCTTAGCATTCATCACTGTCGAGAGAGCTCTGGGTCAAATCGACTCCTTGCAGTTATGCCCAAAAATGTGGAGATCTAGAAACAGTCTTTACAACTACTGTAAAGAGAGCTATATTATGTCAATGTAACATTGTAATTGCCATGTTACTATATATTAAAAATTCAATTTTATGCTGCATATGTTGTACTGCAGAAGCAGAATACAGTTTCAATAACTTTTATAGATTATATAAGACACATTTGAATACATAATTATATGTTATGAGAACATGGTGAGGGAGGAGCGCGGAGTCTTGTGTAAGACCCCATGCTTAAACTTATTTGATAATTTTTTATCGTGAAAGTTTGCTAAAAATTTAACTTAAGTTTATACGAGTTAATAAGAATGTCATAAGTTTTTTCATTAACTAACCAAATACTTACTTGAGTGCTTATGTGATAAGCCCACAAGTTCCGTTGAAGTTCTTGTGACTGACAAAGTCAATGGTAAAACTGAGTACCATATTTCTAGTTATCTTTAGTATATTTTGTGGCAATCATTGTATATATGCGGAGAGGTTAGGCTTTCCACCAAAAAAATATATTTTGTGTGTGGAAAGCCTAACCTTGCGCCAAAAAAAAAAGTGTACTGGCTTGTTGATAGTATATTGCGCTCTATCTGATATGCAAAACAAATCTCTACGTAATAGAATAACAAGAGATGTTACAGTAGGCGAGAGCAAAACTCCTCAAGTGACATATATATGAATAGTCTAATCTACATCAGACTATCCTTCTAAAAATCTACTACAATATTTTATAAAATTATAAGCTAAATTACTGTGATCTGGTAATTATTATAATTGATATTATTGATAATCTAATTACTAATTCAAAATAATTTATTAACATTAATCCACAACAAAATAGAAATAAGCATGGGGATAAAAATTTAATATGAACTACTTAAGTGATTACTTTGATTTGAACATTGTTCACTTAGGGGTGCCTTTTAATAACATCCAATACATAAATCCAATTATCAATTAACATTTTGCAAAAAAAAAAAAAAAAAAAAACGAACAAACAACTTACACAACTAAAGCATATTATATAAGGTGGTTAATATATTCGATTTATTTTTTTTAAAACTATTTTAATAAGTATGTAATTCAGAATATTTAAAGGAATTTAATGATAATTAATTAAAATATTATTTCTAAGTATTGAGTAAAATATATTAACATGCATAAATATTAGGATATATTTAGTTCAGTTTATTTTTAAAAATATTTATTTTAGTTTATCTTTTGAAATAAACTATTACTTTTTTTAAAAAAAATTTCAAATATACGTTTAATATACTCTTAGTTTTTTTTAACAAATATTTTGACACATTATAATTTTTAAAAGTTTAAACAAACTTCCTAACATAATCTTTCTGAAAAATAATATTATGATGGCACGATTTATATTATATATTTTTATTTGTCACTTTGCTTTCCTTTTAAAAAGCCAACAATCGATTCTACATGTGCTAACAGACGGATGTATTTATAATTTACAAAAATTATATATAAGAAAATGACAGTGATAAATTTGTATTTTCACCAAAATCGATTTTGATCATAATTTAAATGGACTCTATATATAAAATAATTATGATTTAATAAATTATATTGAAAGTTTCAGATGTTGGGGTGATTTAACAAGATGTGAAAAAACGAAAATAACTTTTAAAACAAGAGAAGTATAGGGTTAACACGCTGGTAGTCGATGAAATTTACCGTATCATAATCTCACAAACCAAATATTTAATTATTTTTAATTAAACAATCTTATTTACCGTTAAAAAACAAAGAATTAAGCAATTTTATTTCCCTACCCTCACAGCGATTGCTCTCTCTTCCGCAGTGGCCAACACATAACCCTTTCTTGGCGGCAGCAGCGAAACCATGGTAAGCTCTCCTCACCCTCTCTATCTCTTTCTTCTTCTTCTTCTTCTTTGTTCGATTCTTGTTACCTTTACGAAGGATGACGAACCCTTACTCTGTGTTGGTTTTAAGTTTATATTGTCTAAGCTAGGCATTGGCTGTTATTCATTTTTGTCCCAAACCCAACTAAAAAAATTCGAACTTGCATCGTTTTCTGTGCTTGGAACTGAACCTTGTGAATGAAACAGAGGAAGCAGAAACATGGGTTTAAGAGGTCTTTTGTCATGAAGAAGCCAAAGCAGCAGCAGCAGCAGCAGCAGCAGCAGCCCACAGTGGATCCTATTACTGGAAAGAAGATTCCCAAAAGTTTTGTGTTTTCACGAGGAAAATTGCCAGCTTCTCTCAAACAGCTTCAGATGGATCTCAGAAAGTTAATGTTGCCATATACTGCTCTCAGCCTCAAGGTTGGTTAATTTTCTTCTTTTTTTTTTTTTTTTTCCTTTGTTCATGTTTTGTTGAACTTTTAAGACAATGATACATTGTTTTAGTGGTAATTTGGTTGTTGGTTTTTTGTGTTTGCATCTACTCTAACATGGTGTTGAGTATTGATTATATTCTACTATGGCTTCTTTTTGCAGGAAAAGAAACGGAATAATCTGAAAGATTTTCTCAATGTTGCTGGGCCTATGGGTGTCACACATTTCTTCATATTGTCAAAAACTGCAACTGCACCTTACTTGAGGGTTGCAACAACCCCGCAAGGACCTACTCTTACATTTAAGATACATGAATACTCTCTTGCAGCTGACATTGCTCAATCTCAATTGCGTCCCCGGTGCCCGAAAGATCTATTTAAAAATTCTGCTTTGGTAAAGTATTTATTCATACTCAAGTGCAACTGAAACATTGCAGCTTCTTAAAATTTAGATAGTAAAATGGAATTTCAAAACTGATTACTGCCCTATTCACCAAGGAATATTTTGGTTGCTTTGGCGGATCGCTTACTACTAGGTTTAAATATTATTTGTTATTCAAATGCCACTCATGCAGTTATTATCACCAGTTAAAGTTTGCTAATGGAATGCAAGAAAGGGACTGTTTATTATTTTCTTACCTTTTATCCTTATCAAGTTGAAGACTGATGAGATAGTCAGTATGTATTGGTATGCTACTAATTGTTATTACACTGAGCAAGAATTTGTTTAATGTCTTTGTGATGTCCACTCTCATGTAATTATCAATTTATCTTATTCCTTAACTGCTAGTGATTGTATATAAATGGGAAATATATAACTTTTGCAACCAATTGAAAGTACGGTACTGAAATATATAATCGTTTACTGCATATTATACAGTAACTATTAATATTTAACTTGTGCTTTTGTTATTTAATCAAGATTGATGTCTCCATGTTTTCTTTCTAGATTGTGCTTTCTGGATTTGTGAGTGGAGATCTACCTCTACAGCTTACAACTAACATGTTTCAGAATATTTTTCCAACAATTGATGTCAAAACTGTGAGTTAGACACATCAATGACTTACTTGACGTCCAAGTCCCTCATATTTTAATGTCACAATTTGTTATTTCAGGTTAAGCTCTCTTCTTGCCAAAGGATCTTGTTGCTTAATTACAACAAAGACACTAAGCTCATTGATTTTCGGCATTATTCCATTAGACTACAACCTGTAGGTGTTTCACGCAGATTAAGAAAACTTGTGCAGAGCCATCAAGTGCCTGATCTAAGGAATCTTCAAGATGTTAGTGATTTTGTCACAAAGTAAGTTACTTGCTTATTTTTGTAAGTTTTCATTTTATCCTTCTTTAAATAGGCAGATATGGTATTTCAGTGTGTTGAGATATGTAATGAACAGAAAACTATCCAGCTAGCTGTTAGTTCTCTTTTGTTTTTTGGTGTAACTCTTTGTCTGTCTTGATCATCTGAGTGTGTGAATATTTTATTTTGCTTTTTATGGGAGGTTCATATATTAGGTTGCCCTAGAAGGGAAGATATATTTGTTTATGATTTTAGGATTTGATGAACATCCTCGATGCCTAGTGCTAAATGTTTACGTGGAAAGGCAAGCAATTCCCGGAAGCATTTCTTTTCTCAACTACTCAGTAGAAAACATAAGATTAAGGTTTAAATATGCTTTGACTACCTTCAAATAGGGATAAATTCAAAAAACTATCTCATAATTTTTTTTTTCATTTTAATGCCTAACTAATTTTTTTCTTCTTTCAAATTTATACCTAACGTTAACCTCCATCAGTTAAATGATGACATGACTAACAGTTTGTCACGTCACCATCGATCTCTCTTATCCACTTCACTCTAAACCACCACATCAATATATAATTTTGAAATACGCCCTATTTGGAGGTGGTTAAAATGTATTTAAACCTAAGATTAATATATAATTTTGGCCAAATGGTTTATTTTTCTCTAGTGAAATATTTCTTGAACTCTTGTATTTTTCCTATTTCTATGTGTGAAGTAGTTATCAGATAAAGAAAAATTAGTTAAAAAATGAACTAAAATTGTGTTATATATACAAAAGAATAATCACGTTATTTTTTCTGCTTCTCCTTGTTGTTTACTTTTGATTTGCAAGGGCTGGCTATGGATCAGAAAGTGAAGCAGATGAAGAAGCAGCAACGGTGACTTTGTCTAGTGATATTGGTAGAGTTAATCGTGCTTCTACAAAAAGTGCTGTCAAACTTCAAGAGGTTGGTCCCAGAATGACTCTTCAACTAGTTAAGATAGAGAAGGGACTGTGTTCGGGTGAAGTCCTCTTCAGTGAATACGGTACATCATCCTACACTTTGTCCTCAAGTAAATTTGCTTTTTTTATTTTTTTTTATTTTGAGAAATCAATGAAATATTATACCACAATAATGTTTGACTGTCTAAATTCATTAAAGGCATAGATGAAAATAGATATTCATTTTAGATTGAGCTATTCTTGACAGAGACCTCTTATCTTCAAATTAAATAAGTTCTTGCATATATTCTTGTAAAAGTCCTTGCTTCATCAAGAACTCTCACACGTTCATTCATGCACTTTGCTTTTCCTCATCTCCTTTAATCATCAAATTCTCATTTTAAGCTCTGTTGTCTGCGTATTTTGTCAAAGAAATATTAGTATTTGCACATACCTCCCCTTCCTCTCCTTTCTTGTACTAACCAACATTTCTTCTGATTTTTGTTAGGAAAAGCTGGTGGCAAAGGAAAAAGTGACGATGAGATGCAGGACAATGAGGAAGGAGAAGATGTTGAGGGTAGTGAAGATGAAGAAGATGATGTTGAACATTCAGAGGATAGTGAGGATGATGGAGAACTTGATTAGGCACGTATTGGCAAACAGGTGGTGTAGTACTAAGTTGTAGAGTATTTCCATAACAGTGCAGATCTGAAAGGTGCCATTGGAAATTTTTCGTATCAAGCATTCCAGTGGGGCTGTGGTATACAATATATTTGTCTTTGTTAAATTATATAAATTTAGAGTAATCAACTACTGTTCATTTTACTACCACTTTTCAAACTTTACTTAAACCGATGAAACTGGAGCAATGATTTGTTATATTAATATTTATCCTATTTAACTGTGAATTAGCAGTAATCAATTATTTAAACAATATATTTTAAATTATTAATATTAATTATGATATTTATTAAATATATATTAAACTAATTAATAAATATATAATTATTAGACTTTAGTAAGGAGAGTTTTGTGATAGGTTAAACTATTCAACTTTATAATACCAGAGAGAGGTCTCTGATCTCATGACTGATGCTGGCTCCATACTCTTAAAAGCTAAAGAAAAGGAAAGATACATTTTCTCTTCAGACTCATTAGACATAGAGCAGTTTTTCATTCTTTCAGTCTCAATCTTCTACTGCAAACAAGAAACAATGAAGGACTCTTAACAATTTGATGACATGCACAAACATCTAATTTCATTTCTTAATAAATCAAAAGGAGTATACTATAATTTGTTTATTTGAATTATAAAATTAATAATTTAAATAATTAAATAATCTCACAATTGGTATCAAAGTTTTAAAGGATATACTTTATAGTTATTTTGAAATTTTTTATTATACACTAGTGGTATGTAAAACTTGTAAATTTCATAATTATTCAAGACTAAATTGTTAATAATTTTACAATTTTTAAAATTGATTGTGTGCTTTTGTTAGGTATTATATTTTGACTAACATATCAAAATTTTATTGAATTTCATCTTTTTTTTTTGCAAGAATAAAATTTTTTTCATTCGAGATCTTAGTAAAATGTACTAATTTTCACTTAGATGATGTTGGACGAACAAGAAACTTAAAAATTTCATGAATATGTATTTAGCATAGTTTGTATAAATTTTGATTTTTCTTTACATAGTGCATTAATTTATAAATTGAGGATTTTTACTTATTTTTAATTACAAATAAAGTAAAATTCATCTCGTTTCATATAGTTTACTCTAATTGGGAGAATTTTAGAGTTTAAGTCGTGGGTCATACAACCCAATTTTTTTGAAAAAATTGAGTTATGTTGTTACACATTGTCATTTGTGTGATTAGACTACAAATTTTTTTTTTAATGCCTAAATTCATTATTTTTAAATTTTGGTATAAATTATGAAAAAAAATTGTGTTAATTTAATCAATTAATTTGAGATTAAATTGCTTGTTTAGTTATTTATACTTGAAATTTAATCTTGAATTTTTTGTTGTTAGTATATATGTTAATATGTCATAGATATAAAATAAATTATGAATTTTGTTAACCTTAACCCTTTAGACTGAGTTTAAACATCCACAAATAAATTTTTTTTATAAAAAAAGTATATAGTTATTATATTGAAGTTATAAAAATATAATAAATATTTATCTTTTTTAATAAAATTTTACTATTATTAGCTGAGTCTTAAAAGTTGAGATTAAAAAAATTCATAAATTATATTTTTTAATTGTTGATATAATCATTTAAATTCTTTACTATTTAATTCTTTTGTGCATTTTTATGTTATATTACATCTTGTATAATATAATTTTAATGATTTTGCATCTTTAAACTTGTACACAATTATGCAAAATTTGTATATTGATGTATTCTTTAATTTTTCTTTTTATATTACATTAATAATAATTAATATTTTATCAATATTTTATTATTAATAGGATTTATATAATATACAATATATTGTTATTATTGACTTATAATATAGTCATGATTTATCATTATATGTGATTGTTTTCATTGTAAAGAGAAAAAAGAAGAAGAACAAATCGAGTAATAATCTAATACTAATTTAAGACATACTCAAGAAAATAGACTTTTTACGTAAAAGTAAAAATATAAAGAAATAGATATGTTTAGATATTTTTTTTATATAGATAAAAGAACTAATCCATAAAGGAAGCATTTTAAAAAAAGAATAGCCGATACAATAAGAATTATATTTGAGTATCCTATCGATATTAGATTTTTAATAACATGGTTATGCATATTATATTATTATTATAATTATATTTCTTATTTATTATGATTTGAGACCCTTAACGAGATTGTAATAAATAAGAAACTTGTGTGATGATCATATTTAGTTGTGTATACATGATTAATTAATTTTCTAATTACGTAATAACTTGTGCATATTAAATGATTCTTTAATCTTTCATGCTACTAGTTGCAATGTCCGTGTATGAAAACATTAATTGAGACTCATTATAAAATTAGAAAGAATCTCTTAATCTATGTCTCATTATTGACAATATCAACATAAGGCGCCGACTATTATCGCTGAGTTCTACTGATTATCACAATCGATAAAAATGAGATAACTCAAATTGAGTATGTCTAAAATTGTAATGAATAAAATCATTAAGCAAAGCATTAAGAAGAACAATAAAATTTTTCTAAATTCTGAGGGTGGCAAATTCAAGACTTAGATCAAACCACAAGTGTTGGGAGGAACATCAAGTATATTAGATTCAAAGCAAGGTTTAGGATTATCAACGTGATTTAAATCTTCAAAGGCCATAAATCGAGTAGATTGATTTTTATTTTAGGTAATATCCAACATTTGTTTTAAATAGAAAACCGTTCACACACTAATGTAACAAAAGATTCATTGCAAAACGTTCCCGATGCCGGAAAAAAATTGTATATTACTATTTTTAAATGTTTTGCTGGCAATCTGGCTGATATTTATTTATATTTCTAATAATTAATTATTCATTTTTAGTCATAATTTATATTAATACAACGAGCTTAAGGCGTTTGAGTAATTTTGTTTGAAATGAGGGAAAATGGGTGAAGGAAAGCTTCGTTTTTAACGGGAAAAAACGGTGATCAGAATTGATGAAAAGAGATCATAGAACATTAATAATTTCTTCAATCCCATGCAACCGCAAGATTACCATTTTTTTTACAGACCTGTTCTCTCAACCATATTTGTCATTTCAAGCTTCAAATTTTACATTGCAATCCGATTTCTTTGTGGACCAAAGACAAACCCGTTTGATTTCACGTTTCAAATGGATTTGCGATTGATGGAAATGACTAGGTGGAAAGAGCATAATGAAAATCACCATCAGTTTGTGTATAATTATAATGGAAACGTACCCAGTAGAGGGTATAGCCAAATGATGATGTCATCTTCTGTATCATCATCATCATCTCCTTCAACAGTTGCATACATTCAGCACCCTATTTCAAAGTTGGACACGCTAGCTGGCATCGCAATCAAATATGGTGTTGAGGTACTTCTTTTTTGTCTTTTTTTCTCAATTTCGGTTATTTAGGAATTTGATGACGAAACCGTGATGTTAATCAAGTTCTGCGTTGCTTGTGCTTATCATATAGCATAGGCGGATGCACTCATGCACCCTCTTTCTAACCCTTTGTTATATTTTTGGTGGAAAAGGTATAATCAATAGAGATCGATATCGGAAAGTTTTCTCTTATGCCAACCATTCTTTTATGATTTGAAATGGTTTTGAAACCTTTATTGTGTGTAATCTTTACACCCAAGATGCTTTCTTTGATAGTTTGATTATTTGGCTCCATCATAATATCATTATTGGTTGAACCATTCCTCTACCACTTCGTATACGAGAGAAAAAAAAGTTGTGCTGAATTTGGAAATTTCTCTTAATTTGAGTTATATTGAAGTTGCAATTTCTGCTTTGGAAAATTGTAGGTTGCGGAGATAAAAAAGATGAATGGATTAGTTACTGAAAGTCAAATGTTTGCTCTTAAGATTCTCCACATTCCACCACATGGAAGGCACCCTCCGTCTACTACAGGGTACGTTTATTCAATTCAGGAACAGTATTAAGTACAACGAGTTGATCACTTAACCTTTTTGGTTGGTTAGTATTCATAAATTCAAAAGGTGTATTTTGTATGCCAAAAAGGGGAAACATACCTTAATGGGGGCTATCTGTTAGGAGTTTAATAGTTTAATCATTCTTTAACAAGAATTTAAAGTTCATGGCGTGCCTGCTTCAGATTGAATCCTCTGGAATTCGTAATTACTATAACAGTATGTCATTTTGGCCATTTTGTATGATATTCTGTACCATCTAGATAATTTCAGAGCCATTTTCTTTAATATAAATATTAATCAGGCATATAAATTTGACTATTAGCTTTATTGTATACTCAATACAGATTTTCTTTCAATATCATTACTTGAGTTGAGTGATTTCATGTTAATTTTACATCTAATCACTGATGGGCATCAAAATTTTCCCTTCAGACAAGATAACCCCGACCACAGTCCAACTGATAATGCACGCGGTGAACCGCTTGAATCATTCCAGTCCCTGAGAAGGAAGTCCTCCGAGCAGAAACTCTCCCCAGCCATTAGTTCTTTACAGAATTACTACGGAACTAAACCAACAATGAAGAAATCCATATCTGAAATATTCGACCTGGCAGAGAAAGGAAAAGGAGCTTCTAATTCTTCAGAAAATGGTTCATTTTACTGTAGCAACTCACTAAAGTCCAACCGATCTCTGAGTCGTTACCATAAATCTGAGGTTAACCTTAAGGCTATTCCAGAGTTGATCTTGAAGCATGACAATAGCACCAATGGTGGGTTTTCAGCAAGATCGGCAAAGGGCCTAGCTCAGAGGCAGAAAGCTGGTAGCCGACTTTCGTTGACAACTGACTAGAATCAGGGGGTTTTAACACAGGTGCCAATGATTATGACGATGATTTTCTAAATGATGGGCCACCTGGGGTAAGAAAATCATTCAGCTCTTCATGTTCACAAGATCGAGATCATCCATCCGGCCATCCCCAAGTTGGAGGAGTACCAAAGTACAAAAACCCTTTTACCGGTCGAAGAAATGATTGAAGACGCACTTGATTAGAGTATGTAGTTATCAGACCAATTTTGATCCCATCTGTCAGGTTCTCAAATCATTGGCCGCAACACCAGTGGGTTGATTTGAGGTCAAACAATGTTAGAAAAAATAAATAAATAAAAAATACACTTATTAATCTGTGAGCAGGGACCCTGTGTGTGTTTGTGTAGCAGATAACTTCAGGAAATTTTCTACTCGGTTTGTTTTGCATGTTCCTCTGGCTGAGATTAGTAAAAGAATCTTTGGTAATCGTTCCGAAACGGGATATAAATAGATGACCCAATTATTACTGAATAAGCACCGGAAAGGCTTCAATATGATAGCTTAATAATTGTAAACTATATTCTGACTAATCAGAAAGCTTTTAATTTTTTATTTGAAGTTTCTAAATTCTTTCACAAGCTTTGCCAATGGGATGGAATTACTAAATGATAATTATTAAATATAAAAACGCTATATATTGTTCATGGTTTCCACGGTCTCAATGATCAATAACATTTTGAACGCAGTTTTTATTGATAGTAATGCTATAGGAACTTTCTAAAGATAAAAACACATTATAATTTGGAAAGAAATAAGACTTGTATTAACTGAAGAATAAAAAAAATCAAATTGAACAGATATAATGAATCATTAACGCGGAAAATAAATTGAAAAAAAGTACAGTACAGTACCGTAGTGCACTGTTTTTTGCAAGCTATTCAGAAATTATTTTAAATTTAGATATTTTTACCGTAATTTTTTAAAGTGTCAGCCCCTTGTTCTTGTCAATGAGTCCCATCTCCCAAATAGACGTTTTGTTCGGCAAAATTGGGATCCCAGCCTAGCATTTTCCATAACACCCTCTCAACAAAAGTTCAGAGTCTAAACTTGATAGCTGTGATTCCATTATTCATAAAACACTCTTCATTGGTCCTCTCTTTTCTGTGGTGTGCATTTCAAACCATCCCGTTGGAGATGCAATTTTCTGCAGTCGTTTTGCAAATAATGGCCACTAGTTAACCTTTCACATAAAACTATAAAACGAATTTCGTATTACATTCCTAAAGAAATAAAACGAGTCTTAGGGTAACTACTATTTTAATCATACACAAAATGCCGATAACTAATTATGCAGCCTACTAAATTATATACATTTTGTTCAACGATATTATTCTAGTAAACGAAAACAACATGCTAATATATTAGTCAATCAATTACACTGTAGAAGTATAGAAGATGTAAGTCTTTTTTTTTTTTTTTGTCAACATAGAAGATGTAAATCTAAAGTGCATTTTGAAAGGGTATCTAAATTAAATATTTTTTGCCCAAACTTATGAGTGAAAAATAATCCTCCGTCTTAACTTTTTGCATCGGTAAAGAATCTCTTATCACCACGGGTTAAACCTCTTGAATAAACTTCTAATACTCAAACCTGGTTATGACTCGAACAAGTACCTAACTTGTAAAATTTCAATGACTATGGTTGGTATTTTACATTTAATAGGTCGAAAAAAGTACTATTTACACTAGTACATCCCAGGAAACAATTTTAAAATGATTCGAGTGGTGTACGATTGAGAATTAGCACCCTAACCCCATCCTTCCAGTTGGCTTCACTTCTGCAAATAAAAAATTATGCTTATCCCAAGCACAACACAATTTGGTAATCCTTTCAGATAAGACGAATTGGTGGGCCAGACAATAATTGAGTTCTACATAATGTCAACTACCAAACAGGCAAATGAAAATGTAAATAAAATAAAAATAAAGAATAAAACAAGCATGAGCTATTGTGAAGGTGCATGATGTAAGGATTTAACATTACAGTTCACAAAACAGAAAAAACAAAAAAAAAAGTTAAACCAAAAAAAGAGGATAGTCAAAATCGATTCCAACCAAGTAAAATGAATCATTATAAAGCTAATGACGGTATTGAATATTGTGGACACAAGAATATGCAAAAGAGTTGAGGTCTCATGGACAACAAAATATCTGCCTACTTTCCTATCCATGATAGAAAAAAGTGAAACACTACCGTGAATTTGGCGAAATTAAAATTTGTCATGGCAACAGCTCATGCACCCTAAAACATGTAAAGAATACACTCAAGAACATATAAAGTCAAAATGCCAAATTTCAAAGTCACATTAGAGTATGTTTCAGTTCATTTACAACCATGAAAAGAAGCACAAATCAAGTCCAATATCATGCATCGAGTACAGTATCTTTCAGTGTCAGAACTTTAGGTTTGAAATTATGCTGATTGGTTACAAACTAATAGAAAACTTCCATACTACAACAACAACAATAGCCTTATTCCATAAGGTAAGGTTAGTTACATGGATTGCATGGCCTTACTGAATTCGGTCAAAAACCAAATTTTTGTAGATATTATTCAACATGAGGCCCCTTTCAATAATTTCCTCTAAAACTTTCAAACTTGAATGTATACCAAAATATGCAGCACATCCTTACTTCTTTCCCTTCATAGGATGTATAACAACATAAAAGAGACAATCAATCCCATACTGATAGAAAGACAAAATCCAAAGCATTTCTACTCAAATATCTATTACTAGCATGTGTCACTAAATACATCAATTGAAGACAGCATGATGAACAGACAATTGAAGTCAATGTGAAGTGGAAATTGTCTGATCAGGTGTTTCAAATGAAAGACATCATGGAAAACACAAACAAAAGCATCAAATAATATTCAAATGCTTTATCATGATAAAATTTATAAGACAAAATTTAATCTTTCAACTTTCTTCTTAAGAATTCTGAAAAGCTTCATACTCAAATTGCATGGAGGATGCATGCATTGCATGAGACAGTAAAACAACCCAGAGATTGTAATGTAGTAAATGCTAAACCTATCATAAAAGAGTAACTGGAGTTGTCAAAAAATCCACTCAAACTCTGTTTATAACTATGGATGCCCTAGCATAGTAACTTTAGTTGGTAAAATACATAACTAAATCATTGTCTATTCTGAAATTGCACAACAATAGTTACCTCAATGATCAGCAGTCCTTGTATGTGAAGTTTGACCGTAATCTTTGTTCAGTTATCACATTCTAAACATGAGAAAATGATCATCACCTTCTTTTGTTTTGCCAAAACCTGAAATAGCCAAGTTATTCAGAATTCCTATTCAGCAATATTGAAAGGTCAACAGACAAATCATTATGTGAGCTTGTACTCAAAAGATGACTAAAAATAGTTAAAAAATATAACACAAGCCAACATTGAAATTAGGTTAACTCCATGCTCTTGCTAGATAGAAAAATTAATTCTTTGCTGCAATTTATTGTGCACCGGCACTGCGGGTCAAATCATGAAAAAGGAGAACTTAACAACAAACAAGCAGGTTGAAGAACTTACACTAATGATAACAGAAAGGACCGAACTTGTCTTGGTTTTTAGGTGCTATTCTTACTCTTTACCAATTAAAATTAAAAGTTTTATTTTAGTAAAAAGTTACCATTTAATGTTATTGCAAATTACAAAAAAAAATTAAAAAAAAAATATAGTTTTGATTCGCAAACAGCATCTAAGGAACTACACCTAAGTTTTGTCCTAACAAGAACTCCATAGTATCATTGGTACATAAATAAAAGTTTCACAAATAAGGCCAACTTTTCTAATTTTGTAAAAAAGCTCATGCATTCTTTTATATAAAAATAAATGCATAAATAGCTTATGAAGTTGCCCCACAAACATTCTTTTAGAAGCAACTTGTGTTTTTTTTTTTACTTCAGTCACACAATTTAGAAAAATAAACTTAACAGGACTGCAAGGACATCACCTATTTGTCATTAAACTCAGAAACAACATTTAAAGAGCATTATATACAAACATTGGATAATTATTCTAACCATTGTGGCATTGTACAATCAGACAAAAGGATTGAAGCTCAACAGCAACATTATTTATGGTGCTTAAATATTATTGAATGAATGAAACTTGATACAAGCAACAGACTCTATTATTTAGTGCTTAACAGACTACAGCGGCTAATACTGACAGCTATCAGTTAGTTACAACAAAAAGCTAATTTCACTAACAATCAATTCAGAGACAAGCTACGCTCTAGCACCACGCAAGAATGTTGCAGAATTGTCACACCCATTCTAGTACAATTGTAGCCTCAAAAAATTTCTATGGACCTTTATTACAAGGTGATAGCTCATGTCACTTGGAATACTGCAAATGTTTACAGACAGGTACATTTCAGCAAGGTTGGGATGGAGGAGAGGTGTTGGATCGTAGGAGCAGTGAATCATAACATGACTAGTAAGAGTCAACTAAAATGCTGAATTATATTTAAACACATGTATACATGGATAAAAAACAGAATAAAGAAGAAATATAGCCCTTAAACCACAACAAACATTTAATAAAACATATACTAAAGATCCATAAGGTCTTAAATACAACTCAAAAGTCATCATAAGTCACACAACGTAAGTTTTTGACTAAACAAGAAAAGCATAAAATTAAACAGTACAACAACATCGTAGGTATATTCCAGCAAACATCCAAACACTTTTTTTTGCAAGAACAGCAACCCTTAAACCCACAAAACAACTGCACACAGCAACAGGAGAACTGGAGAAGAAAAGTGAAGGAAAAGAAAGCAAGTGCAGCAGCACAGCAACCCAAAGATAGAAATAAGTAACTCAAACCCTAATCCAGTAACAAAACTGAGCAGAAGATGCTTAGAGAATGTCAAATGTGAGGAGGAACCAAGGCAGGGAGAGTCCAACATTTTTTTCTGGCTGGGTCGATAGTTTAGGGTTCACAAAGTGTTAAAAATGGGCTTTTTAAGAGAAACGGGTCACATGACCCAACCTGCAGGTGGAGCTTAATCCAGCGCATTTTTGGTGCACCATTTCAATGGTCGGTAGCGATGATCCAGTCTGATCCAAGCAGTTTTGCGAGTAGCTGTGGTGTGCAACTCACTGGGTAAGCTGCAACACGTTGAATTGCATGCACAATTTTTACAACCATGCAAGCAAATTTCATAATTATGTTTCTCCAAATTCCAAACTTCCTATCACATCACATCCAAACCAAAGTCCCTTATCAGCATTCTTTTAATCCATATTTCTTTTAATAAAATGGGGAAAAATATCAAAGAGAAAAGAAAAATAGGTCAAGTAAAAAGAGCATGCAATAACCCAAATGCAAAAATATTAGAAGTAAATAATGAGCTTGAGGCACAGATTTTTTTATAAAAAGGGTGCAATTCTGCATATACCAGATGGAAACTCAACATTGCATAATAGAACACTAAAGACAATAAACACCAAAACACCTCAAAAATTTGCTGCCCAACAATGCAAAAGAAATCAGTCCACTCCCAAATAACCCTTACACAAGAAAACACATGAAGTGTAATACTATGAAATTGTAACATGTCATTGGTTAATTCTGGCATGTACAAAATGTGAGGAAAAATATTTCACTCTATGAGGTGTTTAAATTTCTGAATGGGCATTAATCAAGGAAGGAGAATGAGTATCAAAACTAATACCATAACTTACATAAAAAACACTCAAGAAAAACAAGAATACAAATTATCCCCTCTAATAAATGAAGAAAATGTCAAGTCAAATGAAGATTGAAGGCATTATATTAGTCTCTATATCTATTATTAAAATTCCAGAAAAAGTGAAAATAAATTTTGAATGGGTGAACTGAGAGAAAATAAAGTTTATACTTGCCACATCTAATTTCTCCAAATCTTCCACCAGTCTACACTTGCTTGTGACATTTTCAGTGTTGATAACTTCAAAAATGTGCTAGTGCTTAATAGGTTAGTCGCAATCAAAGTTAAAATAGCCAAAAGGATATGTGGGAAGAATAGTGTACAAGGAGCACATAACAAAAAAAAAAAAAAAAGAGGATACGAGGCAAGGAGAACCCTTCAATCAATAGAATTGAAAAGAATTCCAACTTAGCATTTTGATAGAAAAAAAAAGTGTTGAAAATAATTGCAACTCTTGAAATCAATCCATATAAAGATGCCAGTGAAAAAGCACTTTGCTTCAAGGGCTTAGATTTGATTTCAACTACTTGCAATGACCCTTAGCAGGAAATCTATACACAACAGTGAAAGCTCTCATTGAGACTAGTGGAATGCTTTGGTACCTTGGAATGGCGGTAGCCTCCTCATACCTATACTACCACCAAACCCAAAAAACATAAAAACCCAACAATATGCTAATTTAATGTCCATAGACAACAAAACAAGTTATTCAGTTCACCCCATGCTTCGTTGCCAACTAAATAAAGAATTATGTAAGATTAAGAGAATGAAAAAATCAGAAACAGAAAAAATACATATGCATAGTCCTTGAACAAGAGGAACACCACCATCATAGATTGGATCTGCTCAAGGAAATGAGCGCTACTATAAGCAGCAATCTGAATATAATGTAACAAGGCAACCAACTAAATATGAATAAAATTCAAACAAATATGACATCTATGTCACTCACTTTGAAAGCATGCATTTGTCCATACAGCGATAATTTCATTTCATGAATACAATCTTCAACTGAAAGGGGTTAAACATGGGCACACACGTGCAGAAATTTAACAATTCTCACCCCAAAACATAATTATAAATAGGTTAAAAAATAAAGGAAATGTTAAAGAATTCATACAAAGGGTTGAAGACCATTTCACACTAAATTCACAAAACCAGTAGGACCCAAATCTAAATATGCATAAATTTAAAGGTGAACATATTGAGTTATCAGTTTCAAAGTTATTTCTCTGTAATTCACAATCAAAGGGATAAAGCTAGGACAATATTTTCCAAAAAAAAATTATAAATAATGATAAAGATTAGAGGCTGGCTGGTACCCAAAGATAATTAATAACCAAAGAACTACAAACTGACTTCATATACGGAGAAAGGTTATAACTTGAAGACATTCAAGTCATGACCTGCTATTATTTATTAAAAACGTAAACAGGGAAAAAAATAAAATTAGAAAAAAAGCCTAAATGAAAAAATTAGCAATCATTTATTGTAGTTAAAATTGAGTCCTTGAAACAGCTTTCTATATAGATATTATGTAATAATTACAAGGGATGGGAAACAGATAAACTAACCAAGTCAAAAACATGGGCCTAAACTTGGAAGCAAATGTTCCTGGGATACATTGTCAGGAAAAATTACAATATACACAATCCTGTCAAAAGCCTCCACAAGTTCTCAAAATTTTCTTCACAGGTAAGTTGTATGTACTACACAGGTGAATCTAACTTTGGGGCACAATTTAACCTTGCATGTTGATCCACCAGCAACATCACTGAAAGATAACAGCAATCACAAATCAGTATTACGGGAAAAGGAACCCCAACTACAAGTTTTTTCTTTTTATGATTTAAATAAGTTAACAACAAAGAGGGAAAATATAAGGGGACAAAAGGAGTAAGATAAAAGAAAGAAGTTATCATTCTCCTCCAGTCAAAGATATCAAAGCTGTCCAAATACACACACAGTTGGAAGAATTTCCAAAAGATGATAAACCCCAAAAAATTATTTGGCAGTTGGTCAATTTTTCAATGCAAAGCCAAGACCACCCAACATCACAACTTTCAAACGAGTCTTTAAAAGCACAGGATTTCATTTGATGATAAATAATTCTAATCCTACTAATCACCAAATAAAGGAACAATTGGATTTTAATGTTCCAAACACAAAGTGACTGCATTTGCATTTCTATTAAACAATTTCTTTATTATGTATGGGAAATTCATGCCCATGTCAATAAGACACAAGCCAAAAATCAAACAATCACGTATTGTATACCTTATAGTTCAGCCAAACAGTAAAACCATTATTGAAGAAAGCAAATCCTCCCAAAACACAAAATGGGATTGAAAAAACTGTGCTTACTATTAATAAGAAGACTCCAACCAACTTCAAGTGGGTCTCCAACAATTAACAGCAGGAATGTCTGGTCTACAGGGCATCATCTGAGGAACACCATGTCCTGAAGAAGGAAACAATGAGTTTGATCATATTCAATAAATGTAGCATCTTAATAATTAGAAAATCAAAGGAGGTAAAACAGAACTGAATACATGAGGGTAGCAAAAGTCACCTGATATTGGAGCAACAGGTAGGTTGCTTGACATTGCTCGCTGAAAACCCACAGTGCTTACTGGTGGTCTTTCAAGTGGTGGACGAAAATGACCTTCACCATAATCAAAACAAAATGTTTACAAACATTTAAATTTCTCTTGCAAACAATATAAAATACCAATAACATTAGTTAAACTACAAAGCTTTCACTTGTATTGTATCAACAATGATATCAGTGAACAGATGGATGAGAATATAAACAAACCATATTTTAATTTAATAAACATTTGAACTGAAGCCAAATAGATTCACACACCTTCTTGCCCATAGGGTGGCCCAGGACATGAAGGATTCCTCCCTATCCATACACCATGTTGATTGTTTGTTTTAAATTCACTTGATGACATTCTCCATTGCTCATCAGTAATAAATGGTCTCCGGCCATCTGGAAGGGATGGTAAAGGGAAGGGGGGATGGAATGAATGTGGAAGATGTTGCTGAACTGAAGGATTTGGATATGAGTACTGATTTGATGGATTTTGGGGTGGGGCAGGATGTGGATGTCTCTGAGCAAATGGGTTACCCTGCTGAAATTGATGGTTAGCTTGAGGAACCTGAGAATTTAGATACATATCATTCTGTCCATATTCTAATTGCCTTGAATGGTTAAAACCAGATGGTTCCTGGGAGCTGCAGCCTGCCGTTGGGGCAAAGGCAGATGGCTGAAGAAATACGTCATTCTTGACAACTGGATTACTGTGACCTCCAGGAAAAGAATTTCCAGCTACTGGAACTATTTGGTTACCCTGCACAGATCACCACATTTGTTGAAATCAGCAATTTGAACAAATCCTTAACAAACAAGCAATATCAAAAGAAAGGCAGTCTCACACTAGCAGTGCCACCAAAGTCATGAGGTACGTTCTGCTGACACCCCAACTGTGGAGACGACTGATGCGACGACTGAGGTGGCATTAGTGACTGGGAGAAAAGTGAAGGCCGAGCTGATCCAGATGATTGAGGGACCAATGACACTGGAGGAGCTGAGGGTGGTAAAGGAGGAGGTGGAGGTTGCAACATTGGGGGTGGCGGGGGTGGTGGCGGAGATGGAGATAATGGAGGAGGAGGTGGTGGAGGTGAAGAAGGCAAAGGTGGGGGTGGAGGAGGTGAATCAAGTGGCAAAGGAGGAGAACCCTCCGGAGTAGCTGGCATCTCTTCTGAAATGTTTGAAGTTGGATCTAAATTCCTATCTGAGCTCTGAAGATGCAAATCAATTTCATCAGCACTGTTCAAAAATACAGGAGTTTCATCCTTTGGATGTCCGGAAACATCTTCCATTTCCAGCTCACCATCCACATCCTTTAAAATACAATGGCGCTTGTCATTTGGGGTAACTGTAGAAGTTTCAGATTCGCCAAGGGTGTGGGGGGGATCTACTGGAGACGCATCATATGTTTCCTTACAAGAATTGATTAGTAAATCATCTTCATCTTCATCTTCTTCAAATGCATGTGAAGATAAAAATCCATCCAGCTGAAATGTAGCATTACTGATATACAATATCCAGGAATATAACATGAATCAGAAATAGAAATAACTTTTCAAAGCAAATAGAATGGCAAGTGAACATGAATCAACAAATGGGCAGTAATGCTTTTTATACATAATCAAAATTCCAGCCAACTAAAATCTGCACATGCAAACCATGACCAAATTTAAACAAAAAAAGGGAAAAAAGAAACGTATAAATTTTCCATTTCCTAATCATATGATAATCCCTAACTCAGATTGTATGATTCATTTTACATTCAATACAATATATAGCAGCCAATATGAAAAAATTTATGTCCCATGGCATTATGAACATGTGTGAATGTCAATTAAATTATTTTCTTAGTAATGTTTTAATATCTTGTTAACAATTCTATTCTAGATATTGCTCAAAAGTAAGATGAGTACAATAGTTCAACTTAAGCCCGCAAAAAAAATAAAATAAAAATTAACAAACAAAATATGATTGGAAATCAGCTTAATATAATGCAAGTACTAACTTACAAATTTCTTAACAAGGATTTAAATTTTCTAAAATCTCCTCAAGTTTAACTAAAAGAACTCACGCATTTTTAGTTCAATTTTTTGCATTCTTTTAGTTTATTGACTCCTCTTACAAACTATATTCTTTCTGAATAAACAGTTACACCCTACTGTCAAACACATTGGTGATTCAGTAATTTTTAACCAAATATAAACAGTCTCATTTAATAATTCAGAGTTCACTACCTCTCCAAATGTACAAATATGAACAGAAAAATTGAAAGGAAAACATATGGTGAATGAAAAAGGAAACAAATTTAATACAAGCAGGCAATCTAAAGAATTGATGAAACAAATTTCAGACCTTCCATACTCATCAACAAGCATGCCTTCCATTTCTCTAATTGGATCATCCACAGATCGCTCTGCTCGAGATGGACGTCTAAGAGAAAAGCTAATTGTCATATCATCATTTGAACCTCCAATATCATCCATATAACGGCGAAGAATTGATTCAGGAAAAATTTTCCTCTCAAGCCACAGCCTCAAAACCTGCAATCCACCCAAAATAAAATAAAATAAAAATAAAAACAAACAAATCTGATATCCACCAAACATATACATCTTTCTTATGAAAACAAATCACATTTCACTTTATAGTAGAGCAAAGATTGTAGCCAAAGTCAAGTAGTTGACATTCAAACAACATAATCAGGTAGTGGATGATCTGAGAAAAGGGAGCCATGATGGTTCAATCTTAAAGGTGTGGATTTTAAGAAATCTTGTGGCTTGTGATTGAGTAAAGAGCATCTTAGATAAGACGTTTTATAGAAAGGGATAACTGTACGTGATACTGCATTGGTGCTAGACAGCAAGTTCAAATTCCAATTGCCTCTATTGTTCTGTGAACATGAATATTCAGTCAAGATCCTGGCTGACAATAAGATCTAAGGAAAGGAGATCTACTATTGCTATTTTCAATTTATCTTACAGGATGATGTCTTATCCTCCCCCTAGTACTACTGTGCTTCTTTCCTCCCAATGCAATTCCTTTTGTTGTTATTAACTGTGTAAAAGAAAGAGAGCTGACCTTGAGACACTGGCGACGATTTTCGCGGGCACTAGCTCCTGACGGAGCAGCAGCACCAAGAAGACGTGGCAATGCTGCTTGAACTGAAGGGACATAGGAGGCTCCTGCAATGCCTAAAAACATCCTCTACAATTAGAGTCATTGATGCCATAAAGAGAGGACTACCTAAACTAGCAACTGCAGCAGGGAGAGAGGGGTACAAAAAAATCCAAAATAAATCCTAATAGTAAAGGATTCTCTAATATGTTCACCAACCTTTTTGATTATGTGAGCACTGAGTTATAGAATCAACAAGGAAAAACAAATCCACTTTCCGATGAAAACTAGTTTCATTTTCCAGCTTTCGGATGAGAAGTTCAACAACCTGAAAGTAAGTCCACTATAAGTACAGTAACCATCAAATTAATATAACTGCCAAAATTAGTAGCAAAAGTATAACATATCAGAAATATACTCATATTTCAATCAACAATCACTAAGGAAATATAAATTGAACAAAAAAAATATGCATTTCTTATCTTCTATGGATACTTGATATTCCTACTCCTATAGTATGTATATGACAACTAAAAGTTAATCATCCCAATAATATAAACAAGAAATTAACACAAAAAGCACAAAGTAAACAAATAGTAGTAGTTAAACTCATAGTAGTCAATTCCGGATAGCAATGTGGAATAGTCAACCTCAAAAACACTAAAGTGAATAGCGGGATAACCGCTATTCTAAAAAATTAAAATACACCAAATATAGATTATGATACACATATATATGCTAAAAATTTCAAATTTCAATCGTTTGAAGGGATTCTCAGAAGTCAGAACAGAATAGAGAATAAAAATAGAACAAAACAAAGTTGTCTCACTGGAAAAAGGCCCAAAAGCAAATAGTCTCGATGGAAAATGTGTGTGCCTTGTCAGAAATGAAGATGACTATAACTTGGCTGGATATAGTGAACAGAGTCAGATTTTGGTTGGAAAGTAGCCCCTAACACAAATGAGTCACGTCATAAATGAGTAGGTGGAGATGAAGAAGATAACCAAAACTTGGCCAAAAAAGGATGTCGGCTATTGTAAAGCTTATTGGACGAAGCAGAAGTTGCCAAAGATGGCGAATGGGAACACTTAGAGTTCAAGAGTATTGAGTTTGAATGATACAATAACATGCAGAAATTGACAATGTAAAGGGGAAGCAAAATGTCAAAATTGCCACCCTTAAAAGCCTTCTAAAGTTAAGAAAACAAGGATAAATTTGACATTTCTGTCTGTGCATCAAATAGCAGCCGCAATTTTCTGCTATGTTGGCCACATTTCATGCCCCTCCAGCCACTACACTGAACCACAAACACTATGCATTTGGAATAGCGGCAGGGAGCCGCTCCACCCCATCATCCGGCAAAAGCGGCTACTATTCACTACTATGGTTAAACTACATCTTATATAATAACACACAATAACATTCCAAGACCTTTATTATCAACAAATTTAAGGTTATCCTTGTGCACTAAAACACAGGGCTGAGCTTACTAGACTGACAATAATACTGTTTAAATACTTTCTTGCAGCAATTCCATCCTTTTAATGGTTCATAGTGCTAGTCAAAAAAATTCAGGGGGAAAGTCATTATCTGATTCATAATATTAAAACTATAAATAATATGATGGAGCAGACCTCGTTGGCTATGCCATACTTGGCACAATCGATGGCAAGACGAGTTGCACGGCCTATACTTTCCTTGGTCCTTGACAAAGTCTCAATCATTCCTTCAAAAGCTTCACGAGCAACAGCAGCCTCAGTACCACCACTCAGTGAGCCTCCTGGCCCCCTTTGCACTGAACCAACTCTTCTCTCCTCAATTTCATCAGCATCAAGTTGATTACGAGAAGCAGAATGATGCTCATTAGTTGGTGGAGAAGCCAATGTTGTGTGCTCATAAACTCCCTGTACATCTGCCTGCACTAAATTGCTAGGGACAGACAGAAATGGCTGAACTGTGGAGGGGCTAGAAGTCTCCCCCTGAAAATTGTGAATGCCAAAAGGAAGACATTGAGAATGAGTTTCTCTCCTTTTGGCCAGGGCAGCCGCAATCAGATGCTTCATAGTTTTAGCAGTTTCAGGAGTCCCAGAACCAGTATATATGCTACTTTTCTCTTCCATGCCCATCTCTAATCTGTAATAAAATGAAGAAAATAAATGGGAATATGATCAACAAATAACTCCAGAAGAAACAAGAAAGGCCAAAAGTATATGTACCGATCAACATGTAAAGCATCAGGCTCCTTAAAACCAACCACTGAAGCAGGAACATCAACTGCCTGTGGCAATGTCTTTGGAGTAGTTTTAGAAATTTCTGCAGAAGATGCAAGCTTCTTTTTATGTGTTGCAACTTGATTCTGGGACGAGCTGAGGCTTTGTGAAAATTTAGAAGCCCCGTGATCAGACCTCTTTTGAGTAGCATTACCAGAAACTTTATGTGATGGTTTGGAAGATTTGTTCCGCTCAGCATTTGACTTAGTTACAGCAGACAGAGGTGATTTTACTGGAGAGACAGAGCTTAATTTGGTCACCTTAGAGGGAAACTGTTTAGAATCTAATTTATCTGGACTTTGAGCAACATGCACAGGAATTACATCATCATCTGTCTCTTTCAGAGTCTGCTTAATTGACAGATTGTCATCATGTAATTGAGAAGATGGTTCTTTCAAATGGGTATCCTCAAGTTCACTAGAATTTCTTTGGACCAGCTGAGCAACACCAGACTTCTCCAAGTGTGCACTGTTGCTCTTCTTGACCTCTGAAATAACAACAGATGACTTAATATTTTTTGCAGCCCCTCCATGAACAGGAGTTTTGGGTTCACCATCATCATCATCATCAAAAAGGCAAACAGCTCTACGTTTCCTCTCTACTTGTTTTATCACAAGATTATTTGTATCCCCTTTGAGTCTAAGAGAACTCCTTTCTTTTTTTTCATCAGAAGCAATACTAGCAGAATCAGGCATAACTTTTTTTTCATGGACAGAATCATCAGAAGCTCCAACACCAATTTGAACCCTAGATGGCAAGCTTTTTTCAGTTTTCAAATTTGGTGTAGACTTTTTCAACTCTAATTTTTTAAATGGTTTATCTTCAATACCAGTAGAGCCAGGTGAAGCTCTTTTCAATTCTTTTGAGGCATATCCTAAAGTTGAATCATGTTTAGCATCCGTACGCTTCAACTTCTTGGTAGCACGAACAGATTCATTTGGTCCCACATTATGCTTCGCATAAAGTTGGGACTTTTTCTGCATACATGAGTTTTTGCCATCAGCCTCCCCAGAATCAAACAAGATCTCCTGCAACTCATTTTTTACCTCAAGGCTTGTTTTGACTTTTATCAAGTTGTTATCTTTTTCTCCAGTATTACCATTATTGTCTGATTTAAGAGTATCTGGAGAATCTAATTTAACAGCAAATGCATTTTTCCCTTTTTTCCCAGCTTTCAATGTCTCTCCAGACCTAGAAAGATCACCACAGCCAGTAGAATTTCCCTCCTTCAAAAATGTTCCAGCAGATGATCCACCATCTCTATCCCTATCACCTGCAGCTTCATTTCTCCTCCGTGATCCATTAACAAGTTTTCTTGGTTTGCTCCCATTTGTTAAATCACCATGTCCATTATCATCTTGCCCAAAATCATTAACATTACTAGCACCTTTTAGACTAGATTTGTTAGCATTCTTTTTGGGCTCTGAACCAATGGATAACTTACTTTTGATCACAGGTGATGAAACAGAACTTTCATTTGGATGTTCAGGTACAGAGAGCTTTTCATCTTGGCTATCACTTTCTCCTTTTCTGTGTGAACAGTGCTCCAAATTAGAGCCAACGTTACCCATATTAATGCTATTTTTGTCAGCATTTGATACCACAGCATCAGTGGCATCCTTTAGGTTACCTACTACCCCATCAACAGAAGGAGCCTCTGAACCAATATGAGAATCATCTGTGTCATCTGTCAAACCACTGACCTTCTGTTTCTGTACCTCATCAAACGCTGCACATATTTCCTTCACAGCTTGAGTAAAGTACTTTGTCTTGCCATGAAGCCGAGCAGACAATTTATTTTTAGCCTCACTGGTAAATTCTTGAATATCCGCAGGGGCAACAAAAGCTCTGCCAAGGAAAAGAATATAATGTAGGTGCAATTGTAAGAATAAAAAGCAGGGCATTCTATCTAATGAAAAAGAATAAACATGAAGAACACCAAGCACAAATTATTGGAATAATATCCAACGCAGATAACCTAGGTAACTGGATGAAGGTCAGCAAAATTTCTTTCTTTGAATTAATTGCAAGTTACATAAAGTAACTCTTATCATAGTGGTCAGCAGAAGTGTTAATTTTTAATTTGGGGGATAAAAGGAAGAAAATACAGAAATTATGAAGTAAAAAATCTTGTTATACTTTCCTTTAGAAAAAAGTATAAATAGCAGAGACAGGACTAGAGCAGAGGACAAAACATGACAGAACAACCAAAGACAAGAAAAAGAACCCACAGAACAAATACATTACATAAAAAAATTGTTCAAGCCCATCGCAAGATACAATATCAAAAAATTCAGCTAACACTGAAAAGTCTCCCAGGTTACATGTCCATCATCAAGAGATTTTCTAATTGGCTATTGCAAATCAAGAATTAATATTTAAATACATAAATGTTGGAGATCTATACTACACAGATTTTCGAAAACAATAGTTATAATAAACACAAAACCAACCTTTACCTGTGAGAGTGAGAGAATTGAAATCTCAAGTGTTCCAACAAAGCATAGCATCAAAACTAAATCCCTGAATTTGATTTTCTTATTACTTAAAGAGATTCAATTCTATAATCTGACCATCAAACTTATTTATTATGCATATAACTTTTCTGTCCTCTTCTTTTTGGATACATTCAAGGTCAATGGAAGGTGGTAGGGGGGCCTAAACAGGAGCAAAACCCTAGAACCCTTAAAACTCAACACAGGTAAATGAAATGGTTAAATCTCAAGCCATAAATACCACAATGATTCACTAATTTACACGACCTTTAAACTCAATTGTTGAGGAATAAATTGTTTAATCCTCTCCAACAGTCAAATAATATTTATAGCCACATTAAAGTTCCTCTCTTTCTCTTAAGCCCCATTATCATGAAACTTCATCTAACCTATGTTACAAATATATCATTCCTATGGCTCCACTTGACAGCTTAAGAATTAAGATAGTTGATAACTGATAATTAGGAATAACATGGCACAACCTGGCCACTCCCATTTTTTCAATTGAATATCAGCACAAACTAAAAAATGTCCATGTACATTATCCATGCTTTAAGCTGAAAGGGACCTTGTCAAGGTGGGTGGGTGTGGTAGAGATATAAAACCTTTCTTCAGGCTCCACCCAGCAATTGATCTTTTAAATAAGTTGGCCCTCAATAGATTGCAAAGCCAAGTTTGCACTAGAAGTAATTAATGGAAATAACTGTTTGTATTCGCCAATAAGACAACTAGCATCATCAATCACGAATCGAAACCACAATTATTCTTTATGATAATCATTATCAGTGATTACTACTGCTGTTTACAAGAGATTTACTTAAATATCTATAAGGAAATGCAGACATGGAATCTAGAATTATATAATAACGGATTAATTGGAAGCGTGTTGCTTCAGTTTTGCCGAAAGGGATACAGTTATTTGAATGCAATAATGCACTAGACACATCTAGTGTGTAGTTTTTTAAGTTCAATGTAACCTTCATCAGTTGGTGTGTCCCAGAAAACTCCCCAGAAACAATCAAAAGCCTTCCATTATTAAATGCACTCCAAAACAACTTAGCACCGTTCATCTGGTTACTTGAAAACCTAGCCGTTCACTTACTTTTTAGTTGCATGGCATTACAAGAGAAATCAGGTGAGAGAGGCTTACATTTCTTTAGTACCAAAGAATTGAACAAAATATTTCTTCGGATCAGGGGTTTTCTCCCAATCTTCGGGCCTGCTTATCTGAGAACAGAGATGAAACCAAATCAGTATCCTCAGTACCAATAATAACCGAAAGTTCAATCAACCAACCACCATTAGTTGGAAGCCATACGTCAATGCAGAAACATCATAAAAAGGGACGACAGAAAAAACTTACCTAAAATATTACCAATGTTCAACTAGAAAAATCTGTGCACGCACTAAAAGCAAAGTATATCATTCATTAATAGCATAAAAACCCTCATCTGAACAATTTCCCAAACTAAAGAGAAAACGCATTCTCAACATTCAAAATCAAAGTAAAATAAAAAATAAAAAAAATCTAACAGCAAAATATCCCGAATCAGCAGCGAGACACAGAAATATGCATCGCAAAAGAAAACACAGGTTCGTGAGCGAAACACTAAAAATAAAAGAGAAAGAAGAAAAGTTGAATGAAGAGAGTGAGACCTTAGCAGGCCATGCGGGGAAGCCCTTGACCTTAGCGAGAACGAGATCACCCAAACTCAAGTGCCCATTGGCCTTAGCCTTGTTCGCTCCGCGTCGACGCGCGGGAGCCATGACGGCTCGCGGACGCTACAGAGTGACAGCAATTGGAAAACAACGTCGTGGAAGAAGACAGGGAACGGAAAGGGACGATCAGAAAACCCTAGAGAAATCCCGCGGAAACGCCGCGGGGATCTTGGGCGGGGGTTCAGCGGCGGCGAAGAGAGCGCGGCGAGATGTGGCGAAAGCGGCGAAGAGAGAGAGAAAAAGAAAGTAGAGAGAGAAAGAGAAGGGTGAGAATTGAGAAAGGAAGAGAATCTGAGAGTGAGGGAATTGCAGGGATTGCGATGCGAGGCGGTCGCGGAGAGAGAGAGAGAGAGAGAGAGAGAATAGTTAGATGATTTTGTTTTGGGAGAGAATGGCTTAGGCTTTGGGCAGAAGGAGTATGGGAGGGACCAAATCGGAATTTTCTATTCTTTTTCTTTTTCCATTTCATTCACTGTGATTATTTTTTACTATATCAATCGTAAAGGATTGTTTTAAAAGGATTGTTTTCTTCTACTTTTTTATAGAATTTTTTTTATAAAAGTATTAAATAACTGTTTGAAGCAATTCCTATTAATCTTTTTTAATAATTAGATAAACTAATTTCTACATATTATCGCTAAACGAAATTCAAGATAAACAAAAAGCTGACTAGAAACTGTTTCTATTGATCTGATAACGAAGAATTATCTTATTCTCGAATGAAGTTTGAATTTTGATCTTTTATGCAGTGAATGCAAATAATTCAGAGCTTCAACCTTTTAATTAAAAAAAAAAACTGCTATCTTAGTTACTTAACTAACTAATAATAATATTTTATTCAAAAATATTTTTTATAATTTTATAACTTTAATATAATAAATATTATTTTTTTATAAAAATTTAATTTATTAATTTTTAAAGTTCATCCTAATAGTTAATATTAATAAAATTTTTAATTAAATATTTTAATTCAACTAAAGTTAATTAGAATTAAAGCTATCCATTGATATTAAAACTTATAAACTAATCTCCAAAATTTTATAATTGATCTTGCTTTTAATAAGTCATTTTATTATAGGCAGTTTAGTCCTAACTTATACAACTCATTAAAAAAAAGTGAGATACAAATAATAGGAGTTGGGGCTAACCCATGGATCTTTTTCTCTTAACTTATTGCAATGTGAAGAATTTTCTTTTTATTTCAAACAGATTTGTTCATTCAACCCCAAATTTGTAAGTGTTGCTACTGTAGGTAACATTTTGTCTTTCTATCTAAAGTTGTGTTGCAAGTAACATTTGTCTTGCAAGATAATTATTTTTCATGACTTAACCTTTCAAAGCTTTTGCATTCATCCATTTCTTAACGTTTATTAACAAGAAAAATTTTAGAAAATAAAAAGATTAACAATTTGAACTTGAGTGAATTATTTTTTATTATGAGGTGAACATTGAGATTATTTTTTTAAATGCTTAATGTATTGTTGTTACTTGCATTCAATGAGTGGTGCTCTGACTACTTCCTTTGTTAGTTTTTTCCGCCAATGCTCAAGCAATTGCTTATAAATTGTTCGATTAAATGTGCTAGCATGTATTTTCAGATATGTCTTCATTGTTTCTTGCTATGATTTTATGAATTTTCCCACTTATACAAATAGAAAAGACTATTGATTTATACTTTAGTATATAAGAATTATTAAGTTATGAATCATGTGCCTTGGTTGGAAATTAGCTTTGTATTTACTTCAAACTTGTCTAATTGATTCTTTCACAGTTCTACATTTAATGTATAACATTTCCATCGGTGTGTATGTGACATTCTGCAATTACATCCATCCATGGTTGTAATCCTCAATTCATCTCAATTTAATAAAAGGCTTACAAACATTAGTGAAAACTATTAAAGACCAAATGAATTACTAGCAAAATTTTATTAAACCCTGTATTTGATATCACGAAGTAGACATGGTGAGTTTAATTTGTTAAAAAAAATAATAGGAGTATAAAAAATTATGAAATAATGAAATGATAATTTTATTTAATTAATTGAGTGATTGACTTGAAATATTCTTGGTAAGAATGAAAATTGAAAAGATGGTAAATGAAATAAATATAATGGAAACGATATTAATTTTAGCTACTCCATTTTTAAAGAAAATAAACTTTAGAACATCATCTATGCTTAATAGATTAATCCAAGATGCTATAAAGTTAGGACAATCCATTTTTTAATGGATTTGACTTAGAAACTACCCTATTTAATTGTTTGAAGTATTAGAAATATATAATAAATTATTTTCTATCATTTTAGATAATACTTTTACTAAAGATAGTATGTAAAATATTTAAAAAAACTCATCTTTATTTACAAAATAATTTTATGTGATGATAAATATTTTCATGTTCTTTATTTTGTTCATATAATTAATTTCATTACTTAAAAGGATTTAAAAGTATTCTGTGATGTATTTTATAAAATTAAAGAAAATATTAAATATGTGAGATAATGAAATAGAAAGATAATTATATTTAAAGAATGTATGCAAGAAGTTGACTTGATAGTAGTGTTGGTTTATGATTAAATGTTCTAATTACAAGAAATTTAACATATTTGATGCTTGAAAATGCAATTAAATATAAAAAGCATTTGATATTCTTAGAGTGATAATTTATAAATATTATTCATAAGAAGAGAAATAAAGCAAAGGAGAAAAAGTATATGAACTTTTAGAATTATTTTATAAAACAACTAACATAACACTAAAATTTTCTTACTCAATTAGCAAAAAAAAATAAAATAAATTCTTACTCAACTTTAAATTTATATATATTTTTTCCAAGCATAAAAGAATAAATGCATGTTTAATTTGACTAACTTAAAATTAAATCTAATATTTTTACACAATAATAGCTTCACAAGCAAAAGAAAAACTCTATACTTTTGACACTCCTCATATTTTTTGAGTTTGCGAAATTTTTAATAAAAAATTAAAAAAAGTTTCATACTAAATATAAAACTAACGAAAAAAAAAAACCTCAATCAGATAATTTGTTTTAAAATATTATTATTTAATAATTAGTTAAAAAAAAAAAAAGACCTCCATGTTCCTATATGCTATGTGACGTCGGGGGGACTTTACCTGTAAATTAAGGACTCCAGTCATAAAATTGTCAATTTTTTTATTTTTTATTTGCTAATCATAAAATTGTCAATTTAAGAGGATTTTATTTAGCTATAGCATCCAACGCAAAGGTGGTTGACAGTGTATCACAACACATTTGAAACGACGATTTCTGGCCCAAAAACGAACAGACCCGTGCGTGTGAGTGTTTGCGGGGATACATCATATATATTTTTTTCAACTAAAGTTTTGTAAAAAGTATTTTTAGTTCTAAATTCAGATATATATATATATATTTTAATAAAATTAATCAATAATAAAAAATGTTAAAAAAATATTCTGCTAACATTTTCTTAACAAAACATATATCTAAAATAACCCAGTTCACATGCACAAGCTGTATAAAAAATATATTAAAAAATATAAAAAAGTTATTAAAAAATATATTAATGATTTTCAATTTAATTTTACTAAAAAATATTAAACCAATCTCATCAATTTTTAAAAGTACGTTAAAATTATTTTTTCTTCAAGATTACCACAATCCCTCAAATAAAAAAGTTTTCTAATCTTATATGTAAAAATAATTTTTTGATCAAATGCTTAATAAAATTCAATTAAATATCAAATACTCTTCTAACTTACAAATTCTTGTATGTTTGCTATTAATTCATATTTATATATTAACAAAATTATCATCAGAAACAATTATTAATAGTTTAATGTAAAGTTAGTAATAAAATATTGATATTTGTAATTATTAGCAGGTGTTTGGTTTTTAATTTCTAAAAAAACTGCATATTTTTTAAACGTTAATTTTTTAATTACAGGTTATCTTAAATATAAATAAACTAATCAAAATACACAACAACAATAATAATAATAATAGCACTACAAACTTACTATGAAAAATAATTAATAATAGCTTTAAAATGCTCAATGTGAAAGTGCTGATTTAAAACTATTAAATAAAGACCCAAAATAAAAACTGAAACTGATGTCTGACATTATAACTTTTTAAGTTACATGTAATTTAGTTGATTTTTGGCTACCAGGAACGATTAGGTTTTTTTTTTTTTTTTTTTTTGGGTACAAGAACGACTAGGTAATTTGAATTTGAATATTTTTTATTAAAGAAATCCCTTTTTTTTTTATGGGAAAACTAACTATTGATATAATTATAAATTATATTTTTTTATTAATTGGAAAGAAAATAAAACAAGACAATTATAAATCATATATACATGCAATGCATAATAAATTATAAATTTAATAAATATCACTCTCTTAATTTCTTACATCAATAACTGAGTTTTTTTTTCCCTTTAAAAGTGAAGCCTTTATTCTAGACGAATAAAATGCAAGTATTTCAACATTATAAATGAATAATAATAATAATAATAATACAAGGGAATACATAATTTTAACATAAATCTGTTTCCATTTGATATTTTTCATTACAAATAGTATTCTGTGAATTTAACTCACCAAAAATAACATCTTCTTGTTAATCCCCTTTCTAGCATACCAAACGAATATAGTATTATTATTACTTTTATAATTTCAAACCATTAAATGCTCTTACTTTTATACTTAATATTTAATACTTTCTTTAGGAGGATTAATAGAGGGGTAATATATTTTATTTGTTATTTAATATTCATACATTGCTCTTCAGAAAATTGGAACTACTGTAAAATGGAGCTATTGTAGGCTATGCAGGCATAAAGAGAAGTTTCTTCTGGTTCCTAACCTAGCCTTACTCGGTTCTTCAAACAAGTGTTGCAAAGCACCGTTAAGCACTAAACTTGCGCACTATCATGACATGCCAGAGCAAATTTTATTTCATGTAAGCATGTTTCAATCACAAACTCAAAACCCTGTGACGGGCACTAAACTCACTTAAAGGTCAGCTTTCAATACCCAAGTAAGTCTGTACATATAAATCATCATACATAGACATAGCAGGTTGCACTGTCGAAAACCGACCCACCTTGCCAATTTATAATGAATGCATGTGATATTTACCGAGACCATAAAATTTAAGTATCTCCTTTCAGAATACACTCACAAACACAAAAACAGAATCATCATTTATGACCATGGCAGTTAAGGGTGAACATATTTGATTATCCAAACCTTTCTCATCAATCATTTATAATGATTCCTGGGTGATCATGGTATGCTAAATTTTCATAAAGAAATGGTGAGAAAAAAGAAATATGTCCATACACTAAGAACAAAGACAGTCTCATGTGTGTGTAGAAAAGTTACTTTCCACACACAAATTAGCAATCAAATGTACTATTAAATACCCTCACTGTAACAATCATCTGATATTATTGCGGATAATTGGCAACTTCAAGACAAAGGTACTTTAAGTTCCAAATCAGAGCGACAAAAAAATATGCCAATAAAACTGAATTGAGTTCATGACTGTAGTTTAATGGTCAAGTCTAACAATCAAAACTGACAAAGATTATGACCAGTAAAATCATATCAGCTGCAACTTATAGCTAAGTTGACAGACACATCATTTAAATACAGTAAGGATTCCTCAAAGAAATCTTACCTTCCCTAGAGTTCTAATTCGAACCTTTATCTTTGCTTTCGTTACCAACAGCATCAGAAACCAAAGCCAAAGGTCTCTGATCAATAACCTCATCAATGATTCCAAACTCCTTTGCCTCATTAGGAGTCATAAAGTTATCCCTATCCATATTTGTCTGAATAACCTCAACCTTCTGGCCAGTATGCTTTGAGTACAGCTCATTCAATGAGTCCCAAACCCGGACAATCTGCTTGGTATGAATTGCGATATCCTTTGCCTGGCCACTATAGCCCCCAGAAGGCTGGTGAATCATGATAGTGGAATTTGGAAGAGCACGCCTCTCACCCTTAGCACCCGCAGCCAATAGAAGAGAAGCCATGGATGCAGCTTGACCCAAACAGATTGTATTGATTGGTGACCGAATGTACTGCATTGTATCATAAATAGCAAGGCCTACACATAACAATGACACCAATACATCAGAACAGAACAATTATACATAATAGAAAACAAAAACCATAGCTTTTACACACATCAGACGTAGATGATTTTGGATAAGTAACTTATTTAAGTACTTACTCAATAAACTCTTTAAATGATGACTTATGTCATAAATTTAACAATAAATTTTATTGGTATACGCTGAAAACATTTTACCGGAATGATAAGGTGTTTTACATAAACTGTTCATGGGCTCTTCCAAAGTATTCTCTTCTGTTTTCACTTGTAATTACAAAAATATCACTTTATTTTCATTTCTTTTTTTGTTTTCATATATAGAGAGAGAAGACAGTGAAAACATTTTCTCAAACGAAATGGCTAACTAGGGATTTTGCAAAAATGGGTTTCTCTAAAAAAGCGATTTGATGAAACGTGTGGAATCAGAAAGGGTGAAATGAAATGGGGACCTGCGGTGACGGCGCCGCCGGGGGAGTTGAGGTACATGTGGATGGGTTTGGAAGGGTTTTCGGATTCCAGAAAGAGAAGCTGAGCAACGACGACGTGAGCAGTGTCATCGGAGATGGGTCCATTGATGCAAATAATTCGCTCTTTGAGAAGACGCGAGAATATGTCGTACGCTCTCTCTCCTCTGGAAGAGTGCTCTATCACCATTGGGATCAAACTATATGATCGATTATTGCATTGCGCGAATTGAATTCTCCTTCCATGGAAAAACTTGTTCGTCAACACTCTCGTACTACAGAGGAGTCCTCTCATGGCTCCCACACACAAACAAGATTGGGGATTTTGGTTTTGATTAGGGCTTCCCCGATTCTAAGCAACCGCCTACCAGGGTTTTCTTTATGCTTTCTTATTTCAGTTCCTATTTCTTTAATTATCGTTTTTCTTTCATTTTTTATTTTAATTATTTCAATTAATATTATTAGGGTAAAATGTTCTTTTCTTTGATAATAGATGAAGAGAATATATTGTACTCATATTTTTGTTACGCAAGCTAAAAAAGGGTGCATGTATGTGTTGGTATACAAGATAATTATATTTCAATCGATAATACAACTTAGAATAAATCTTATGAAAAAATAATAAAAGATTAGCCTTTTGTTTTTTAAATATAATTTTTTCTTCTAAAAAAATAATAGTATATATATTTTTTTGTTAATTTAAGTTTTAAAAAATTATTTTTATTTTTAAATTAAAATCAGAATAATTTTTAGGGTGTTTTTGTTTTAAATTTTCATTAACAACAATGTTATAAATTAAAGAAAAAAAAGAGAAATGTTAAATTAAGGTTCTTAGACTATAGGAGGGCATCTCATTAAGTATCTCATGAAAATGCTAAAAAAAAAATACAAATGAACTATCTCATCAATCCTCTCATGTAAATGCTGAAAGAAGCATAAATTAATCATTTCATAAAAATGTTGGAAAAAGAACAAATCATTCCATATGTTTAATGAACACTCAGGTTTATTTTTCTTTTTCATCTTGCATTTCTTTTTTGCCTTTGTTAGTTTTAATTTAAATTTGAATTTAGATTCTTATTAGGAACAAACACCAAGACATTTAGATAAAAAGCTCAGGTTTTTATTCTTCTTTTTTTACATTTTATAGTGAACTTTGTGTTTGAAGATGACAGAATGAAGGTAATATTATAGTGGGTGTTTGTATGATAATCTATTTTCCTTATGCATGTTGCTAATTTAAATATTGGAAAAAAGTAGTGTTGTAGATTAGAGCCAAAAAGGGATGAGAAGAATAGGAAAATTTTGTTGTGTCACCGTGCCAAAGTTAGCTTATTGCCCAGTTACCAAGTGGTGTAGCCCCAACAATGAGCTTTGCCTTTAGAGTTAAGTTCATGTTGGACAAGCACAAAGTCTAGCAGTGGATTTTGTTGGTTCTGCTTTGATTCGGACTTGCATGGTGATTGGTGTTGGAGTCCTTAATCCTACTATTTTTTGTGATTATCATATATCACAATTTTTGTTTGAAATGGGTACTCTGAGAATTTACCCATTAGTTTTTTACATTTAATTTAATGACATTTTTAACACTGTATATTATATAGTATACAAATAAATATGCATTTTATTTTTTTTTATTCTTCATTATAGCCTTTGTTTAACCACTTTAATTACTCACAATATTTTTAAAAAATTTCACCTCTTGTGAAATATTAAACACATTTTCACAAGTTATTTCAATTTATTTAGAAAGACATACATGTAAGAGAAAAATAAAATAAAACACCAATGAATGTAAAAGTTTATTTCCTTACGTTTCTTTTATGTACTCTAACCTTATCTTTTATTTGAATATAGGAATTGAATATAATCGTTAGTAAAAAACAAAACCTGTCATGAAAAAAAAATAAAGAAAAAAATGAAAACATATTTTTAATTGAAAAATATAAGAACCTAATTAAACTTTTGATAAAATTACAAATAACAAGTAAAATTAATATTTTTGTCTTTCAATTATAATATTTATTTTAATTTTATTTTCTAATTTTATTTTATTACTTGAATTTTAAAAATATTTCAAGTAAGTCTTTTTCATTAAAAATCTTAACTTCATCAATATATTTTTTTTCTGACTCGTGTATCATTTATGTGCTATTTATCATTTTCTATCTCATATCTCAATGTACTGTTTATCGTAACTCTGATTTTATTGTTTTCTCTCACTTTTTCATTTTTTATTTCTCTTCAAAATCTCACACAGTAAGAGGCAGTGAAAGTAGGGATTTAGATCCTTTCATGTTCTGGCGGAAACATGAGGCTCATGTCCATATTCGCTTAAGCGAATCACGAAAGGTTTAAGCGAATTTGAGTGAATTTTCGCTTAAGCGGAGAGTTTTAGCTTAAGCGATGCAATAATGGGATTCAAGCTTCAAAGCGAGTCCAAACGAGGTTTGGTGAATCCTCGCTTAAGCGAAAAATTAAAGCTTAAGCAATTACATAATCGCTTCAACTCGGCCAAGCGAATTTTGTTAATCTTAAGCGAATTTGGGACAAAGAACCATTAATTTCAGGCTAGTGACTCGCTTAAGCTAATTTGAAATCGCTTAAGCGAACAAGTGGTTGGCTTGAAGAGAATGCAAGCAAATGTTATTAAAATGAAGCGAATTTGGGACAGAGACCAATGATGTACAGGGGTGTAATTCGTTTAAGCTAATTAGAATCCGCTTAAGCGGATGGCGGTATCGCTTGAGCCATTTTTGTGAAGTTGCAGCGAATTTAAAATCGCTTAAGCGAAAATAATGGCTTAAGTGAATTATGCAGAAAAATGGCAAATTATGCATAAATTGACAACATGTTATCAAAGGGTAAAATTTTACAAAATTTGTTATCAAAGTCAATTCCACTCATCCAGAAACAGTTAAATGTGGCAGCAAAACATGGATAAATAGTCCATTCCGTTCCATTCCATTAATAGTACACAATTGTTCACAATGATGCATAACCAAAAACAATTCATTAATACATACACAAGTCAATAACAAAATAAGCTGAGGCATTCCCTTCCATTCCATTCCAATCCATTCCAATCAAATATCATCCAAAAAAATATCATTGGTATCTAGACTTCAAAATATCAAATGATTATGCCAACATAACATTGATAGATACTTAATTCCATCACATTCACGAAAGGATAGTAGTTCAAAGTGAAAATATACAAAAAATGAATTCCATGACAACATATGAAATATTTCAAAATAAATACATCCATAAATGATTTTATAATTGTGGATTGATCATGTCTGCCACATAGTCGTGCTCATTGAAGTCTTCATTATGTTGTCCGTCATTGTTTGCAGTGTTATCCTCATCCTCTGCCATCTGTTCCTGTGTTTGGTCCTCAACCACTGGTTCATTTCCTTGAATATCTTCTTCAACTCCCTCCTCTGGTTGGGCCATATTATCCTCTACAAATTGGTGGTCAGTTGGGAAAGTTGGGCTATCTCTAGGCCAAGATACAATAGTTGCAAAAGATTCAGGTGTAGGATAAGGGAAAGCAGAAGTCTCTCCATGATGTTAGTGTAGTGTAAACCTAGGAATTGACAAAATGAGGGTTATGTTAACAAAATTAACATTTTCAATTAGTATGTAATAGAAATTAATTAAATATAGTTTACCTGTAGAAGGCCTCATTCAACTGCATGTAAGCTCAGTTGTTTGCTGCGATTTGTTGCTCAATGTGAGTCAAATGGCGTATAAGAACAGAATCTGTTTGTGGGATGTCAGCCATGGATGGTGTAGTTGGTGGTGCACTTGTTGTAGGTGCTGCAGATGAGCTCGGCTGAGATAAAGGTGGAATAGGATGCTTGAATGGATTAGTGCAATAATTTCTTATAAAGTGGGAATCTATAGGTTTCTTTAATTTAACTGTTTGGTTGGAGCAGTCAGGAATGCTAACACCTTGTGAAGCACATAAAGCAGTGATAAGAGCAGGGAATCCCAAAGGCTTTGTTGCTGCTACAGTAGTGGAGGTGTTGGACATAACAAACTGGTGTATTTCATCTAAAATGATTGCTGCTATGTCCACATTTAACTTCTCTATGAAGCTATAAATAAGATATGCTCGAGGCATGCGAACATCTGATGTGTGTGCGGTAGGGGCTATGTTGGTAAAGAGAAACGATGTCCAAATTTGTGCCAAAGTGTTTAAACTTTGCCTCTTGAACCTCATTGGCTTTCCAGCAGCATTTGTCTCATAGGATTTCCCAGGGATGCATAAGATCTTAGCTACTTCTTGGTCTACAAAACCTAAAAATCTCTTTCTACGTTATTGGTATTGGCACACCTCTCCTTCAGGTAAGGTCATAGAGTTACCTAAAAGTGTAGAAATAGCCTCCCTGTCATAAGCAATCGTTTGCCTCTGAACCCAAGACTTCCTATCTGACTTGTCTGGTATCAGCGGCCATGCATTTGCATAAAATTCTTTTACAATGACTTCATGTATTTGGTTGGGGAGATTTGCCAAGTATTGCCATTTTCTTCTGACAATTTCCTGCATAAATTCATCATACTGTCCTTCCTCTAATACTACTTTTCTCTCAGGTAGTAATTCCTTTTGCTCTAATTGAATGTACCATTCAACCTTTGCCCTAGTTTTGAACCTAAATCTATCCCTTGATAGGACTGGTGTATGTGTTTGTAGTGGTTCTTAGTCATCTATAGCTTCTAGATATTGTTGTGAACCTTGCCCAACCTTAGGTCTTTGCCTCTTTCTTTAAGGAATTGACTTCTTAGGTGCCATGCTGAAATAAAAATATGAAATTAAAAATAAAATGATAATTACATTTAAAATACAATAGTGGTTTGATAATAAAAAAAATAGGGTGGAATGAGAAATGCACTACTTCCATGCTTATTTTCACTTCAGTGGCAGAAATCGCTTAAGCGACATAACACTGCTTAAGCGATTTAACCAACACAAAGAAACATGATGGACCCAAAATGAAAGTCAAGAAGAACTAAACAAAAAATGAACTTTTTTTTTTATCACAATATAAAACAGAAAATGCTCTTAGTGAAAATTTTATTTGAAGATTTGTGAATAAAAAATTCTTAAGAAATAAGAGTGAACAAAATATTTAAACCTATAACAGTGAAAATGCCACAAAATGCTCTCAGTTTCATAGAAAATGGCAGAAAATGCTCTTAGTGAACAACAAATTCAACGTATAATAGTTACAATGGCACAAAATAACAGTGAAAAATTGTGAATCTTCCAAAATGAAAACTTTTATTTGAAGAACAAATTGCATGCATTCAGTGTGAGCTTGAGAACGTACCTGACCTCAAGGATGTGTTTGAAGGATCTTAAGTTTAGGATTTTGGGTGGGAGAAGAAAGGAGGAATTTGAGATGAATATGGAAGATTACAATGAGAACGAGAACGAGAACGAGAATGAGGTGAGTACAAAATGAAGTTTTAAAATTTTAACCATCGCAATAATCGCTTAAGCGAAATTTATTCGCTTAAGCAAATATTCGGCTTAAGCGAAAATTATTGCATAAATAAGGGCGCTTAAGCGAATATACTCAAGTGGATTCTCGCTTAAGCGAATTTATCGCTTAACCGGATAAACCTTTTTAAGTTGGCGCCAAATTGAAGTGCAGTGACGTAAAGAGGAAGAAATAAAGTTTATCCAGGCTTATCTTCTATGAAAAACTCACTTAATTTCTCTTACATCATGAAATGGTAAAGAGAATGGATTTATTGCACAAATCATGTTCCTTCATTTAATGAGCACAATGTTGACGAAGATATTATGAATCATGATTCCAAATCACAACAAATCACGATTGATCCAACCAACGTCAAAAATTCTCCAAGGGTGAAGCTGACAACATTAACATCCAATAAAGGTACTCACCTAGTTTACATTTTGTTTTCATTTTCCATCTTATTTCTTAGGAACCTTGTGTTTATGATGTTTGTTCTTAAATTTTTTAGGCTAAAAAGGAAATGGAATGTGAAGATGTTGCATGGAAGTCGCGTGTTGGGTTACAGTTTAACACTCTTGAAGAAGCATGAGAATATTGGTGTGAATATGGAAGGATAGCAGGATTTGGTGTGAGGAAACAATATTATAATAGGCGAAAGGTTGATGGTGAAATTTCATCTTGTTGGTATGTTTGTTGTATAGAGGGACGTCATAAGGATGATAAAAGAAATGCAACAGTTACAAAGCACAGGACAGAAACTAGAACTAATTGTCTTGCAAGAATAACATTGTTTTTGGGAAGCAACAACAAATATGTTGTACATGAGCTTGTTGAAGAGCATAATCATCCATTACAACTTCCAGAAATAACACACATGCTTGCTTCGCATCGTAAGATAACTGAAGTCCAAGCTCATCAAATTGATTGGCCGAGTCCTCAGGATTGCAATAGAAATCATCATTTCAGCTAATAAGCACACTTGCAGGACATCGAGCTAATGTTGGCTATACTCCTCTAGACGCAAAAAACTATTTGAAGGCTAAGAGACAAAGGGGAATGTTATACGGAGAAGTCAGTTGCTTAATGGAATACTTTCAACGACAGTTAATCGAGAATCCATAATTTTTTCATGCATACCAAATGGATATTGAGGAACAAATCACAAATGTTTTTTGGGAAAACGCAAAAATGGTGATTGATTACAGGTGTTTTGGTGAAGTCATATCACTAGACACTACATATTGCACCAATCGTGCTAATAGGCCTCTAGCCTTATTTTCAGGTTTTAATAATTATCGAAGTGTTGTTATATTCGGGGCAGCTTTGTTGTATGATGAAACAACAGAATCATTTAAGTGGTTGTTTGAGACCTTTGTAGAAGCGCACAATAAAAAACAACCTCAAACAATTTTTACAAACTAGGATCAAGCAATGGCTAAGGCAAGTAATGTCTCACACACATCATGCATTATGCACATGACATTTTATGCAAAATGGCATAAAACACCTTGGCAATTTGATGAAAGGAGAAAGTCATTTTTTAAGAGATTTGAAAAAATGCATGTATGACTTTGATTCTTCAATTGAGTTTGAGGAGACTTGGAGAATGTTCATAACAGAATACAATGTTGAACAAAATTCTTGGATTACTTCACTTTATTCCATCAAGGAGAAATGAGCATCAAGTTATCTCAAGGATGTGTTTACCCTTGGAATGCAAAGTACTCAATTAAGTGAAAGTTTAAACTCTGATTTCAAGGCATGTATAAAACGTGGTGTTGACATCAAGCAATTTTTTGCTCACTTTGAACGAATTGTTGAAGAAAAGCATTACAATGAGCTGAAGCATGAGTACGACTCCTGCCATAAGCTACCTATGTTACAGTATGAGGTGTCACCAATCTTAAGACAAATGGCGAAGGTTTAAATAAATACAATATTTAACTTATTTCAACAACAATTTGCTCAATTCTTAGCTTGTACCATATCCCAAAGGATTGAAACTCCTCCTCTGATTGAATATGTAATTACTAAAGTCCAAGAACAAAGATCATGGATAGTTACGTTTGAACCTTCCTCAAGCACTATATATTGCTCTTGTAAGAAGTTTGAAACATTTGGCATACTTTGTTGTCATGCATTGAAAGTGTTTGAAGCCAATGATATGAAGGTTGTCCCTAATAAATACATACTTAAAAGATGGACAACACAGGGTCATAGTGAGATTATTCACAATGTCAAAGGAACGGAGGTAGAAGGAGATTTTAAACTTAGAGCCACACGCCGATTCCGTAACCTAGCATGTAAAATGATTATGTTAGCCTCTGATGTTTCCACTTCAGAAGAATATTGTCAGCTAGTTGATGACAGTATTAACAACTTAATTGGCAAAATCACAAAGCTTCGGTTGCAAACAAACAGTCTTATGGATAAAGACAAATATGATATAGAAATTATGGCAAAAAATGATGGTACATAACCTAAGGGATTCAAGCAACGACCAAGCACTAAGAGGAAAAGGAGTAAACGTTTCAAAAGTTGGGTTGAGCTACAAGCAAAGAGAAAAAAGAGTAAAACACCAATTTTATATCAATCAACATCTCAGGTTCATTTATATAATGATTTTGAATAGTAGTAAATACAATTCAATTAACTTCCATATTATAACCATATAATATAAATATGGGTGTTCATATCTTATAGGAATATCAACCAATGGTTTGTGATCCAGTTGAAGTACATTGTTCGGCACCTCCATGTTATGATCCTCTTCACACACTACTTAATCAATTAAGTTTCACAGATTTGTTGAGAGTAATAATTTTTAGCTTAACTTTACATTGTCTAATCATTAATAGTGGTCCCTAATATCTCTTCTCATTTTGTAGGAACAACTTCATGATACCAATGATGTTGTTTTGGATGATATTTAATTGGAATGGAATGGAAGGGAATGCGTCAGCTTATTTTGTTATTGACTTGTGTATGTATTAATGAATTGTTTTTGGTTATGCATCATTGTGAACAATTGTGTACCATTAATGGAATGGAACAGAATGGACTATTTATCCATGTTTTGCTGCCACATTTAACTGTTTTTGGATTAGTGGAATTGACTTTGATAACAAATTTTGTAAAATTTTACCCTTTGATAATATGCTGTTAGTTTCTGCATAATTTGCCATTTTTTTGCATAATTCGCTTAAGCCATTATTTTCGCTTAAGCGATTTTAAATTCGCTGCAACTTCACAAAAAAGGCTCAAGCGATACAGCCATCTGCTTAAGTGGATTCTAATTAGCTTAAGCGAATTACACCCCTGTGCATCATTGGTCTCTGTTCCAAATTCGCTTCATTTTAATAACATTTGCTTTCATTCGCTTCAAGCCAACCACTTGTTCGCTTAAGCGATTTCAAATTAGCTTAAGCGAGTCACTAGCCTGAAATTAATGGTTATTTGTCCCAAATTCGCTTAAGATTAATAATATTTGCTTGGGCGAGTTGAGGGGATTATGTAATCGCTTAAGCTTTAATTTTTCGCTTAAGCGAGAATTCACCAAACCTCGCTTGGACTCGCTTTGAAGGTTGGATCCCATTATTGCGTCGCTTAAGCTAAAACTCTCTGCTTAAGCGAAAATTCACTCAAATTCGCTTAAGTCTTTCGTGATTTGCTTAACCGAATATGGACATGAGCCTCATGTTCCCGCCAGAACATGAGAGGATCCAAATCCGTGAAAGTAAACTATCACATTAAGGTGTAGCGAAAATTCACTCAAATTCGCTTAAGTCTTTCGTGATTTGCTTAACCGAATATGGACATGAGCCTCATGTTCCCGCCAGAACATGAGAGGATCCAAATCCGTGAAAGTAAACTATCACATTAAGGTGTTGTTGGTAAATGTCATCGTTAAGTACAATAGTAATGTGAGATGAGATTGACGGTACTTATTAAACAAATAAAAACAAAAAAGGAAGAGACAGAAGTGAAAAGTAAAATTTGAAAAAAAAGAGTAAGATAATAAACATACACAAGCAATATATGCAATAGAAATATATAAAAAATATTAATAAAATTAACATATTTAATGAAAAATGAACTATTTAAATAGAACTTAAAATTAAAAAATTAAAATGAAATAATATAAAATTAAAGGATGAAAACAAAATTAACCTTTATTCATTTAACTTTTTATTTATTTATATTCAAAATTTAAACTTTCTATATATTATATAAAATATAAAACAAAGCTCTCTTTCTAATATTTAATTTAAAATAATTTCATGCAATTTATTCCACTTGCTTGACAACAATTAGTGGTTCTAATTTTGTATTATTTAGAGTTATCCGGTGTATACACACAGTATATAAATTTAACATAGCAATGGATTTTTATCATTATCATTATCAAATTTTGTATCTTTGTAGCACACGAGAACTTTCTTGATCTTTCCCGGCTCTTCATATAGCTTTAACTTGTTTGGTTACTTCATTAAAGGGTATAGTACTTTTTTCCATTCAAAATAAGAGTAACTGAAAATAAATTGAAAACTCGTAAACCATCAATTGGTTAGAAAATCATACAAGTTATTGAATTCGATAAAAATTTAATTTTTAAGTTAAAATAAGTTAAAAAAATATTTTAAATTTCTAAAATTAATATTCTTCTCCCGATGGCCATGGTACGGCCTCTTACTCCGCCACTGCTAGCTCTTCACAAAGACATGTCATCGGTCAAAGGTTATCTTCTTATTTTTTTTAATGGTTTGAATATTTATTAAAAATTTGAACAATTATGAAATTACGTGAAAGTATTTATTAATTATTTAGCAAAACTGTGACTGAAATCAGTGATACGGGTTGGGAATTGTGATTTTAGCAACGGCGGCGAAAATGGAAATTGGTGGAGGAAGGAGGATGGAGAGGGTAAGAAAAGCAGAGTCGCTGGTGGAGAAGGCCATGAAAGGTAACGATGCTTCTCACGATGCAGCGCATGTTTGGAGGGTTCGTGATCTTGCTCTCTCCCTTGCTGCTGAGGAAGGTCTTTCTTCTCATCCTCACTCCTTGGAAATTGTAACTAACCCTATCCTTCTTTCTCTTTTCCATGAAACCTCAATTCACAATCACGTTTGTTTTTTTGTGCTGTTTTCTCTAAATAAAATTGAAATTTTAGCTTGTTTATGCATGTGTAAATAAATTTATATTTTGGTGCTATTCACTAAATTTGTAACTAACCCTGTCCCTCTTTCTCGTTTCGATTAAACTTAGGTACATTATTACATGTGCTTGTGGAAATTTTACATGAATTATTGTGTTAAAACTCTAATTTTAATGTTAAAATTTTTATGATTTCCTTTCCTATTCTATCCTCACCCCAATTATTTTTTCCATCGTAGGTTGAGCTTGCTGCTCTGCTCCATGATATAGGTCTTCATTCTTCAATTATCAACTTCGATTATATTTTCTAATTTTATTTTTCTCACCTTTTCTGCAGCAATGTTAAATTGTAGTTTGCTAATTAATTTACCTTTTTCTCCACAACTTCAGGTGACTACAAATACCTGAGGTTAGTAAGTATTTTAATCTTCTTCGAGGGTGTGTGATGTGATCAATATTGCCAAACTCACTCAATTTGACAAGGCTTTGGTTGTTTGTTCATTTTTATGCGTGTGTTGTTTTGTCTTTCTTTCCTTTTTCTCATATGGATATTACTTTGTTATGTAGGGATCCATCTGAGGAAAAAATTGTTGAGAATTTTCTCGAGGAAGAGGGAGTTGAAGAGGATAAGAAGTCAAAAATTTTGAAGATCATCAAAGGAATGGGTGAGTTACGGGAAAATTAATTCTTCTTTTTTTCTGTTGACTTCACAACATTGTTCTTGCCTTTTGTTTTTCTTTTATTTAAACTAATATAATATCAAACTGTAATGCTGGGGAAAATGTTTTTTGCGTTTGAGTTCCCAAATAGATATTATGTTTAATCTCGACTTATGATGTCTGGCATGATAAAATAATCTGTTAGGACTTCTCAGGTACTTATTTTTTATTGTTGATATTTTTTGTCTTTCTTTCCTTTCCCCATATGGATGTTTATTGTCAGCTGCAAACCCATCTATATTAGTCTTCTTGTCTTAGGAACTCTAGGCACCTTGAGTATCACAAAAGAAATAATAGGATATTATGCGCAGAAAATGGGACTGGCTTCTGCTACCTAGCATGTTACTTTTCTATGCTTACTAGAAAGACTCATTTTAGATGTTGATTCTAATATTCAGGTTTCAAGGAGGAGGTGACAGGAAATGGAAATAGTGAGTGGTTTCCAGAATTTGGAGTTGTGCAAGATGCTGATCGACTTGATGCTATTGGTGCTATAGGTATTTTGTGAAATCAGCTGTGTTTTAGCCTTTTTCCAAGGCTACTTAAATTCTAAAGCTTGCGTGGTAACTGGGATATTGAAGCAGCAATGGGTAACCTCTTACTTTGTGCCTTAAATATCAGGAATTGCACGTTGCTTCACCTTTGGTGGGAGTAGGAAAAGGATGCTGCATGATCCTGCCATTCCACCGCGATCTGATTTATCCAAGGAGCAATATATGAACAAAGAGGAACAAACTACCATTAATCATTTTCATGAGAAGCTTCTCAAGCTCAAAGATATGATGAAAACCAAGGTACGGCTGTGTTATGATTTTTGCCCTTTATCATAATTTGACGGAGACTCAAGTATACATTTTCTGTTATGTATGTTAAGAAGTATATGCATATGCGTTAAGTCTGTCAAGGAGTTTGAATGCCAACTACCTATTTCAGGCTGGGCAGAGGAGGGCTGAGAGAAGGCATAAGTTCATGGAGGAATTTGTGAAAGAGTTCTATGATGAATGGAATGGTTTAAGTTAATTAGTACTTTTTCGTTAACCATTTTTTCACTTTTAAGTGTGGCATTAGAGCTTCTTAAGAATGAAGCATGCCTAAGCTGGTTCAAGATGCTGGGAAGTGTTCCTATCTTGCTCGGCACAGTCAGTAAACTATTCATGCTTCAAGCATGATTTTCTTCTCCTCGGTACTTCTTATACTTGTTGGTTATGTATCCTAAACCGCATATATTGTATACTTGTTATCTGTGCCATTTCACCTCATTCGTGGAGGCATGTGAGAATTTAATGACTGTTATTATTAGAGGCAGATAAGGTGGATAGTATACAATTATACCCACGATCGCCCGCTTAAGCATTATATGTTTTAATGATAAATTACACTATACATATTAGTGCCTATTATATTAGTAGTAGTGACTGTCCAAGCTTCTTTTCCACTTTTGATGAAAACTATTGTCTAACTCTGGCATGGGGCTGATCAATATTATTACGCATGAGCAATGACATTTGCCCTAGTTTGACCCTTTTTGGCCACTAAATCTGTATCCTTAATGCTTCCTACCCATCAATCAATCATTTGCCCTAGTGATTTTGGGAGTGGGGTAAAATTGGGGAAGAGCAAGTAAAAGTTATGAGAAACATAAGGTGCAGTAAGAAGATAGTTAAAAGGATATATTAGAAGATATACCAATTTTTTTTATATAAAATCTGTTTCTTGTTTAATAAGATGGGGGACTTGATTTTTTTTTTTTTTTACTATTTTAGATTAACAATATGATTTTTTCTTTGAATTACTTACTTTCTAGTTTCTAATTATCTTAACATTCATATTTATGTATTATTTGTTATAATTTGTGTTTAGAATCAGGTAGGTTATGAATAAATCAAGTGGTAGAAATTAGGAACCATTTAATCATTAAAGAGTGAGTAAAATGATGTTTGTTCATCCTTACGGAAAATAGTTCTGGCTATCTAGTTTACACAAGGACTGGAAATAAATTTATAGGCAAATCCAATTCCAAATTATCCAATTAACAGCAACATGAACCCCATTATTTATTTATTTTTCTAGTATTATATCTAATTGTCGATATTCAGCCCTGTTTTTTCATCATTATGCACTTACAAACATCTCAAATAATGACCTTCACGTTCCAAACAAGAAAGAAAAACTAAAAAATAAAAATACTAGTGACATTATTAAGTCATCACCATCCTTATTAATTCATTTTAACAAATCTTCCCAGTGTTTTTGAATTTCTGAAGCATCCCTCCGGTAAAGGTTAACTTTCATTCCATGCTTCATGTACATAGTTAAGGCAAGCTTTGGCACCACAGGGTGTTTCTCCGCCACTTTCACATGGTAGCGGTATATGATGCTGGCTGCAGCATATTTCATCTGGTAGTATGCAAAATCTTTGCCTAAGCATAGGCGAGGTCCACCATTGAAAGCAGTGAATTTGTATGCGGACTCACTCATGAACCTTCCATCTCTTAACCATCTCCCTGGCCTAAACTCCTTGCAGTCCTTGCCCCATATAGCTTCCATCCTTCCCATTGCATAAATTGCATATACCACTTTTGTCCCTTTCTTTAGCACAGTTCCATCTGGGAAAATATCATCTTCAACTACCTGGACAAAAAATAAATCATAATTGAACATTTATCAACAATCGCATCACCTTTGAGTCCCTAGGTGCATTCAATATGACTTTGATTTGTGTGATTTTATTTTATTTTACTAATTAAGCATGTCGGTGTTCGACAGATATGCCAGATTCATGTTTTCCAACAAAAAATTGACCCACACTCTAAGTCAAATTTGACTAATAAATTTTTCCTTTCTTATGAATAATTTATCATTTTTTTATCACCTCACCAGTGCCAATTTTTTATAAGGGGGCTTACCGAAGGGTTAAGTATGTTTGCTAGGTAAACAAAGGTGGACCTAATAATACCTAGCTAGACCTAATAATAACTAGCTAGTAGCTCTGACACAAGTAATTCAGTTCCGAGAATTTAATAATAACTCGTATCAATTGATTCAATCAACATATTTCATATATGTAGTTTGACAAGACAATGAACGTGCAGAGCGGAGAAGAAATTTATACAATACATTACAAAAGTGAAAAAAAAAAAAAAGACCTCTTTAATGGACTTTTTGCGATATACATACTATATGTTAGTAACCAAAATGGAATTATTAAGCATATAGGGATTGGAATGGAAAAGGAATGAGTATGACATAAATTGACAATTACCTCCTTATGATCCACAGGCACAGAAGGGTACAATCTCAGAGCTTCTGAGAGGGCAGCATGCAAATAATCCATCTTTTTTATTTCCTCGGGCCTAAATGTCAAAGAACTTTCAAGTTCTTCCCGCTTCATGTCTTTCCTTTGACTCACCACCCTGCATATCTCTGCTAGTATATTCTCCTCCACTTGAGGATTCTGATGAAGCAACCAGAAAAACCAACTCAAAGCAACAGAAGAAGTGTCTCTCCCCGCTAATATGAAGTTCACACATATATCCCTCAAAAACTTATCTGAATACGGTTTTCCATTCTCATCCTCGAGCCTCATAAACACGGTTAACAAGTCTGATCTCAGCTTGGTGTCCTCACATTGCAAAGAGAGCTCTTTCTTTCTAGTCCTAATGACATTCTCAGCAAATTCATCAACTCCTTTTATTGATTTCTTGAGCTTTCTTTCCACCCCCAAGTTGAGAAACCTCATGAGCTTCCATACACATGTGGGGGTAACAAAGCGAAGCACTGTGGCTTCTGTTGCATCCTCAAAGGCTTTGGCAAATGGTATCTCAGGCAATCCCAAACGCAAGCAACCTGGATCAACACCAAAGGCTATCATGCACACATTATCAAAAGTTAGCCTTAATAGAATGTCTTGGAGGTCTATGGCAACAGATTTCTTAACCGATGCCTCTAACACAGGCAAGAGCCTTGAGTGAACAAGATCAAATAACGATTCTGTTGTTAATTGCCTAAACTTTGTTGAATGAAACTCAATGCTTGCTGTTTTCCTTTGCCTTTGCCATGTCTCTTCATCTGCATTGAATATACCATCTCCAAGTAGGTCTCTAACTGTGTTCCTGAAGTACCCTCCTTTAGGGAATGCAGGGAACTTGGTTTTGAGAAGATGCTCCAAATTGCGAGGATCAGAAGTGACAATGCAGTTGAGGTTGCTAAACCAAGGCCCTTTGAATCTGAACGTCCCGTTTCGTCTGTTAAGCACTTCTGTGATCCATTCATACATGTTGGTTCTGAGTCCTGTGACCAAAGAAGGAAGCATTCCAAGGACAGGCCAAATGGGTAGGCCGTGATGCTTCTTTTGCCTGAGAGAATGAATAATTATGAACGCAAGAACAGCAATGAGAATCTCCAAAACTTGCATGTCTTGCAGAAGGTAGAGGCTAGGGGAAAAGAAGTTGGAGCAATGTGAGGAGGTGATGTTGAGATTGTTTGGTTTGATCATAGTGTTGGAATGATATGGAGGGTGCAGATGCATGGGCTTGGTATGTTTGAGAGATAGCATGAGGTGGTGGTGTTGGTCATGTATGTTATATGGAGTGGTGCCTTGTGTTTCTTGGCGTGCTTAGTTTTACATAAGCAGTTTGATTTGGTGAGCTGAAATGTTTGCAATTGGTCGTAGTTTAGTGATTAAGTGATGGTTCATAGTTCACTTTGCTTGGTGGAAAAAATGATTATAGGAAAAGGAATGTAAGAATGCTAAGGTTTGAGTGTCATAATACCTTTTGTGACATAACTAGGAAGATGAGAAGTGGATACGTTGGATTACCTAAGTGAGAATTGTTTGTACAGTTCTAATGTCATAAGTTACTTCGTGATTACGAGATTTCTTAATAACTACCTAGTTCTGTCTTTTTTATATTTATATGTGTTATTGAATTTAATATTATTCCCGTTTTACTATTAGCACACCAAATTGCCAATACTAGTAGTTTGCATTTGGGTGACACTCGGCAACATGATCCTTTTCGTGCTTTATGTAACAACACTTGGCTAACACCAAACAACACATTTGTATACGCCCTCAACCAACTAATGACCAAGGAATTTGGTTTGACATTAGTATAATTTTTTAATGTCTAATTTGGAAAAAATAGGATCGTCCCACTCAACTACAAAAAGTAATATTGCAACATAATTTCAGTGACTCTGCATAATTATTAATATATTTGTGTAATTTCTACCGAAAATGCTGACGGCAGTTATATTAGGATCAACGTAATCTTTTTTTTTAAAATATAAATAATAGGTTTAATTAAATATTTCAAAATTATACTTATAGTATATAGTCCTATTTTTTGAAGTCCTTTGTTAATATAGTTCTACCAAATGATTATTTAACTATATTTCAATGGATTATGTTAGTTTAAAGGACTAAAAATAATAACTTATATTAAAAATAAATATTATATTCTAACAAAATATTTTATAAAAATTAAGTAAAATACTATTTTTTTGTGTGTGGAATTCCAAGACTTAATTAAGTCTTAGATACTATATATGTGAATACTACTTTTGGTGCTTAGGTTTCTCTTAGGTTGAAAGTGGCTACGTGGAAGAATTTGAGGGCCGTTCTGAATTTAGTTGCTACGTTTAGTCAAAAAGTTTATTTGGTTGCACTTGTATGATATTGGTGGGTACAATATTCCTTATTAAAGAAGCAAATAATGTGAGAACTTCAATTTTTCTCTTTGCGATTAAGAATGCAGTACGGAACTATGGACAAGTTAAGCAACAATTAAGGAAAAATGAAAGAACAAGATACACGTCTGTTATTGAGCTTTGCTGTATCTTTTTATTTATTATTTTAAAGTAAGGATTAAATAAAAAATTAAAAATTGATTACCTTAAAAACATAAAACATATTAAATATTTTTTGCTTAATAATTAAGAAATTCTGTCGGAATAAAAAGTAAAAAAACAAAAAAAAGTCTTGTAATTACTATTAACATTGCTCAAATAAGTGGTTGATGGTTAGTCAAAAAAATGGTTTGACTCAAACTTGAATTTGTAGTTGAGATTCAATTAAAGTTCTAGGAATGATAAAATCCAATGGGAGGCAAATTCGAGGAAAGAAGGAATGCAGATGAGGCTGTTGCTCACCCAACTCACACACATTGCGAAAAGTAATTAACGTCAATAATTTGCTGCAGTTCAGGATTTGGAAATTAGCATTAAAATAAGGATACTGAGTTTACACTGTTAACGTTCAATAAAGCTAGATAAATGATAATTAATTTCTTTCAAAAATTATTAAAAATTAAATTTGTTTTATTAAATACGCTATTATTATTCTTATTATAACTTTTCTTATATTTTAAATAAACATTATTTACTTTTTAATTTTTTTATTCTTTAATTTGTATTTTAAAAACATTAATTAACAAAACTTTTAAAATTATTATAAATTTTATTTAATTTAAAATTATTGAATATATTTTTATTTAATAATACATTTTTTAAAAACAATCATAATTAAATTTAAGATTTAATTATACTTGTAGTCTTTTTTATTTGGAATAATTTCATTTTTATTGCTTTTTTTCTATTCAATTAACTCTCTCAATTTCGAAAAACATTGATTTGGTCTTTTCATCAATTTCCTTCAACTTAAAATCATTCAGTATTAATTTTTAATCAAAATAATTATAACTGAATTGATTAAATTATTTTAGTTTTTTAGCTATTCAAAATCACCAATTGAAACATTAAATTTTTATAAAAAATAAAAAAATATCAAATTTCCCTTCTTCTAACCGCCATTTTACATCTCATAATTTTTTATAAATTTATTTACTAAAATTTTTACTTTTAAATTTCATATCTTACATCTATCATGCACCTTTAAATACTATATATATATATATATATATATATATATATATATATATATATATACACACCCCATACTAAAAACAAAAATTCAAGTGTGTAATTAAATTTATAATTATGCATGCTATTTTTTTTCCTCCTTTCTAACATTAATTTTTAAATTCGTCCCGCGGTGGTTGTTTAGTTTTTCATTTTTATTCAAATTTCATTGAGTAACCAGTCATGGAATTGAATCTTTAACATTATTAAAAAAAAGACTTCATTTTGATTTTTCACCACGTCAGATCATTATTAATTATATGGTTGTTTAATGATAGATAAATTAAACTAAGTATCTTTTTAATTTAAGACAATTTCTTAAATGATTAAACTAAAACTGAAAATAGAGTTTATCAAATGAAAGTACGGAATTATTTCACAAATTAAGTAAAAATTTATTTTTGTATATTATTAATGCAAATATTTATATACTATCAATTAATTAAAACACATGATAAATATATTCTTAAATTAATTATTATAAATATCAATAAATTTTTAATATAATAATTTATAATTGAATAATAATATAAAAGAAATTTATATTGTTGATATATTTTAATTAAACTTATTATTTAAATCCCCATTTTTAAATACATAGTATGAAGTTGAGGAAACATTTAGGAAGAAGCGGGCGCGTAAGCAAGCGATTTTTCTATATATAAAAAAGGAAATTATGATATTATATGAATATTTAAATTATATATTCAAGCTTTGTTTGAAAGTACATGATAAAATAAAATAAATAAATAAAAGAGAAAAAATGAAAAGAGTTAATTTTTTATTTAAATTTAAAAATTATTTTAAAATAAAAAACTAAAAAATTATATATAAAAAAATTTTACGTCTAAATTTTTTTCAAATCTATTTTACTATTTTAAAATATTTAAAAAACTTGTCTTTTGTCTACCCTAGTTTAAGCTGCAAACAACGAGCCAAAAATAAATTTAGACCTGGGTATGGGAGACAAAATATAATGAAATTAATATATTATTTTAATAAATAAAAATAAATTTTTTTATTCATTTAAAAAATAACAAAAAATAAGTAAAATAAATTATACACAAAATTATTTTAAATATTTTTAAATCTTCTAAAATTTATAATTTTCTAAAATTTAATTCTTTTTTTTACTTTTATTTGATTATTACAATATTGATACGTTAATTTAGTTTATTATTTCTCTTGGTTCATATTGATTTAAAGATTTAAATATAGACAAATGTGACATTAACTGCCTCATATTTTTTATATTTAAAAAAATATAAATTATAAAATTATAGTTTTTAACATTAAAATTTAAGAATATAAAAAAAATTATCAATATCAATATCATGTTATTATTTTTATTAATTTGATACTATATTATATAAGTCAAATCATATATTACATGAACAAATGACAGAATTAATAAATTACTGTAAAAGGATGACATGATAATAAAAATATAATTTTGAAGGACTTATTTAGAAAAAAAAAGAGATTAAATGAAAAATTTGTAAAATTTTTATAGAGTAAAAATTTATTTAAGTAAAAAAATATTTTAAACATTTTACTACAAATAATTCTTTAAAATAAAAAAATATTTATTATTATATAAATATTATTCAATATTAATTTGTTAAATTAAATAATCTGTTTATCCTCTCCATCGCTCACGTCCCATCACCCTTTGGAATATTTGTGAGTTTTCAAACATTTAAAGGTATGGATTTCTTTTATGTGGGGCGAATGTTAATACTTTTCTATTTTCTTTATTTTTGTTTCATCCAAATTGTGGGAAAATTTATTTCTCCTACAAATTTCACTCTCATTTTCTTGTGAAACAAACAATGCTTTTGCTACAACTCTTGTTCGGGTAGCTTTCATTCATTTATTATTTTGGTTTAAGAAGTTTATAATAAGTTTTCAAAGAAAAATGAAATAAAAGGATCAAAAAAATGAAACACAGGTTTGCAATTTAAGTAAAGACACTTCAAGAGTAAACCTTAACTAATTGAAAAATCTACATTTAATATTTGATTAACAGGGCAAATATTGACATGCCTAAAATTATAAATTATCTAAACTGAACATATATAGAGATGGAGAAAGAAAGAAATATAAGAAAAATGAGGAAGAAGAAATCAATGGAGATTAGAAACATGCATTGAGATAATCTCATGAGATATGAGTCCATCTTTTAGTTTTAGAACTTTAATTCTTGGAATAAAATTAATCTTCAAAATTGATTTGATTAATTTGAAAAGAATTATCACGACATGGATTTCATTTGTACTTGGTAATTACCAAGGTTCAAGATGGTAAATCTCTTTTGTTTATTGCTTACCCTTCAACGTTATTGTCGACCATGTGGCAGTCCCCACTCTCCACTATGTCTCATATCCTTTATAGGTAAGAAAATAGCTCTCACTTTTTGCAGAGTATCCAATAAAGAAACTCTCTGTTCCAATCCAATTCCTATGCCAATGCTCACTTTCTGGACCTTTTTCTTTTACTATCTCCTCGCCACCGTTGCCACCGGAAGGGAATATTCCGGCTCGCCTCAAGAGGCTGATGGAGTGAAGAACTTGCCCGGACAGTCACCGGTGAAATTCAGACACTATGCAGGCTACGTGAAGCTAAGGCCACACGAAGAGAAGGCTTTGTTCTATTGGTTCTTCGAAGCTCAAGAAGCACCTGCACAAAAGCCTCTTGTGCTTTGGCTTAACGGAGGTATGCGCCATGCACTATACACTCTTCTCTTTATTCTTGTCTCAATTATTTTTCAATTTTCATTTTTTCTTACTAAAAATCAACGTTATTTAATTTTATGTATACTTATAATACCATAAAAGCTTTAAAATTTTAGTATAATGTTTATGGATGCACATTCTGGCCTGCAAATATAGCTATGAGCCTGTGATTCCTTCAGTCATTAGATTCAGTTTACTCTGTGCGGACAAAGAATTTAAGGAAAAGAAAATAGAGAGATTTGTTTTAACCTGAAAAGGGTAAGAAACGTAAGGAGAAGAAGGATGAGAAACGGCAAGGTTACGTCGTGTGTAGTCACTGTTAGTGTTTGCAATGGTCACAGAGTCCAAAGTACGTGTGTCCAGAGTAACTGTCTCAGTGACAATACGATACTTTCGGACTCAGAGACTGTAATTGTAATGGTTTAAACGCAGAGAGATAGAGAGACAATATCCCACTATAAAGTTAGTGTTTAATTAGCAGAGAAGAAAGACCGGTGGTAGAAAAACATGCATAGAAAAAAAATTATTATTTAAACCAGGATAGAAAAATATTAGCTTTTTTATTTAAATAATACTTTTTAAAATTAATTTTTTATCTAATACTATACAAGACAATAATAAATTTTTATTATTATTTTAATAAATTATCGTCTTAATATATTTAATATTACAATATGTTAAAATCACATATATATCAAGATAAAATAAAACATAATAAATTATTATTATTATGTAATATTTAATATTTATATTTTTATTATTATTTTAATATTATCATTGCAGAATAATTAGTACTTATTTTTTTATTATTACTTTAAAAATCTATAATCTCAAATCATCTGATAACCATGTTTTAAAAATCTATTGCCAGATTTACGAACATTAAAATTGGATAAATTTATTTAAATATTATTATTTTAAAAATAATTTATCACTTTATATTTAACCTGAAACTATTTCTCAACATGCTGTAAGTTTCACAGATTTGGTGGCGATTTTTTTAAAAATTTCGCCACCAAAATCATAATTCTAGATAACTTGTTGACACATGTCAGTTTGTTGTTTATTTCGCGAGTAATGTGATCAAAAGTTATTTAAAAATAATTTAAAAAAAATATTTTTGTTATCTAATCTGTGAAATTCTTATATCCATGACACATGTTAAATTTTTATTTATTTTGCAATTTTATTGACAAAATAAATATATAAAAAATTTAAAAATAAAATACTTTCGTCAGCTGTTACAGTGAAATACAAGTCCGCATGACAAAAAAAACTTCAGAAACTTCAGATTAAAAAATAATTTCAGATTAGATATAAAATGATAAATTATTTTTAAAATAACAATATTTAAATAAATTTGTCTCAAAATTGTGCACGTGAAGAAAATAAGTTACATTTTTCCTGTTACCTTTTTTTTCATGTTTTTACTTAGGATTATTACCATGTTGTTTGGGGATATAACCGGTAATATTTGTTTCTAAGTTATTTAAATGCTAATTGGGCCACCTTAATTTATATTATAAATTCTAGTATTTACTCGATTCATATTAGAATAGATCTAGATTCTAAATATTCTATTTTTTTCGCCGAGCTAATCGCACTGTTTTCATCCGTTATCTTGTTAAAATAAAAAATTATGAATATCGGATAGTTTGAGAGGATAGAATTTTAAAATAATAATAAAAAATAAGTATTGATTATGATAGTATTAAAATAATAATAATAAAAATATTAAATATTATATGACGATAATATATTAAAATAATAATAAAAATTTATTATTATTTTATTTTTTCTAATATACGTGTAATTTTGACAGGTATTAATTTTTGATATAGTATTGAATATATTGAAAAAATACTCGTTAAAATAATAATAAAAATTTATTATTATTTATGCATGAGTCATACTGTAGCTGATTTAGTAAAAGAAAATACTAAATAAGAAATTAATTTTTTAAAAAAATTATTTTAAGCAATTAATTTTTAAAAAAAATTATTTTAAGCAATTAATTTTTAAAAAAAATTATTTTAAGCAATTAATTTTTAAAAAATATTATTTAAGTAAAAAAAAATTTTCGTGTTAACTTGCAGTTTAAACAATAGAAAATAGTTTGTAAACAGCCCTTGTATAAAGAGAGATAAAAAAAAGTAATATATGTGAAGAGTATTAAAATATATTAATTGGGATACTTATAAAACTGAATTAATAAACAATTTAGGGTACCCAAAATCTAAGGGCATGGTAACTCTTAAGGTCATGGACTATATGGCCATTCACACGTAGTTAAAATTGATTCTTTTAGTAAAAAGAGAGGGACCTTTGTTGTCACTGCTTTGCTATTCTTTTGGATGTGAGGTGTGGATGATTATCATTATGGTTTTTTAACATAATTTTTATATTTTCTTTACACAACCTTTATTTGCGAACAATATACAATGAAAATGGGATGAAAATAAAATAACACTATTGTTATATAATTGTCAAACATTAGTTTACAAGGAACGTAGTGCATCTCCTGGAAAAAAAAAAAGTGTCTGTGAGCTACTTTTTCACAAAGTGATGTTTGTAACAACGTAGTTTTAGTAAAGAAACTATGTTGATACAATACAATTATATATATTTTTTACAAAAAAAAAATTACATAAACCATCATATAATTTTTATTACACGAATATAATATATCTTTTTTTTCCCCCACATAATAGCTCTTATTTAAATATCACAAGTTAACAGTGGGAATTTTTGTCCAATGAGCAATGCGACAAAATTATAGGACCCTTCTTTTCTAGCTCTGACTTTATTTACAGACACCTATGGCCCAAGGTAAAGACCAAAGATTAAGATGGGACCCTATGCTTTCACGCGTCACTTTTAATGACTCGCATACTCATTCTTTTCCACGGTTTGAAAAACATTTCTTGTGAGTTGTGTCCACTTTGTCGTTTCTTCAGTGAAGAAAGTTAAATAATAATTATATTTATATTTCTTATATTTATTTATTTTATCATATTATTATTTTTTCTTCCTTCTTCCTCTACCATATCTATTAATTGTTTGTAAAAATATAAGAACTCAAATGATAATTATAATATGATATATATGAGGGATTCATCGATACCAGTCCAGCTTTTTCTTCTGGATTCTTTCTTCACGACACACGAGCATCTCGACTGTTCTTTTAAAAGCACGAAAAAGAGAGGTATATACGAGTAAAAGGATAAATCAACCTCGATTAGGAAAAATAAATTATTTTCTTTTCTAATGATCGATGAAAAGGAAATAAATCAACCTCGATTGAGAGAGGATTTTGAAAGAGATTATGAGAAATTTATCAACAAAATTATTTTAATAAATTTTATATTTAAATTTTGTGACATAACTATTCATGTAATAAGAATTTAACAATGGTACTCAAATACACCCCTAATTGGAAATGGGAAAAAAAAACACCTTTCAGTTCCTTCTTTTGCTTGTTTTTTAGTCAAATTTATTTAAATAATACCATTTAAAAAATAAATTCTTAAAATAGAGTTTTTTTTAAACAAATTTTCTGTCTTGTATAAATTTTAGTCAATTAAACACCTGTATCACACCTGCATATAGGATAGATTATTTTTAAAATTTTTTTTAATACTTTATCAGCAAAGAATTTTGAGTAATAAAATTTTTTTATGGTCATTTGAATTGTTTCAATAGCAACAATAGCCTTTTAAAATTAACTACTAGAGAGAATCGGGACACGTGTTAAAATTTTATACTTTATCTATTCTGTCTCGTCGACTAGCTATCGGTATATCAGTGATGATTGTGCTTCTGATTGTGACATGTGGCATGGTTGATACCGGTGCCGCGGAAGCCATCTTCCCTTTCGGCGCTTTGTCTTCCATTAATGCCGGTCTGAAACATTTTTTCCATTACTAAAGTGAAATTTCGGAGTATGATTTGTTAATTTTGCAGTATTATTCTAAACGAAATTCAAAGGTAAAAATGAAATTTGTTAAAAAATATATTTATTTTATTTGTGAAAAAAAATAGTTTATTATATTTTGAATATTTGCAGGTGCTGGTACCTGAAAATATAGAAGTGAAACTCCATTTCAATCGACAAAAGAGGTTAGTAAAAAATAAAAATTTCATATATAATTTTTTTGCAATTTATTTAAGTGTTTATATATTTTTTGCGTAATTTAATATAAAATTAATTGAAAATGTAATATTTGAATTACATTTTTTTCTTAAAAAATAGATTTAGAAGTTGATTAATTGTAATTATATTTAATCCTGTAGTTTAGCATTAAATTGAACAATTTATAATATATTTATGTTTAAGTGCAGTTGTGAAAAAATTGTAAATTTTGTGTAAAATATTTAGTAAAGTCAATAAAAGTAGATTAATATTTTTTAATTATGAATAAAATAAATTTTTGATTGAGTGTTTTTATAAAATAGTAAATTAAAATTTCACATACATAAATTTAAAAAATAGTAACTAGTAATTTAAAATTTGTTACCAATAATTAGAAATAATAAAATTTTAAATGATTAAAATTATAAATAAATTCATTCTTAATGACAGTTTATTAACAGTAATAAATTATTTTTATTTACAATATTTATTTTATAAAATAGACAAAGTAAGTAATTCTTACTATACATACCTAATTTTAAGTCTCTACCATGCAAGATTAAATAACACTGCATTAATATATAGTTTAAATTTTTTCTATAATTTTTTAACATAATAAAATTAGTATAATTATATTTAAATATTAACATAAATTAAACATTAAATTGTTTAAATTTTTTCATAAAAAACAACGTAACATATCACAATAGTTTATAATAAATTTTATTAAACATAACTTTATATGCCAAATTTTATTTTATAAAGATTATAAATTTTTACTCAATTCAGGCATATTTTTTTTATAACAATTTATTTTAAAAATAATTTTATTACCTTTGTTATATTGTTTTACATCATTTTTATATTTGTTCTCAGTTTTTAAATTTTTTCAATAACATATACAACAATTTAAATTATTAATACATAATAAGATATTACAATTATATTGAAATAAAATTTTAATATTGTATATATAGATTATTTTCTTTAATAATAAAATTTCTATCACACTATACGATTTTATTTTAACTTCTAAGTAAAAAAAATTTATTTTCATAAAAATAACAAATATAAAATTTTATCTAAACTAAAAATAATCAAAACTCAACAAATAAATAAATATAATTACTGAAAAACCTAACTAACTTGGGCTCTCCAAAATTTTTTCTTCAGTCGGGAACAGAAGGCAAAATGCGAAGAGTGCAATAAAATGGCAATAAAATTCATATATATACCATCGTAGTTACATGAATTTTTCAATGCATCCAATTAATAATCAGTAGTTATTGGGACGTGTCAGTTGCCCATTTGTATCACACTCTACAACCCGATAGCCTTGACGCAGTTTGACCAACAAAATAGCAATCATTTAAGATTGGCCGTTACACTTGTGCATTTGACACATGTTATTCATTCACGCGTATCGCTGGTTGACAACTGATAGAGTTGACACTCTTTGACCAATGACTTGTCTATCGTTTGAGGATGAACGATACACCTACGATTTCAATACATGTCCACCTTTGAGTAAGGGTCAGTTAGAGGTCATCGATTGTGTATTAAAATTTTTTAAAAAAGCCTATTGAACATGCAAGTGCGATTAAGGTGCTGACCTGGCTAAAATTCACACAAGACAGAAAATATATTTAAAAAACTTTAATTTAAAAATTTATTTTTGAAATGACATTACAATGTTACTCTTACTACTAATATTTTCATTTTTATAAAGATATAAAACGAGATAGAATATCACATTCTCTTTTCCTTTTTATTTATAAAAAATGTGAAAAGAATGTACAGATTTAATTAATATTATTTGGTGCAGTAAAAAAAACAAATTGTTGTTCAATTAAAGGATGAAACTTAAATCAACTTGCTTATATTTATATAATCAAGTATTTCAATTAAATTACAACATGTGAATGTTTTCTAAAAAATTCTATTACATATTTAATAGTGCCATCAATTATAAAATTGGAGAGTTTAATGAAAAAATATAAGAAATTTAATATAATTTTTATCCTAAATTAATATAAATTGTATTGAAATTCAAACTAAAATAAACAAATTTACGAAATAATTTGATTAATCTAAACTACTTTCATATTTGTACTAGCCAACAATTGGTAGTTTAATAAATAATTTGGCGGTACTATTTGTTGACTAGGACCTGGTTGCTCGTCTATTGCGTACGGAGCAGCACGTGAGCTTGGTCCATTTCTCGTCGAAGGCAAAGAACGCCTCAAACTAAACAAATTCTCTTGGAATAGGGGTAAATTAATAGCATGTTTATGTTTATTTCAACGCTTTTAATTGTAAATTTTTTTATTAAACTTATGTTTATAAATTATTAAATGGGTTTGAAAGGCCACTAATTATAGAATTTGATTATGTCATTATTATTTAAAGTAATTATCTGGGCACTTAACTTGGGTTCTCTAATATTGAGTGGGTCCTTACTCCCACAGTTGCAAACGTAATATTCTTGGAGGCACCTGTTGGTGTTGGGTTTCCTTACACTACTAATTCCAAAGATTTGCATGAGCTTGGAGATCGAGTTTCTGCTATTGACAACTATGCCTTTTTGACTGGTTGGTTCAAAAGGTTCCCAAGCTTCAGATCCCCATGATTTTTATATAGCGGGAGACAGTTATGCAGGTTCGATGATGATATCCAAAATTAATTTCCACGTCTACTCCTTTTCCATTGCAACAATTTATATTTTTACTATCATAATTATTCAATTACTCTAGTATTCTAATGTCAATTTTTGTGCCTTTGAAATTATAGGGCATTATGTTCCACAGCTTGCTGACCTTATCCTTGATACCGAAAAGGGCTCTTACATAAATCTCAAGGGATTTATGGTAACTACTTATATACACATTTTTAACACACAATTTACACTTTTATTCGTTATTCTTTCTTTTTGGCACGTCAATTTTTCTAATCGTCATCAAAGAATACTCTTATTGTAGGGTAATCTTAACCTTTACAATTACATATCTTTTTCCAATTACTCATCATTTAACCTCAATTTAAACATTTGCGTGTGTTATATACCCACCAAAGACCCCAAAGATGGATCAAAGAAATAAAAAGATTAAAAATAAAGTAAACAGTAGTAGGACTACTAAACAATATGCAAAATACAGATTATAAAAATATTAAAACATAAAACACTGGAGTGGCAATAGAATTAGCTCAGGACCAGTGATGAGAAAAAGAAAAAAAGGTGGACGACGGTAGTTTGAACAGAACCAGCTCAGAGGAAGAAATGAGAAATGAAATACAGAAAATACAAATTTTATTTAAAGAACTTTAAGAGAAAATCTTACAAGAGAATATCTTAGCATGACTTCTCTCACTTAAAACACTCACTAAATAAATGAAAGAGTTTCTCACAACATGGTCGATGATTCCTTATATAGAAATATAAGATTACTGTTTCTACAATTCTGATTAATTAATAGGAGCTATTTTTATAGTACCAATTACAAAATTTACAAATTTTCTAGATTTATACTGAAATAATCATCTTTATTTTGGTAGAGATCATCTGATTATTTTTTTGAAGATTCTACTGCTTCTTCCTTCTGGAGAAGTTGAAGATTGTCTTTCAAGTTGTTCAGAAGTTTATGGTCACTTTTGTTAAAACATTAATTTCTGGAGTTTCATCACTATCAAAAGAAGAGACTTGATCATCTTGTCGGATTTGATTTTTGTCCTCACTAGATTCTAGCAAGGATATTAACCTAATCTAACAGGATCAAATCTCTTTTTCTGATAGTGATGAAACTTTAGAAATTAATGTTTTAACAAAAGAACAAGATCTTCTTTTTGAAGCAATTAATTCAATTCCTGATCCTCAAGAAAAAGAAAGATTTTTTCAATAAATTCAAAGATGTTTGGAAACAAAACAAAAAATAAAAGAATTGTTTACAACAAACAAATTTGATATAACAAGTATTTTAAAAAAAATTAGAAAATAATTATTATACAAAACCAACCACTATACAAGATCTCCAGATTGAGAATAATAATCTTAAAAAGGAGATTAGAGAGATCAAAGAACAACAACAAATTTATCAAATTATTCTTTTACAACCTGAAGATGATAATTCTAAAGTTGCGAAAGAACAACTTTCTGAGAAAAATAATTCTGAGAAAGATAATTATGATAACCCAGAAGAAATTTTCATAAATTTGATCAACAAGTTTAAAATTGAAAAATTTTATATAAATATTAGAATCATTATTGATGATTTTATTCTTGATATTTTGGCACTTTTTGATACAGGTGCTGATTCAAATTGCGTTTTAGAAGGATTAATTCCCACTAAATATTTTGAGAAAACCTTTGAAATAATCAGCACTGCGAGTGGTTCAAAACTTAAGATTAATTATAAATTATCTAAAGCTATCATTGAAAATTAAGGGTTTAAAGTAGAAACAAACTTTCTACTTGTCAAGAATTTGAAAACTAAAGTAATTCTGGGAATACTTTTTATTAAAGCTCTTTCCCGCTTCAAATTTTAAAAGAAGGAATTTCAATTTACCACCTTGGTAAGCATATAACATTCAAATTTTCTAGCAAACCTTTTACTAGAAATATCAATTTTATTCAAAATAAAATTAAGCAAATTAATTTTCTAGAAGAAGAAGTTTCTTTTGCTAACATTGATAAATAGCTGAAGAATCCGTCACTTCAAAAAGAATCCAATCTCTTTTAGAATCTATTTATTCTTCTAAATGTTCTGAACTTTCTAATGCATTCTGGAATAGAAAGAAGCATATAGTTAGTGTTCCTTATGAAACAGGCTTTAAAGAAACCCAAATTTCCACTAAAGCAAGACCCATTCAAATGAATGAAGAACTCATTCAATATTGTTAGAAAGAGATCAAAGATCTCTTAGACTAAAAACTTATTAGAAAGAGTAAGAGTCCTTGGTCGTGCTCTGCATTTTATGTTAATAAACAGGCAGAATAAGAAAGAGGTACTCTTAGGCTAGTAATTAATAACAAGCCTCTTAACCAAGCTCTTCAATGGATCAGGTATCTAATTTTCAATAGGAAAGACCTTCTTAACAGACTTAACACTGCTAAGATTTTTTTCAAATTCAAAATGAAATCTGTGAAGAAGATAGGTATAGGACTGTCTTTACTGTCCTTTTTGGGTAATACGAGTGGAATGTAATGCCTTTTGGTCTGAAAAATGCTCCTTCTGAATTCTAGATGATGATCATGAATGATATTTTCAATCCTTACTCTAAATTTGTTATTGCCTACGTTGATGATGTCTTAATTTTTTTCCATTTCATTGACTAACATTTCAAGCATATAAATATTTTTATTAATATTGTCAAGCAAAACGGTCGGGTCGTGTCAAAGTCAAAGATTAATCTTTTCCAAACTAATGTCAGATTCTTTGGTCATAATATTCATTAAGGAACTATTATTCTGATTAGCAGATCCATTGAATTTGCTAACAAGTTTCTTAACAAAATCTTTGACAAAACCCAATTACAAAGGTTTTTAAGATGTCTCAATTATGTAGGTGATTTCATTTCTCACATCAATAATATCATTAAACCTTTACATGATAGGCTTAAAAAGAATCCTCCTTCGTGGACTGATGTTCACACTAATGTTGTTGAAGAAATTAAAACCAAAGTGAGAGAGATAAAATGTCTTTATTATCTCCCTATCCTTCAAGCTTTCAAAATTGTCGAAATTGATGCCTTTGACATAGGTTATGGTGGCATTCTCAAACAAAGAGTCAACTCTCATGAATATATTATTGCATACACATCAAAACATTAGAATTCTGCACAACAAAATTATTCTATTGTCAAAAAAGAAATTTTGGCAATTGTTTTATGTGTTTCAAAATTTCAATCTGATTTATTAAATGAAAAATTTCTTATAAGAGTATATTGCAAATCTGCTAAAGAAATTTTACAAAAAGATATTAAAAATCTTGCCTCTAAACAAATCTTTGCAAGATGACAAGCAATTTTAAGTGTTTTTGATTGTGAAATTGAATATCTTAAAGGCACTGTCAATTCTCTTCCTGATTACGTTACCTGTGAATTTTTACAGGATAATTGAAATGCTTAGAAAGGCAATAGCCTCTTCCAGGGGAGGAACTTCTCATAAAGGAAAAGTCAGACTTGTTCTGACTCTTAACAAATCAAAATCCAAATCTGTTTCGACAAATTCAAACTCATCAAACTTTGGGTCATCCACTTCGATTGGGTCATCAACCCAAAAAGCAATCCAAATTGTGGAGTCATCTACTCAACAATCTGCAATTCCTAAAAAGGACTCATCCAACAAGGCTGATTCTTCTACCCAATCTAAAATAGCTAAACAGACTAAAGCTGATTATGCCTTACCTATCAAAACACTTAGCCCTCCAACAAGGAAGCTTAAGTAGTTTACTAAAAAAATCATGGGTACATATTGCCTTTGAAGAGGATATGGAAATTGATTTAGTAAGCTTAAACACCATAACCTAATCCTTCATCCAATCCCAGAAAATAGTCAATCTCGTAGGAGAAACTAGCAAAGCTATCAATCTCTTGAAAGATAAACAAATAGCCCAAAAAACAAACCATTATGTAGCCAAAGGAAAATTCTCCTCAGTTATCCAAATGAAGCCTGAATTTTGGGACAAAAATCCCTATAAGGCTATATAAAAAACTTTTGCTCTTGGTTTTCATTTTAGACCTTATGCCTTGAATAAAACCAGACAATTTTACGAATTTATTTTACTAGATTCAGACTCTGTATCAATTAAACATTACAAAGATAAAAAAGATCCATCTATCATTACCCATTCTACAATTCAAATCCTCAAAGTTCTTACTCCAAATAATTTTGAGAAAAATTTAAATTCATATAAAAAATTCTCTCAGCCTTTTGACCTAGTAGGTTAGAACTACTAGGACTATATTGATGCTTGGACAAGAGTTTTTTGGTTCCAAATTAAGGTCAATCGACATTCTTGACTGATCTATTTCAAGAAGCCTCAAGATTTCAACAGGTACTACAAATTTCTAAATTGGTTCCTACAATGGTGGGATCTCTTTGGACTATCAAAGAAAATTTTCCTTCTTGAGTGAAAGGATACACCCATTTCAAGAGTAGGTATTCATAAAAATCAATAATTCCAGTAGACCTCAACTATTTCTCTGCTTTTTCTCTAGCCTGGGTATTCTCATGGCAATACAAATATAGCAATGCAGAAAAGAAAGATGTGCTCCCTATTCTTCATAGGTACTTCTTTGTAAAATGGTGGAATCAATTCAATGCAGACCATGCGAGACCTCCAGAAGTTAATAAATTCTTAGTAGCTAATCCTCAGTTACTGAAGCTTGCTAACCTAACAACCTTCCAGTTCCTAAACCAGAAATCTAGGATTGCAGCCCTTTTGTCAGGATGTGATTCAAAAGAAAAACTGAAGGATAATCTGAAAGATATTTTCCTTCTTCTTCAAAATCAAGATAAAGCTGAAATTTCTACAACGAAGAGTTCTTAGCCTAAAGATACCGAAGAATTTTATCAAAATAACGATGATTGTTTTGGTATAGACATTCAAGATTTGTAACCTATACTGTTGCAAATAGTTCCTGTAATAAACCGAATCATTAAAAATAGTAATTTTAACTTTTATATAAGGAGTCCTCGACCATGTTATGAGTCACTCTTTCATTAAGCAATCTTAGAGAGTTTTAGAGAGAAAAGCTTTGAGAGATACAATCCCTTGTAAGCTTTTCTTCATGTTTTTAATAAAGTTTAATTTTCTATATTTCCTTTCTCTGTTCTCCCTTTAGCTGGTTCTGCTCAGATTACCGTGTTCCAACTTTCTTCTCTTCTCCCTTCACTGGTCTTGTGCTGGTTCTACCGCTATTTCAGTTTCTATGTTTTAAATTCTGCATTTCACTTCTGCCTTTACATTTCTGCATTTACATTTAGTAGTCCTCCTACTGTCTACTTTCTTTTTAGTCTTTATTTTTCTTCTTTGATCCACTTCGGATTTCTGATAAGGGTGGATCAAGGAAAGAACAAAGAACAAATTGAAAGGAAAATAGGCAGTAGCAGGACTACTAAATGATATGCAAAAATGTAAAGTACAGAATGTAAAATGCAGTATTAAAACATAAGAAACTAGAACGGCGGTAGAACCAACACAGATCTAGTAGAGGTAGAAGAGAAGAAAGCCGGACGACAGTAGTCCGAACAGAACCGGCTAGGAGGGAGAAGAGAGGAAAATAGTTTGAAACAACAAACTTTTATTGAAAAGATCTCAAAGAGGAAAGCTTACAAGGGATTGTTTCTCTCAGAGTTTCTCTCTCTAAATCTCTCTAAACTTGCTTAGTGAAGGGGGTACCTCACAACATGGTCGAGGCCTCCTTATATAGAGAATTAAAATACTATTTGTATAGTTCCGGTAAATAACAGGAACTGTTTCTACAGAGTCGGTCACAAATTTGTTATGTCTATACCAAAACAGTCATCTTCATTTTGATAGAAGTCGTCATCTTTGTTGGGATTAGACTCCTATTTGGTAGAAGACTCGACTTCATCTTGATTTAACAGAAGAAGGGCTTCTTTTAAGTTTTTCTTCATCTTATCTTTAGAATCACATCCTGATAGGAATATAGCAATCTTTGCTTTCTGATTCAGAAATTGAAAAGTTGCAGGATCAGCAAGTTTCAAGAGTTTTGGATTATTTCCAAAAAACTTATTAACTCTTTGTGGTCCAGCATGTTCTGCGTTGAATTGGTTCCACCACTTCACAAATGCATGTCTATGGATCATGAGAAGAATATCGTCTTCTTCTGTCTTGCTATACCTGTACTGCCATGAGAATACCCAGGCCATTGCAAAGGCAGAGAAATACTTAAGATCTGCACCAATTCTGTTGGAAGCATATCTATTTTTGAATATTTCAAATCCTTCTTTTACTGGAGAGGGAAGGATTGCTTCGAATGGTCCAAAGAAGTCCCACCATGGAAGGAACCAGTTAGGGAAATTGTAATTTTAATTTTTCTTGAAATAGATCAATCAAGAGTGTCGATTGAGTTTGTTCTGGAACCAGAAAGTCTTTATCCATGCATCTATGTAGTCCAATTAATTTTATCTTACTGGATCAAAAGGTTGGGAGATTTTCTTGAATGTATTTGGATTGTTTCCAAAATTCTTTGGTGATAGAATTTTTAAAATTTGTATTGTTGAATGAGTGATTACTGAAGGATCTTTTTGGTCGTTGTAATGTTTAATGAAGACAGAATCTGAGTCTATTAATATGAACTCATAAAATTGTCTGGTTTTATTGAAGACGTATGGTCTAAAATGGAAACCAAGAGGGAAGGCTTTGGTGATGGCTTTGTGTGGATTTTTGTCTCAAAATTCTGGTTCCATTTGGATGACAGAGGGGAATTTTTCTTTTGCCATATAATGGTTGGTATTTGAGGTTTTTCTTTTTTGAAGGCTAATAGCTTTCTCTGTTTTGTCCGGGAGACTTATTGTCTTTTGTGATTGGCTGAAGGACTGGATAATGGTGTTTAGATTTGCTAAATCAGTTTCCATGTCTTCATCAGAGGCAATGTCTGCCTAAGATTTCTTTGGTAAGCTGTTTAGGCTACCTTGTATGGCTAGAAGTGTATTAACAGGGAGAGCATAGTCTGCTTTGGTTTGTTTAACACTTTTTGTTTGTGATTGGGAAGAATCAGCCTTGTTGGATGAGTCTTTTTTAGGAATCACAGATTGATAAGTAGATGACTCTACAATCTGGATGGCTTTCTGGGTGGATGACCCAGCCGGAGTGGATGACTCTGAAGAATCAGAACAAGAGTCTGTTGTGGCAGACTTTGATTTTGTTTTGTTGAGAGTTAGGGCAAGCCTAACTCTTCCTCCTCTGGACGAACCTCCCCTAGAAGGGGCCGTTGCCTTTCTAGGCATTCTACTTATCCTGTAAATATTCACGGGTAAGGTAGTCAGGAAGGGAATTAGAAGGGCCTTTGAGATATTCGATATCAAAATAAAAAACACTTAAAATTGCTTGTCATCTTGCAAAAATTTGTTTTGAGGCAAGGTTTTTTACATCTTTTTGTAAAATTTCTTTAGCAGACTTGCAGTCTATTCTAATAAGAAATTTTTGGTTTAATAAATCAGATTAAAATTTTGAAACACATAGGAAAATTGCCAAAACTTCCTTTTTAATAGTTGAATAATTTTGTTGTGTAGAATTCCAATGTTTTGAAGTATATGCAATGATATGCTCATGTGACTCAATTCTCTGTTTAAGGATACCTCCGTAACCTATGTCTGAGGCATCAGTTTCAACAATTTTGAAAGCTTGGGGAATGGAAAGATATAGGCAATTTATCTTCCTGACTCTGGTTTTGATTTCTTTGACGACATTGGTATGAACATCAGTTCAAGAAGGAGGATTTTTCTTAAGTCAATCATGTAAAGGTTTGATGATATTATTTAGGTGAGGAATAAAATCACCTACATAATTAAGACATCCTAAGAACCTTTGTAACTGAGTTTTATCTAGGATTCTATCTGAAAATTTATCAGCAAATTCAATAGACCTGCTGATAGGAATGATGGTTCCTTTATGGATATTGTGACCAAGGAATCTAATATTGGTTTGAAAGAGATTAATCTTAGACTTGGAAACAACAAGTCCGTTCTGTTTGATGACATTGATGAAAACATTTATGTGTTTGAAATGTTGATCAATGGATTGAGTAAAATTTAAAACATCATCAATATAGACAATGACAAATTTTGAATAAGGATTGAAGATGTCATTCATAATTTTCTGAAATTCAGAAGGAGCATTTTTCACACCAAAAGGCATAACATTCCATTCGTAATGCCAAAAGGGGACAGTGAAGGTAGTTTTGTACCTATCACTTTCACAAATTTGGATTTGCCAAAATCCAGATTTCATATCAAATTTTGAAAAGATCTTAGCAAGGTGTAATATGTTAAGAAGGTCTTTTTTGTTGGGGATAGGATGCCTAATCCACTGGAAGGCTTGGTTAAGAGGTTTGTAATTGATGACAAGCCTTGGAGTGCCTCTCTCGATTTCTGCTGGTTTATTAACATAAAAGGCAGAACACGACCAAAGACTCTTACTTTTTCTAATAAGATTTTTGTCTAAGAGATCTTTGATTTCTTTCTGACAATAATGAAGGAGTTCTTCATTCATCTAGATAGGTCTGGCCTTAGTGGGAATTTGGCTATCCTTAAAACCTAACTCATAAGGAAGACTAACAATATGTTTTTTCCTATTCCAGAAGGCACTGGGTAGGTCCGAACATATGGAGGAATGGATGCTACCTAAAAGGGATTGAATTTTCTTCTGAAGTGAAGGATTTTGTAATTGTTTTTCAATGTTGGCAAAAGAAACTTCTT